ACCTAATTCGGCGCGGATGTTCTGAACAACGGGGGAGATGTTGGCGGTTTAGCGGCTGCAGAAGTGACAAGGATGGCACTGGCTGGTGTTTCGCAGCCGCGGAGAGTAGAAGGAAATGTAAAATGAGTACAAGATGAATAACAAGCGAAGATTATCATGGAAAATAATCATGGAAAATGGATGAAGAAATAACAAAACGGAGAGGCTACCGTTTCTACACGCCGTAGCGCATCGAGAAGCCTAGATTCGGCCCTCTGTATCCGTAAGCTGATACTGCATCTAATTGCGTGCAGCATGTGTTTCCGTCTATGGCTGTACAGTGCGCGCAGCGGTCGGCGCTAGTGTCTTGGCATCGGCTGTGCCACAGCAGAAACGGGAAAGGCGCACCATGCGCTGCGTGCCTCGTCATCGCCTCTCGATGGCGCTGCGCAGGTTCCGGTACCTGCGGGCTGCTGAGGAGGGACTCGCGGTACCTCTGGCCATTCTTTGGCTGTAATTCAGTCTGATTTACGGCGGCCGGCTGCAGTACCCACTGCCAGAAACAGCTGCAGGCACTTGCTCCGTTGAGGATGTTATCGCTGCTATGCCTATGGGTTGTGTTGTTGTATTTCCTCATTCCATAGGTGTCTATGTATGTGCTTGTGTTCTTCATCTTTCTGCTTTCTTCATCATTTTCCCGCGCGTGGTTCCTTTTGGCGCACGCGCAGAGCCTCGTGCCATGGAGATGGAGGCATCCTCGTAACTGTAGTTGAGAGTACCAGTCGCGGACACGCTCAAGCAGCCTGGCTGAAACCGGGAAACGCTCACCCCGGTTCTCAGCTTGCTGATAAGAGCTGAGTGGTAAAAGGACAAGAAAAAAAGATCATGAAACATATGAACCCCTGAGATTGAAAAGAAGAATAAGAATAAGTAGGAAAGCAGGAAAGATTTGAATAGGAACACCTCAAGTAATTGGGTTTAGGAGTCAGAGGTACTGCATTGTCAACTTCACCTGTCAACGTTAGCTGTCAAAACGGCCACATGCTCAAAAGCCACCACCGCGGGGAAATAAAGTAAAACGAGACTGTAAAATTGCAAAACAACACTACAAACATTTGATAGCTTTGACAGCCTACTACAGTCATACCGGTCTCCGACTCTCTTCTGCTCTTCAGCCTGCTCCGCCATCTACCAAGGTAGACTGCTAGGCGCCATGGACCACGTACCCGGACATGTACCCAGCCCTGGCTGCCTTGTAGCGGTACCCGGGCCGGGCCCTCTCACCGAGCACAGCAAATCCTGGTGCTGGGGCGGGCAGCGCCCATGATTGGCTGCGTCTGCCAGCTGACGCGTAAACCGGCCTCAATTGCTCTTTGCAGCGCCAGCGGCACGCCCCCTCTATCAACTAGCAGTGCTACCACTGCCACTGCGCGGCCTAGTCCCTTTTATTTCCCCCCTGTACGGATTACTCTGCCAGCGCTGCGTGGCCGGCCTCTCAGAGCACTCGGCCCCCCAAAGAGGCCCATTCCCATTACATACATCCTCCACAACCCCCCCCGTCTGCTGCCTTTTTGCTTCAACCCTCATTTTTTCTCTCCCGGCGACGGCTCGAGGCATGACAAGAGCCTCTTGATTTCGCAGCGTCGAACAGCCAGCAAGCGTCCCAGGCGAAGCCCCAACGGCCGATGCACGTTTTCTAGACGGGCGACGATCCGGCGCAGCGACACAAACGCCGCGAAAAATCGACTCCACGCGCGTTGACGCAACGCTGAGGGGTGGCCTCAAAGTCACTGTGGCAATTTCAGGCCTACGCATCCCCCAGCTGACGACGCTGTGGCCTACGACCAGACTCCAGCCTAGCCGCGACATCGACGACGACGCAATCGCCTCTTCAACGCTGGCACCTGCAACCATCTCGACCTTTATTTCAGATCGTCGACTCTTTTCTTTTCTCTTCTCTCTTACCGGACAAATTAATTGAAGAGAAAAGAAAGAGTACATTCACCAATCCCGACCACAGCCAGCAACTCCACTGACATCAATCGACCCGCTTCACTCGTTCAGCACCACTAAACACACTTTCCTCTACAGCTCTCACCCACGATGGAGGACCGAGGCTCCCCTTTCGGCGCAGGGTCCTCGTCGCAGGGCGACTACGGGGAGGAATGGGCTCACGACCTTCGCATCCGCTTCGAGGGCCTGCTGCGCGATAAGCGCATGAACGACCTCCGGGCTCAGCACATCTCAAACTCTCGAGAACGGTCGCCGGGCGCCTATCACGATGCCCCTTCACCTGCTGGCAGCGGCCAGTACAGCCCATCGCCCGCAGCGACGACACCGCCCTCCTACTCAGCCCTACGGCATCTCCCCAAGATCCCAACACCACCGGCTGCCGCAGATCGCGACTCACAGAAATTCCGAAACCTCCTCCTCAGCCTATCACTTACACCCACAAAGTACGAGAACCCTGGCTTGTTAGACGAGGCCCTTCAGACCATTCCCCTGGATCGCATATATGGCGAGGCGGAGGAGGAGAGCCAGGTTCTGCAGGCACAAGCAGAGAGTATGGGCGACGGTCGGAAACCGGAATGGGGCTATCAAGACTGTGTCATTCGAGCTCTTCTTCGGTAGGTTTAATGCTGATGAAGCCCATCGCCTTCCTTTTTCATATCAGCATTGCTCTAACATTGTTTCTTTCGCACAGATGGTACCGGCGGTCATTCTTTACCTGGGTAAATAACCCCCCATGTCCAGTTTGCCTATCTCCCACAATCGCCCAGGGCATGACTGCACCTACACCCGAGGAGAGTGCCTGTGGCGCACTTCGAGTTGAGCTCTATCGTTGCTCTGCCGAAAGCTGCGGTACCTACGAGCGCTTCCCGCGGTATGGTGATGTGTGGCGACTGCTGCAAACCCGCAGAGGCCGCGTCGGAGAGTGGGCCAACTGCTTCAGCATGCTCTGCCGTGCGTTGGGCGGCCGTGTCCGATGGGTATGGAATGCCGAGGACCATGTGTGGACCGAGATCTACTCGGACCAGCAGAAGCGATGGATCCACGTGGATGCCTGCGAAGAGGCTTGGGACAACCCGCGACTCTACACCGAGGGCTGGGGGAAGAAGATGTCGTACTGCGTGGCCTTTTCTACCGACGGTGCCACCGACGTGACTCGGCGATATGTGCGTAAAAACGAAGCTGCCAACGAGCGCAACCGGTGCCCCGAGGAGGTCATGCTCTACATCATGCAAGAAATCAAGAACCTCCGCCGGGCCAACATGTCCAAGGAGGAGCGCTTCCGACTGGAAAAGGAAGACCAGGCAGAGGACCACGAGCTTCGGACCTATGTCGTGGAATCCATTGCCCAAGCCGTCACAGATCTTGTGCCTGGATCATCCGCTTCTGCGAGTGGTAGCAATGGCAGCAGTGGCGCTGCCGGCCAAGATGCCAAGCTGCCCGCCGAAAATCTAGCTCGCCAGCCCGGATCTGCCCAATGGTTAGCTGCTCAGCAGCGCCAGCATGACAGACAATGCCAGCCCCGCGACCCAACCCACAGACGTGGTCTGCCCTGAACATCATAACTCGTCATCATCAACCCTTCTCGGATGATGTATCCTTGTACACTTGCTTTATATCAACCCATCTACAGCATGATTCAAACCGACCATCTATAACAGAGGTCTACAACCTCATTATATACCACACGAGACATTATGTCACGTCGATACCCAACGACTATCAATGACACCTGACTGCGTTCCGCTTTGCCGACGACAACCAATATGAGATATACCTACTTATATTCGTACAACTTTTACCGCAGGCGATTACTACTTGTCCTCTCTTTACCAAACCTATCCATCACTCATATAATTTTCCTATTTAAGCATAGACGGCGTTTACTCGTTGGCCGAAGAAAAAAAAAAATTCTGTCGCCTTTTTCATCCTTCTATATAAGAGGGGGCTGTTGCCCCTGTATCTATCACTTACAGACTCTTCTTCTCTATTCTTACTCTATTACCTTTTTTTCGAATTTCTTTTGTCGTTGGGTACAGGAAGAGACGGGCGTATCTGGAAGGAGGACCGGGACGAAATTATTTCACACCAGCGTGATCCCACCATTTTTTTTCTTATCTCATTTTCTGATTCTAGTTTTTGATTTCCCGTGGGAACTGGGAAAGGGGATTTAATACCCGATATTCCCCTGGGGCGTACGGTTATTTTTTTTTTGGGATAGCATCTTTTTGCTAAAGAGGAGATGGGAATATGGCATGAAGAGATGAAGATGTGGAAAAAAGCACATGGAGACTCTTTTTTTTTTGGAGGTAGAATTGAAGCTATAGGATTAGTAGATGTAGCGAATAGCATATCTGATCTACAGAGCAAAGATGGCGATTTTGTGTGATTCTGCATGATAAGCATAAAAGAGACTTTGAGACCTACTTTTCTTTGCGTTCACATTTCTAGAAACATGATGCTTTTGTCATGTACATTGCTGGTAGTTATCTAGAAAGCCACCTGGGATCTTTTCTCGCTCGCCTACTCATACGGCTCATGGTCCTAATATCTCAACAGACTGGATCATCTTGCCCTTCAGTAGTGTCTTATATATACGCGGTCTTTGATCATCTAAAACTCCGCTCATTGCGGAGATTTCTGAGCAATGCAATCCGCTCGGTAGGCCCACCACGAGGCAGCAGGTCAAAAGAAGGGGTCCGGGAAGGGCTTCCCGCTTCGGCGGCCCACTGCTCGGGGGTGACCCACCGAACGCCGAGTCCGCCGCCGAGTCCTCGGTGCGTTTTGTTGTACCTGCATGATGAACTGCCTGGTGGTAACCAGGTAGCTGTATGATACACGTAGGCCTCTTTATAAATAGACCGAATGCGTGCTGCTTTGTTCTCTCTCTTTTCTCTTGTATTATCTCTCTTTAAAACTGTGCTTTAAAGCAGCATTTTCACTCCTTGTCCCTTCGTTTAACCAATTCTTCCCACGTTCGTGTTATCTTCCTTCTGCTGTCTTGTCTCGCCATGGCCATCCCGACGACGATGCGCGCGCTCGTGGCACCGCGAAAGTGCGGGCCAGAAGACTACGAGGTGATTGAGCTGCCGGTGCCGAGCGTCACGCTGCCGACGCATGTGCTGCTCAAGGTGCATGCGGCGGCGGCGAACACGGGAGAGCTGCAGGCGTTTGACGGGCGGTTTGGGTTGCTTTACACGCCCAAGTACGTTTTGCTTCTTTTGAATGCTTCCACCTGCCCTCTTCTTTCTTCTTTCTTTTACTAATGTCCACTGTCAAAGATATCCAGCTCCCATCGGTCTCGAAGGGTCCGGCGTCGTAGTCGCCGTCGGATCCGCCGTCAAGGACTTCAAAGTCGGCGACCACGTCTACGGCGCATACATTGAAAAGCCCCTCTTCCGCAAGCCCCCCGCGGGCTTCGCCGCCGAGTACTCCCTCGTAGAAGAGGCGTACCTGCTGCCCAAGCCGGCGCACCTATCCTGGGAAGAGGCCGCCTCGCTGACCACGGCGGTGGTGACGTCGCACCAGGCCTGGCGCCGGGCCATGCAGCTCATGAGCGTGCAGAGCCTGGAGGGCAAGACGGTGTACATACCCGCTGGGTTGAGCAGTACGGCCTCGATGGCGGCGCAGGTTGCGAAGAAGGTGCTCGGCGCGGACAAGATTATCACGACGGTGTCGACGGGCAAGATGGACCTGGTGGAGCGGTACATGCCGGGGGTGTATGACCAGGTGATTGATTACAAGACGCAGAGGCCGCGAAACGTGGTTCCTCGTGGGAGTGTGGACATCATGTACAACACGCAGTGGGATAGCATGGACGAGGGCATTCCCTTGATCAACCCCAAGACGGGCGTGCTGGTGTCCATTGCGAGCGTGCCGGGCAAAGAGACGATGAGGACCATGTTAGGCGCGGACAAGTTCTCCTGGTGGATGGGCGTGCTGCTGGATCTGGCGGGGTTGATTTACAAGTGGAAGCTGAGGGGAACAAACATTCCGCACGAGTTTGTGTCGGGCGGTGTCGAGATCCGGGAGGACTTGGAGGCGGCGGGGGAGATTGTGGCGCGGGAGAAGGTGAGTGCGGTGATGAGGGTGGTGGAGTTGGGGGATTTGGAGGCGGTTAGGAAGGGGGGTGGGGAGGTTGTTTCTGGGAAGGGGGGGATAGGGAAGCTGGTGGTGAAGATATTGTGATGGGAGCTTTTGGCTTTGAGGGATGAATTGTTTGCAGAGTTGGAGTTGAGATACCGGATGTACACGTGAGCGAGGGCCCTAAGGTGTATTTGATATGGTTGATTCACGCATAGTGTTGTATTTTGTACTTTGTGTTTGTGTCTTTATTCTATTGTCTTATATTCCTTGCATAGATTACTTTGTATACCATTGATGTGTATACTGCTTTAAATGTTTTTCTCTTTTTCTATGTGAAACCGCTTCATCAATGGCTGTGAATTTGTTGCGGTCATAAGAAGCTGGCGGGATGTAAGCCGTGTGTGATTCTTTGAAGTGAAATGACCTCGCCTGAATATAAAACACCGCAGATAATGAACACTGGCAAGTTTTTACAAACTGGGTGTGTAATTCTCTCCAGCCTTTCTTTACAATATTATCCATCTGGAATTGCCCGATCCTAGATATTTGACTCAGGAGGCGAGATGATACTTGATGTAAATCACTCGTTGGTTCAAGTCTTGCTCAGGCAGCTGGATCTTTGGGGTAGTCCAACCCATTATCCCAATGGATGTACTTACCAAGAGTGCACCGAAATCGATGTATTCTTCATGGTAGATTGAAGGCTTGGCTTGTTCATTGTCTCCTAGATAAATCCCTAATGGATCGTATGGCCTACTCTAACCCAGCGAGCCAACATTGCAGCAATACAGGTAACTATGCGGATTAAACACTTAGAGCAAGACGAACTTTGTAACAGCCATCACCAAGATATAAGCGGCACACCCATCTGCACCACCGGCTAAAGCCCGTCGTGCAAATCAATAGCGCGAACACGGCACTGCATGCCGTAATCTAAAAGCTGCTAGTGCGGAGACCATTTGTCGCGCGACCAAGCTCGGAAAAGCAATGGGGAAAAAATAGAAAAGCCACTCTACGCGGTTGCGCGCAAAAACCAACCGCGACACCGCGCCATGGCCTTTTCCTCAGCTCCAGAATACCAGCACAGGGATCTTGTCGCCCAGCCCGTTCCTGTTGGTTACCTGAACGACCGGCGCCAGTCCGTCTCACTCAGCATTGGTTCGTTCCCATAAACTCAATCCGCCCGCCTTTCGTTCTTTTCTTCCCTCTTCCCTCTTTTTCAACTTTGCCTCGTGTCAATTGGGTGAGGTCGTGCATCTTCTTCTCTATTTGTTTTTTTTTGGAGAGGAAGCGCAGCGTGCGTGCTAATTCTTCAGATTGACTGTTTCGGCCTTGCTTCCTCTTTTCTATTCTTCTTTTTGCTTCTTGGCGTCTTATACTTGGTCTTGTTCCAGCTCTACCACTTATTATCCATCAGCATGGCCACGCTCCTCAAGCGCAAGCGCTCCGCCGCAGAGCTCTGCCCGCCCAACTCTATGATGGACGCCTCCGTGCCGGCAGCCCTGCACAGCCGCACCCTCAAGCGCTACCGCGACAACAGGCCGTCGGACGACGAGGTCCATCGTAAGTTCTACGAATGGCGCGCCCACCACCATCTGAGCATCCCCAACTCATCATCTTGCGCGCCCGCAGAGCACACCCTGGGCCTGCTGTACTCGGCTCAGCAGCGGCCTCAGCAGTTTCATCCCCAAGAACCCCCGATTGCTGCCGCGCCGGAGCAGCCCCTCGTTGCCGAGTCGTCGTTATCGTCGTCGTCGAACAGCCAGCAGTCGCTGCACCGCTTCTGGAGCATCGGCTCCGAGCCCAGCTCGGCCGGCTCGACGCCCGGCATCGAGACGCCCCCCGTGCTGCTGCCGACCGAGTGCGACGACTGCGGCAGTGCCCTCCTCGCGGGCGGGAGCGACGGCGACGAGATGGACGTGGATAGCAGCAGTGCCGTCGAGGACTCGGCCTGTGGCGCTTGCGGCAAGCACGTCTGCTTTAGCTGCTCGGTGAGCAACCTCGGCGAGCAGAAGCGTTGCTTGCAGTGCGCGGGACGGAGAGTCTGGATTGGCGGCATTGGCTGGACCGATGCTGGCGGCGTTTCCGTCTGCTAAGACACGCCGAGCTCCCACTTAAGATTATGAATTTTTTCATCTTTTTTTACGTGTCTTAATCACGCTATGATTTGGGTTTTGGCTGGCGTTATGGAGAAATGTGCCCACAGTTTGGCTGTATTGTTCGATGCTTAGCGAGCATCAATGTAAACGTGTACAATGAGCTTTTTGAATAACACATCTGCATCAGTCTTGGCTTCTACTGAGTGCATGGCGACGCGTATCCTATGCATGTCACTTATGCTGGCAACCCCCATTGAGAGTCAGGATAATAATAATAGATAGTAGCTGTAGTTGCAATTAAATACATGATAGGTCAAGCATACCAGATGACGAACATACCACGGGCAAATTAGGCGTTTCCATCTCCTTTCTTAATTAGTATATTCCTCCGCTAGTTACGTGATCCCAGCCTGTACACCAGCATCCCAATAAAGACCAATACAGAACAAAAAAGGAAACTCTATAAAACTCCATCTAGCCACGGCGGCGAGTCGTAGGGCCCTTCTTGGGCACGGCCGTTGAGCTTCCGCGGGCCTCGACGGGGACAACCTCCTTCCGCTTGCCTCGCGCCTTTGCAGAGGGCGCGTTCCAGTAGTACACCATCTGCAGAGCGAGGATGGCGTTGAGGGCAAAGCCGGAGATGAAGCCGTACAGTATCAGTTTGTCGTCGACTTCTTGAAGCGTGGTGAAGATGCGAGACAGCGAGCCGGCCAAGTAGTTGAAGACCTAGATTTCATTGCGTTAGCTATCATGTTAATCCAAAAAAAGGAGATGGAGAAATAGAAGTACGAACCGCAAATGCACTGAGCTGGCCGGTACCTCCCTCCTGCCAGATGGCCAGAATCTGAGGAACCTTGCTGGCAACACCAAGAACACCAGCGCCAGCCTGCAGGTAGCTCAAAGCCTGCATGTCCACGACATTTTCGGCAAACAGCGCGGCCGCACCAATGGCCAGCGCGGCCACAAATAGAGCCGCCATGGCAGGCCGGCCGCTGTAGTTCAGCACGAGTATAGAGATGACGACGTTCTGGCCCATGATAAAGGCCGTCTCGCCAAAGGTGCTAAAGGGAAACCCATTGCGCACGTTGTACGCCAGCGAGATGAGGTACGCGCTCGTCTCGAGCAGGTACGACAGGAACGACACGCCCTCGGCGGACTTGGACTTGAGCAGCTTGAGGATCTGCGGCACCTTGACGACGGCCGAGGCGCCGACGATGCCAATGCCCAGGCCCTTGCTGACGGCGAGCTTGACGCACTCGGTGTTTTCGATGTCGACGTCGAGCAGCAGCGCCTTGTAGCACGTCTCGCCGACGATGGACACGCCGAGGTCCCGGATGGGCGCCGGCAGGCTGTGCGTGATGGGCTGGACGAGAGACCGGACGGTGTCCATGACTGCAGTTGTTGGCGATGAGGCTGAGAAGGGGTTGATGAAAGAAATGTGGTCTGATTCCACTGTAATTTGGAAATTTTTTGGGTTAGGAGTCGCGCGCCTCGTTCAGCCTCGTCCCGAAGTGGAGCTCGAAAAGCTGTATTGCTTGCTTGGAGTCCCTTTTTTTTTTTTCCAAAAAGGCAGCGTCGCGTCGCCTTGCGTCGCGTGGCAGAAAAATATCAGGCTATTCTATCCAATACCTTTTTGATGCGGAATGCGACGCTTCTTTTTTTCCCGTCCGTGATGCCCTTGTCTGGATTCTGGCCAGATTGCGCTTGTGCCTGGGGCATGACATCAGGCAAGGCGGGGAGGTTCGCTCTGCTGTGGCTCAGCAGGCAGCTGGAGCACAGGGCAAGCTAGCTTTAGAGGCCTAAATCAACAGCGGGGAATTTTGGCATTTGGAGGGTAGAGCTGGAGAGGCGATCAGCGGGCTTAGCGCCCGGGGCTGTAGCTGCCAAGATCAGGACTGGCGATTGACTACAGCACTATCTGCCTTGTAGGCTATAGCACGATGGCCGTGTTGATTGATTCCAGTCTCAGTCATCTTTGTCGCAGTTTGATGCCTGAGTAGTTGCTGGTTCTATTTTCGTGGTGCTCGTGCCAATGCCCATCTCGAAGCCTTCTCGAGTCTTTGATGCTTCCTCCGCCTTTATGCCCTGCCTTTGTTCATGACATCATCCACCGCTCTCCGTCATCTCTTCTTTCTCTTCTCTTCGAAACAAGCACCAGCATATGCATGCAGAGGCACGACAAACGCAAGCACTAGCTCCAGTCCGTTGCACCAACACAAAGAAATCAAACGGCAACTTGGGCTGGGCCCCAGCGGCCAAGGCAAAAACGACGCCGCCAGGCTCCATCCACCCATCCTCTCCATCGCCCGGCCTCCAGCCACGCCTCAAGGCTGCAGCCAGGACGCACGTGTCAGCCCGTGAGGGGCCGTTTGCGCCATCGCCTGAGGACCTCAGCAGGCTGGAGCCCTGACCTTGCAGCATGACTGATGATTGACCGCAGGCAAGGACGGGCGCGGCCAGCATCGCATCGAATCGAACGCCCTCAGTCTGCTGGAACCCAGATGGCCAGCCTGCGGGCCTCTCTGCTCTTCTCCAGCGCCGATCAGACGCCAGCCAAGCCGTCTTTGTCGACGCTCTTTCGTCCTTGTCGCGTCCCTTTGTGTGGCGCACAGCTCTCGCCCGCCGTGCCATTTTAAACGCTTGACCCAACGCCCACCCCGTTCCGACTCCAGCCTCCAGGCCCGGGCCCTGCCGCAGCTAGTGACATCAATTACCTTCGCCGCCCGCGCAGCCTCTATTTACCTCCAGCGCCTCTATTTTTCTTTTCTGCTTCCAAGTTCCTTTCTCACTGCAAAACCGCCCCACGAACCGTCTTGAATGCCAGGCTTATTCGCTCCCCGTCGCCGTCCAGAATGGCCGTCCCTCAATCTAATGGCTCTCCGCCACCCGAGGCCATCACGTACGCCTACATGTTCGAATCGGATAAGAGCCCGACCAAGCAGTTTGATGCGCTGCTGAGAGCAATCGCGCGCTTTATCGTATGCCTTCACATGTCGCCTGATAGCAGCAACGAGGCAAGATGGCCGGCGACTAACAGACTTTGACAACAGGTAACTGAGCTTGGCGACCAAAATGATCAAAACCTCACCCCCAAGAAACTCGCTGCGTTTTACAAAGCCGTCGGCGGTGACTATGACTGTAAGCTAGCGGCGTGCGAGCCACAAGGGCCTGTATCTCTTGTGTTAACCTCGAAATCGCAGCCTTGTTCCTTGAGACGCCTCACTCGACCATCTCTTACATGTGGCATGTGACTGGCTGCCAGCACAGCTTGCAACCCACCGAGAATGACTACGACCCGCCTTCTATTCCCGCTCTGACGCCTCGGGGCTTCTCTCGATGGGAAGCGGTAGAGGTCCTTCTCGGGCCCGAAGAGCATGTCCCGTTTCTTCAATTTGCTGTCAAACACTGGGAGCTAAGACATCCTGAGACGGGCCAAGTCTTCCCGCCTGATCTGCCCGCCAGCGTCTTTCCCTCACAACCTGATCAAGAAGTCGACCGCTGGCACAAGACTTGCGCCGATCAGATGCGGGATGCTTCGAAAGAAGAAGAGAACGCAAGTATGCCTAGCTCCAGCTCCGCGCCGAAGCCCGAACCGTCTCCAGAACCTGCTGCGCCTAGGTTTGCCTACTTTCATTCGCCGGATCCTTTCCACCCGGCAAACCGTTTCTATCCATCGGATCCATTCCGCGCGACCTCTCCCCCTCGGCCGAGAGCTGCTGATCTGAATCAGTCCGAAAGGTTCTACTACGTCCATGTTGGCGAAAGATATGGGGCTAATTTTGGCCAAAGGCCTCCTGTGCGTTCGCCGGAAAGGCCTCGCCGCCAGAGACCTGCCGATGACGCCGGAAGGCGGCGAAGCTTTTCCGACTATGCTTCGAGTCGCCAGCCAAACCCCGACGGCATTCGCCACAGCTATTCCGGAACCTATCTCAACCCGGATTCCACTCGAACGACGCCTAGCCGACCTTCGCAGGGCCGCCGGCATAGCCACCTGCATCGTACATCTGACTCGTCGGGCGATGAATCTGAGGATGCCGCTATGCACATGAGGGCTAGACGGCGACAACGAACCGGCTCTCCCCACTCAGGCGTTCGTAGGGTCGTCCCGCCGTCATCTGGTCCTCCGCCGTCGGCGGGGTCCAGCGTCCCTTCTTTCCGGACACATCGAAGCGATAGTCGAGCTGAGGAAGCAAGAAGAAGAGGTAGTCCCCTCGGCTCCCTCAAAGAAAAATTGACCGAAACCGTTTCCAACATTTTCCCAGGTAACCAAAGCCGAACCAGCTCAAGACAGAGCTCCGTCAACAACCCCATCCGCGTGCGTAGAAGCCGCGAGAGCATACCTCCGTCACGCCTGAACCAGAACCACTCAGATCTTTCCGATGGCCAATCGGATGGGTCTAGCGAAGAGGAAATCCGTCATCGCCACAGACTACGCCAGCAGCGAGAACGCTCGTACCGCGCGGATGACCAAGATAGAGAACGATCGCACATGCACCGACCGGATCCACAGCGTCGGGCTAGCAGCCACACCGATCCGGAAAGGCGGCGGGACGCCGCATGGGATGCGAGAGAGAGAGATCACATCAGAGGAGAAAGGAAATGGGATAGACGATCTATGGAAGAAGACGTGCCGAATCCGGGCATACCAAGCAGGCGATACCAGGAGTCTGCCTACACTTGAGAGAGAGATGAAATTGTACTTATGATTTATGATGACGCGACGAAGACATTAGGCCATTTGGTGGAGTTTGAGCGATTGGATATATTTCTGTTATTTTGTTCAAAGATGTTATTATTGCTCATATACGCAGCGATCAACGCTCAGATATGTATCTTTCTATGCGGGCTCTATATAAGGGGCGTGCCGGGCATTGGTTTTCGCTTTCCAAAATCAATATGCCGGATTTGATTCTGCCTTTTGGTTGTTTTCATTAATTCTGCTCTTTCTTTGCCTTTTTTTCCCCCTTTGTTACTTTTGGTATCCAGGAATTTTTGCATCATTACTTAGACAGACATGTTCATAGGAATTGATTTATGGGGTTCATATCCCTTGACCACAAAGTCTTCTACTTTCCAGCCGTCGATGCTGCCGCCCTTTTCCCGTGCGATTTCCAGCTCAGGGAAAGGTCGCGGCTCGCGCTCCAGCTGTGTTCGAAGAGCATCGATGTGGTCAATGTAGACGTGTGCGTCTCCCATGACGTGGGTAAATGTTCCCGGTACAAGGTCGCAAACGTGGGCGAGCATGTGAGTCAGCAGTGCGTAGCTTGCAATGTTGAACGGAATACCGAGGCCCATGTCGCAGGATCGCTGATATAGCTGGCAGTGCAGATGGCCCTTGGGCTTGTTCTCCTCAGTCGGTTCCTCGGCGCCCGTTCCCCGTCCTCGTCCGGGGTAGGATACGTAGAACTGGGCAAACATGTGGCAGGGCGGCAGAGCCATGCTCTTAAAGTCCTTTGGGTTCCATGCGCTGAGGATCATTCTGCGGTCGTAGGGGCTGTTGCGCAGCTTGTGGATAATCTCGGCCAGCTGGTCGACGCCCTTGCCGGCGTAGTCTGTTTGAGCATCGACATATTCTGCGCCAAAGTGCCGCCACTGGAAGCCGTAGACGGGGCCTAGGTCGCCGACGTCGCGGTGGGTGAGGCCCACGCTGTCGAGGAACTCGCGGGAGCCGTTGCCGTCCCAGATCTTGACGCCGACGTCGCTGAGGGCGGTGGAGGAGGTGTTGCCCTCGATGAACCAGAGGAGCTCGGCGATGACGGCGCGGAGGAAGACTCGCTTGGTGGTGAGCAGGGGGAGGATGGGGCGGCCGTTGTCGTTGAGATTGAATTTGAAGCTGGGAGGGGCGAAGATGGACAGGGTGCCGGTGCCGGTGCTATGAAGTATGGCTTATCAGTATGTATGTTTTGCATGGTGGTGGTTTTTTTTCGCTACTGCTGTGCTGGGGGGTTGTTCCTTACCGATCGGGTCTTCGCTCACCCTGGTCCAGGATCTCGCGGACCAGGTTGAGGTACTGGTACTCTTCGTGTACTGGTGTGGATCCCATTGCGAGTTTCTGAGGTTGTGTGTGAGTGAGAAAGGAAAAATAGAGGCGTTGTTATAGGAAAAAGAATAGAGAGGATGAAAAAAGAGGTTCAAAGACGAGGGAGGGGTGTTGACGTCTTGTAAGTGACGCGCTGGACGCGTTGAACTAATTACTAAAAGGACTTGAGCGGGCGTGAAAATATATGGGGCACGTGATTTCGCGCAACCACTTTAAGTGCTTCTTGACGAGTGTTCCAATAGGCCTTTGCAAAGACTATTAGAGAGTTATACTAATTTGTGAAGGTAGGAGCTATATTAATATTGGATCTTTGAGAGTACTGCGATTATTCCCTTTTCTTCTGTGTACACAATATACATACTGTATCCCTCTATTCCAGCGGTTACATGTAGTGTCCAAATTGTAGTCACTCATCATGCACACCGAGATCCTGGGCTCAATCCGATGTGATGTAAGATCTTTCATGAGATAGTTTTTTATAACTAACTCTTGACGTTGGCCAATTCTTTCCCTCTCCTCTCCTGGTTGACTTCTATGCATAACAAGCTATTCGTCCTATTTCGCCATGGAAATATCATGTAGCAATGTTTCAGTTGCTCTCCTTCAACGGGGCTGTAATTAAGAATCCAGCCAGAGTAATCTCCTGGCCCATGGAAGCTGCACGATTATCTATCCCCGTCCACTCTGAGAATTTGCTAAACTTGGTCTTCTCCAGCACCTTGACGCTCCCTACATTCTTAACGTCTGCCAGAGCCGTGAGACGCTCGTCAATGGTCGGGGTGCTGCTACCGGCCTCGATGTCTACGGTCCGCGGATCAACCTCGAGCTCAGTCTCTTTGCGAGGCAAGCTACAATAGTTCTCGATGAAGCCATTTAAGAACTCGGTCGCGTATCCTTTTCCCCACGCCGCCTGCTTGAAGGAGTAGCCGACTTCTGGCCACCCAAAGTGCTTGCTGGAGAGGCTGTGCATGCCGCCTTTGCCGATGAGCTCGCCCGTGTCCCGCTCGAAGATGAGGAAATGGTACATTTTGGTGTCGTTGGGAGGTAGAAAGTCGTCCAGGCTCCGGACGGTGTCTTCCAGGGTCTTGTCGACGCCTTTTAGGGAGTGCTTCATGACTTCGTGCTCGGTGCGGAGGATGTGTAGAACAGGGACGTCGGAGAGGCGTGGGGCGCGGATGAGGAGACGGGGAGTGAGGATTTCGTCTCGTGTGCTGATGGGTGGGATGATTGGCAGCGTTGTGCGGACTTTGATTGTCTCCTTGTATTCCATCATCTTTGCAGTTGTATTTTGCTAATGGATAGTTGAACCTCAGTTTATGTCCAGATATCTTGCAAAACACCAGTCGCTTGTAGAACTGTAGGTTATTGGTTTTAACAATGATAGATCTTGGTGTTGCCACGTCCAGGTCAGCGTTTGTTCTTTGCTCTTCACACGAATTCATCAGGTCCTTTCAAATCTTGATTAAAAGCGCTTTGGTGCGGCGTAAATACTCTATCTACATATAGAGATGCCCTACATATACGATGCTTACGAGACTACTCCGGTGAGTCACTACTAAGGGAAGGTGCTCCGTTCGGCAGATGCGCACCCTGTGGACGAACGTAGAATTTCTTATCGAACTGTGGGGCTTTCTTTAGGTATAAACATATTCCCAAACTATTGATAGCAATTATAGCGAAGTGGGGAGATTTTCATTTGAATCGGTAGTCTACCTAAAGATGTCGAGGGCCTATGTATGTACGCAGTACGCTATCATAGGCGTCAAATGGCGCAGTGTCTTAGTCTAGGACGCAACAGGAATATGTACCTCTCCAGGGTTGCTTCGCATTGGAGTTGAAGTGCGCAGCGACCTGCGTGTGAGATGCAAAGCACCACAATCATACCAGACATTCATCAAATCGAGGTAGTAACAGCACGCATTTCATAAAGGTCCACGACATTAGCAATGTTGACTTTGCTTATTGACCCTCCCCAATATTAGTCGTCGGTGCAGTTTTAGGCATCTGGACATTGAATGCCGATGCTTTCAATGCTGTGATGAAGACCCTATCAGGCACCGATCTCTCTCTACTTGTAAGCATTATGTCTACATAGTACTATAGGAACACTCCACCAAGAGAAACCTGTGTCTTTGGGGGCAGAATTACTACTTGCAAAAGACTAACCGTGCACATGCTGCCTGCGAATGCTACTGGGCTGCTGCACCCCAGAAAACCCGCCGATGACAGAGAGCTGGAGCTGAAACCGGCAAGTGGTGGTCGCTGGTTTCTTCTCCACTGCAGCGAGCTACAGGGGTCGCATCTCGCTGAAGATTCCTCCCTGCAGCTCAGTGCAGCGGTCATCATCCTCCACTCCATCTTCGCAGCCATCCATCGGCCCATTTCACGTCCGCCAAAGATCAACAGCCACTGCTTTGAGCCAAGCGCCGAGCCGGGTTCCATCTCACCTTGCCAGGCTTACGATACAAAACTGCCATCAAGCTGTGCTTCCCCGGCCTTCCACTGCGTTCCCCTGCTCGAGGTGACACTAGGAGGGTCACACTCCTTCGTTCTTTGCATTCGCCATACTTGGACATTCTTCGTATTTGTTTGTTCGGCCGGGCTGCGGCGCTGACGGACGACAACAACGACGACGTCTTCAGCTGTGCAACATCATTGCGTCTCTTTCACGTGAGCCGAGTCCAAGCTTCGTCGTCCTCTTCTTTGTGCCGTGCACGGCCTCTCTCTCGGACGCTCCCCGGCAAAGGGGACAAAAAATAATTTGGGGAGGCATTGTCTTCATTCCTAGCACAACTTTTAGCCAGGATAAGCCCGAATCCACCCGCCGGGTCCCCGAGACAGCTTGCCTCTTTGGACCCTGGGCTTTCGCTGCCGAAACTTTTGTGGTTTCCCTCGTACAAAGCACGACGACATCGAGAGGCCTCGTTTTTTCTCATCCTTTGGCAGTCCTCCCGACGTCCTCATTCAGCCAGCAATTCTGTCCGCTCTTCAACGACCGCTCTGCATTAGCAGGGCCAGCCGCTTGGTCACTGCCGCCAGTAGACGACCTAGTGACGCTACCGTCGTTTTTGCGCAACTCGATCTCGGCCTCCTCATCTCGATCCTGTCTGGTTGAGCATATCATCGACCAGCCGCCAAAACCATGAGAGGCCGACCCGTTGAGGTGCTCGTATACGAGTACATGTTTCCTAAGCCCAAGACGTTCGATCCCCAGGACTTCCAAGCCCTGCTTCAGCGCAGCCTGATTCCCGAAGTTCGTCAGGAGACCCATGCCTTCTATGGCCATCTTGAGACGGAGGAAGCCAAGTATCCCGGCCTGGACTACACTCATCCGACGCACCGCATCCGACTCAGCCGCTGGTCATGGCATCGCCGACTTTTCAGAGCTTTCGACGGCCTGGGCCTTACGCACGCCGAGATTTCTGCTCTCACGAAATGGGAGGGAACCAAGTGGGCTAAAGACAAGTTCGAGAAGGAACAGGGCATCGTCATCAGAGACACTGCGGCCGATGGATTCCCAGACTGGACAGAGCCTTCCCGTCGGGCATCTGCTCATCAAGGCCGATCGGTCAGAATACACACCATTGACATTTCGAGCTTAGACGACGACGAAAATATGGAGACGGAGGAGAGCGACGAAGAACTGGCCAGCGTCGGCGTTTCGCTGAACCAGCAACTGCGCGCGCAGGCCGCCAGGCGCGAGGCCGGCGACACGTCTGCCGTCTTGGACGAAGAGTGGGAGCAGTGGCTTAAGAATGCAATTGAGAGTGGCGAGCTGGCAGTTCTTACCGAGCGGATGACCGAGGAGATGTTGGGCCAGTCTCACTCGTCCAACCCCATGGTCGCCAGCCTCCTGCCTGACGGCATGCTCCATATGGCTCGCGCTGGCCAGTGGTCAGAGATTCCCGAGTTCCTCCAGCCTTTGCTTCGGCGCACAGTCGCCCACGAGAATTCTGCCCGCAATGAGCCCATTCTGACTTCGGCAACGCGATCTACGCTGCAGTCGACCCCTGGCCGTTTGCCACCACCCTGGATTCGACGCACCTACTCAGACCTCCGGCTGCCAACAGGAGATTCTTCTACTAGCCAATCTGGTACTCAAACCTAAGGAGCGCAAAACCACGAAGAAAAAAATCGAAACGGTCCTAATGGATCATTTTTAATCACGCCTTTTCTACGAGTCTTTATTTCTCAACATACATCTGCCGCTACCTGGCCCTTGTTTTCCCCAATTTCTTCCTCTCCAGAATCTTAGAACTCTCGAAACCACTATAGATAGATATTCCTGCTATTTCTTTCACACTAATTCTCCGGATGGACTTTGCGCACATGGTTCGCAGACTGTCAAACATGCGAGAAATTTCTACTCACAATTTCAATTTTTGTTACATCCATCGGTTATATGGATTGGAGTTTAGGCGGACAAGCGCGGTTTAATGGATCTGTTTCCTTTCAATTTGTTACTCTTTTGTCTTCTTTGTCCCTTTTTATCTGAAGGAGACCTGTTCTTTATTTCCTCCCTTTCGTCTTTTTCCCTCTGTTCTTTGCGAGCAAACGAGTCAAATTGTATGCTTGGAAGATGGGAAAAAAGTAGTGGCTGTTTTGTTCGAATCTTTGCGTTCTCTCTGTGTAGGTTCGAAGAAAGACAAGGACGTTGTAGGTCTCTGGCTCCAAATGAGGGAAATTGAGTGATGAGAGGAAGATTACTAGCTCTGAGAGTTGATTTAAAATTGAAGTTTGCAGAAAAAGATGTTGATGAGAGGTGAAGAATTACCTTTAGATAGACGATACAATAACAACGAGATGAGACGTATGAGCACATCAGGAATGTGTCTGTCTCTTCCATTTTTCTAGTCATAAAGTGTTTCTTCGCGTTGATATACAAAGCAGTGATAGTTCTAGACTACTAGCTTGAATGTATCTGGTTGTTTTATTGCGTCTTAAAAACTAGAATAACCGACATTTATTGCTAAAAACCCGGGCTCTGATTCTTACATAACTGGTCGATACTATGTGGTCCAGGTACAATTAAGTCAGAGCTGGTGTTCAACTCCTCTGCTACACCAAAACGCCATTGCTCATTAAGACTGAAGAGAGAACAAAACAGATAAAGAGAAAACAAGAGGAGAAAAAACGTGAATCAAAGTCATCCCCCAGACTGGTTATTTAATCAGTATTTCAGAAACGCCAATTGCCTCAACAACTCCTTTCCAAATGCGTATACATCGTAAAGTACAATGTAAAAAAGGGTAAACAAGGGCTAGGATGAATGTATGCCCTAGTCAAGTCGTAAAGGTAGACCGTGTAGCCTTTTTCGTATTCTTGGGAAAATTCTATTTCTCCGGCTCGAGATGCGACCATTCAGGCACGGCTTTGATCTGCTGCCACATGAATCGCTCGAGCTTATTAGCCGACTTGGCGTAGGGCGTGCTTTCGTTGTTGTATTTGCGGCAGTTGTCGAAGATGAGCCTGGCGTCTTTGATAAAGTCCTCGGGGGTGGCATATTGGTCTGCCTCGAGCTTGCTCTCCATGGTGCTAAGATCCATAGGCTCCTTAATCACGTCATAGTAGTCCGCAACATCATCGCGATTAACCGGTACAAGGAACGGCCATGCAGAGTTATGATTTTGGAGGTCGTTGAGCAGGTGCAGAAGCTGGTTGTAGTTGGGTCCGTGGCGTGGCTGGCGAGCAAGCTCATCCATATCAGGAGACCATCCTGATGCCCGGATGGCGGGGATATCAAGGGGATTGATCTCTTTGATGCCATTCTTCCACTCTTTGGGGGGCGGGTGGATGTTGTGAGACTTGGAGTAGGCTCGAATCTTGGCCTGGACGCATTCCTTCTGCTTAAGGAGCATGCGGCCCATTTCCAGATATCGAATGCGCGGCAGCATGGAGCACTGCATAATCGTTCCGCCCTCGTAATCTTTAATGTATCCCATCCAGACGTGCTTGGGGAGAGTGATTTCCTTGGTAAACCCCTGTTTCTTGAAGTAACCAATCGCATAATTGTCGGCATACGTCAGGAAGTGCATGACGTCGCTGGTGGCCTTTACGTAGTCTTTCAAGTGGGACATGAGATGCGCACCGTATCCCTTGACTTGTTGGTCGGAGCTGATGGCGCAAAAGACGATTTCGGCAAACTGGCGACCTTTGAAGGGTCGGTAGGTGATGCCGCCCACGACTTCGAGGGGCTTCTTGACGATGGCGATGGACAGATGGGTTCGATCGTAGACGAGTCGCGCGATGTAGTCCTTGGGCATTTTGGGGAGCTGCTTCTGGAAGATGCACTTGAGACCGGTGAGGATGATGAGGGATTCGCGCTCGTTATCGTTGTTGACTACGCGAAATTCGATTTCGCCATTGCGCTCCTCGAGGACGGCGGGCTAGACAAGAGATGAGCATGCTGAAAGCAAGACACAGTGGTATATATATGCTGCTGGGCGCATCGCATACCTTTTCGGGAAACGGAATCAGCTTCAATTCGGCGGGCTTCTTCTCCTCTGCTTCTTCCTCGACGCTGTCTTCGTCTTGCTTGACTCGCTTAGATGCGGCGGGAGACGAGGGTTCGTCCTCGGCTTTGCGCTTGCCACCTGGCAGATGCGTTAGCACTGCGGCGAGGGCGCGGACAGGCAGCACGTGAATCGCCTCACCTTCTTCTTTGATGTCGGCCATGATGACGGTGTGCGCAGCGCGGATTGGCCCCGGGAGGCTGCTCGACGCGGGACGCTGGTTGGAGACTATGGGGAAGTTGAAGGTATGCAGATCGAGAGATATGGAGCAAGTGTGACACTTGAAAGGCGATGGCCCAAGCGTCTTGCAGCTGGCTTAGGTAAGGCGAGAGCCGCAGTGCTTGATTGTATTGCTTGAAGATGTAATGATGTAACAGCTTACAAGATCATGGTAATAGATATCATAGATTCCTAATAAAACTTGGCGATTATATATTGAACTTGATATACTTTAGTATAATATTCTCGTTCTGTATAATTGTTTGTTGATCATCCTGCTCAAGAGGTTCAACATCCACGGTACGTACCCACTGGCATATCCCCATATTCTGCTTACATCAGCTCAGCCCAGACTGTGCCGCGAATTGCGCTAAACCGCTTTGGCATTCGGCCAGATATCAAACATGAACAGCGACGTGCATTGCAGCTCTCTCAAGCTCCATCAGTTCTCGCAGCCACCGCGATTAGCTGACAGCAATTCTCCAACGAGGCCCGATTGCGTCCAGTTCCTCTCTGCCATCATCCGTGAGAAGCAGCCCGGAACCCCAATCTCTCGTTCCTCCCCGCACAGCACATGGATTCCTCATTGCATCAAGTCTGGCAAGCTGCTGCTGGCAGTCCGTTCCTCCCTGTTATTGGCAAGGAAAGCCAATTCACCATCGCCTTTGTTCTTCTCACGCTGAGTCTGGCAGCTACCGGTGTCTTTGCACTAAGTAAGTTATTAAGAAGATCAAAAGAATTGAGATATATCTTTCTAATTGTCGATCGTGATAGACCGTTCATTGGTCAGCGTCATTGCACTTGGCGTGCCAGCTTCTCTAGCAATTGCGTATGATGCCCGCCTTATATCCCCTGGCTATCAATTGGATACTAATAGGCAACAGCTTTGGAACCGTCTATATGTTCTGTGCAGTCGGAGTGTATGTTTGAGGAAGCCATTGTATTCTAGTTGGTAAAGCACTCAAAAAGGGTGCTTTAGAGCGAGTTATTGTGTCTTGTGCTGTTTCTCATTTTTTTAACCGATTATAAGAGTTGTTCTCACCTGTTCCATTTTCCTTTTTCCCTAGCATCTGATTCCTACCTTTCGACATGGCCGCCGAAGTGAAGCCTCTCTTTCGAGCCGTCTCGACGTCTCCGCGGCCGCTATATCAGCTCCTTCGTTGTATAGACTTTGCGCAGAGGGTTCACGTCCAGATTACCGAAGATGGAATTCGATTTGCGGCCGACAACTCACGGGTCATGCAAGGTGCGATGACCGCCGTCTCTAAGAATGTAGATGGCAAATGCTAACGGCAGGTATAGGAGTTGCATTTCTAGACAAGGCTCTGTTTTCTGCATACACTGTGAACTTCCCTCCCTCAGAAGATGGCGAAACTCCTGATTATCCTAATTTTCAAATACCACTGTCGACATTTCTTGAAGTATTGCAAATATTTGGATCGGTGGATGTGGCCGCCCGGGCTCAAAAGGCTGACCAAGATCCATACCGAAGCAACATTCGCAACTACAGGCCAAATGCGTTTAGCAACCACACTCTTGGCATAGCTGGGACTTGCACTTTATTATATGCGGAAGAGGGCGACCCTTTCAAAATCATCCTTGAAGAGTCTGGCACCAAGACTACCGCAGGCTTGACGACCTATCTGCCTGAAATGCCAGAAGACATCCCGTTTGATCGTGACGACCTGACGTTCAAAATCATCATGTCGTCTCGCACCTTGTTTGACTGCATCGCCGAAATCATACCCGCGGGACCGGTCAAGTTGACCATAACGGCTACTAAGACCTCACCGTTCTTGACCCTATCCTGTGCAGGAGATATAGGCAGCTCTAGCGTGGACTTTGCACGAGGAAAGGATCTCCTCGAAACGTTTAGCATCAATGACCGCTGGTCTCAAGCGTACAAGTTTGACTTCATCAGACATGCCAGCGAGGCCATGCGTATCGCAAGCAAAGTCAGTCTCCGAGGAGATAGTCAGGGCGTCCTGAGCTTACAGTTTATGGTTGATGTGGAAGGGGGGAAGAGGAGCTTTTTGGACTTTCGCTTTGTTCCGTTTGCCACGCACGATGACGGCGATGAGGACGATGTTGAGATAGAAGAGTATGATTGAGATGGTCGTTTTTAGGACAGAGTAATTGACTATGCGATGTGCAACTACGGGCTTCTACTGCTACCACTATCAGTGGTTATATCGCGTGAAACTAGAAATGAAGTCATCACAGAAGCCCTTGTGCTTCGAGAACTTATGAATGATGGTAGGTTCATCTACACCTCCCTTTAGAACTCAACCGCAGAGTAATACGTCACTACAGTTCGCCACATCCCACGGTATGGAGGCTTCATCACATGTGTGAGACATCAATTAACCAAAGACCAAAAACCTGCTCTTTCTCACATGCTTTGGGTGTCTCCCTTGCGCTCACATTCGAACGAGGCCCACTCGTTTGAGACTTTTCAAAGCGAAATGAGGTGGTCGCCCAGGAAATATGTGGAATGCATTCCAGTTGATATATGGCGCGGTTGAGCAGGTAGGCAAATAGGGGGTTGGCCAACAAAGCTGCAGTTCCTTTATATATAGCCTTATGCCCATTGTATGATGGTATTCTATTCTGTATCCTCTCTTGGTATTAGAGGAAACAGTGCATCCGGCTGCCTCCTCACAGCCATCATTAATTACTCCTTGAAACCACTCATCATTATTATCCAATTTTAGAGAGACCCTTTTTTCGATATCGACCCATCTTACATAGCTACAATGCTCCATTCAAAAGGCATCCGAATCGCTTCAGAACCCGAGAAGTTCACCCCTCCCCCCTTTTACACCCACAGGCCTCCCACAACATGGCGCTTAGACACGATACAATCCATCAAAAGGTGGCTCACCATGTGCTGCGGCAGCCGCATAGCTCACAAGACGAGCGACGCCGCGATTTGGAAACTAGAAGAAGGGACAAACAGGTTAGAGGAGGACTGCGAGCCATTGATTGAAGGACCAGGCGGCGCGTCTGATCGGAACAGGTGGGAGACGGCAAAGGTAACGTTTCCGAAACATGCGGCTACGTCTTTTTTGTTGACGGGGACATCGAGGGCGATGAGAGAAGCGAATTATGCGTTATGAGAGCAAGGGGAAGACAAAGAACGAAGAATGGGATGGAGGGTAATCTACGAACATGGAAGAAGGTGGATTCTTGTTTTTTAAGAGGCGTTGGTGGACTATCTGAGATTTACATTTGTTATGATTTATAGTACGGATTATCATGCGACGACCAACAATGGAAAGTCTTTTGGTTCCTTTTGCTGCTCCCTTGCTCTAACTCTCGAAAAAGAAACTACGAGAAACGAAACAGAATATTAAGAATATCACTGAGGGAAGAAGGATGAAACATCTGTAGAGCATAGCATAGACGGTCGAATGCAACTGCTTGCTTTCAATGCAGCTTGGTCAGCAACTAACTGTCCCGATTTACAAGTCTGGATATATCAGAAACCACCCCCGCATATCCATTGGCTGGTAGCATAGCTCGGGATGTATGGGCATGGGATGGGATGTTAATTGCTTGCATTTAGGATTTAGGATGATACCACGGTACAGGGCTAAAAGGTTAAGATGGGTAGAATTTGCGACGTTTCACCAGAAGAAGCAGATCCAAGCCCCCCAAATCTCCATGTATCAATCAATGCAGCTAAAATTAGAAAAGAAAGTGGTTTCATCGGCGAAACAAACGGAGCTTGGCCAAAGCGGGGGACAGTGAAAAGGAAAAGAAAGGAAAAAGAAAAAGCCAGAGGTTGGAAAGCAGAAAGACAGAGTGAGACGTGTTATTCAAGTAGCTGCCTCTCTTCGACAAGGCCAGTTTGCAAAAAAAAGATGATAAAGAGGGTCCAGGCGGCTTTTCTGCCGTCGGCCATGCACCCAATATAGCCGCGCCGATTTGGACCCCGGCCAGGTATGACAAACGTACCAAAGACTAAGATGGCAGGCGGGCATATAAACTTGGAGCGATTTTATCCATGGATGCAACCTGGCATCGGCGGAAGAGAATCTGTCATTCCGGCGATGATTTGACACACAAAAAAAAAAAAGAAAGAAAAAGCACAGACGTTTTAAAACGCGTGGCAATATACAAGGTCATGATGCATCCTGGGCGAAAAAAAGAAAGGCCATGTCTGCGTCTAACGCAGTCTGTGTCTAGGCAAAATGCTATCGGACCACCCTGCGACTGTCACCTACTGTAGAGGGAATAATGACGGGGTTTGCGTGATGTCAGAGTAATGGGATAACGTTGGGCACTTGACCTCGAAGGCTTTGCGTTAACAAGCAAGCTCGGCGTTTCTTGATTTGGTGGCTTACTCGCGATGAAGTCTGTTTCATCGTGTCAGCAGCAGCACTGGCTGCCTATAATGATATAGAGCGGTTGATGCTATCTTTTTTCCTCAGTCGAGAAAGATGCTAATACGGGCTTACCCTGTGTATATGTGCAGGGACATGCATGGGTGTCCGAGTAGAAAAATCCGGGCATTGTTCCAGTTAGTTGATAAGTATCAATCATCTGCGTGGATAAGATTCACATCGGATGCGATGCCACATGCAGCTATCACTGACTGGGTGATCTGCTCCGAACCTTTTGTAGCAAAGCCGTTCAGGCCCCGCCATGCAGTGCCGATCGGCTTTCGTGCCCGCTAAGAAGGAAAAAAAGAAACATAGAGCCCTTGCAAAGCGTCTTGTCTGCCATTTTTTGCGTCTTTTTGCCTCGGGATCTAGAACTGGGCTGGGTGGTGGTTCTCGAACTGCGTTGGGGACGTGCATGTGGGAATCGGACGGTACTGTTAGTGCGGTATTGACGTGAGGGGTAACAATAGGAATGACACCTACTGTCTCTGGCATCTGCTAACAAGCTAAACATCTAGGCAGCGAGTAATTCAGATGCTAAGCTGCAAGAAGGGTTGGCAGAAGCGAATGTAGTGGCACGGGCTGTGTGTGTGTATCTGTATCTGAGGACCTACAGTATCTGACAGGCGATGCTTTCTGTGGGCGAGGTATTGGAGTCGTCAATGTAAAGGTGGATGAAGGCCTGGATTATAGATGTAGCTATTGTTGCTTTCTTATTGCGTGCAAAGCAGCCGATAGTAGGATCAAGTACATCAATAGTTTGCGATTCGTTATCTGTTGAATCGCCACCGCTGCCATTGTTCGCAGCTCTGGTGGTGTGGCATTTGGCAATCGGATTGACTTGTTCGACAAGGATTCGCCGCTGTTGACTGCACTCGCCATACCAAGTACATCCACGTGCATGGGCTTCATCCGATGGCGCCGCTGGAGCGCCCGAGATGAACATCATTTGCTGGTGCTGGTGCTGTTGGCTGCTGGATTCCCGAACGATTGATGCATTGCATGTGCGGTATAACAGCCTGGACAGCCTTGTTTGCCCTTTTGCCTGTGGTACAATGCGCGGATGTAGTTGCATGTCCTCCGGCAGTGGCGGGCTGCGTTGATGGAGGTGAAATGCCGAGAGTCCGGGTATTTGACATGCAGTGGCCTGTATGTTGCTTTTGTTTTCTTATTTTCCCTTTCTTGTTGCCTTTAATTTCTAATTTCCTTCTTTTTTCCTTCCTTTGCTTCTATTCCCCTTCGTCCTCTTGCATAACGCAGATGAGGCAAATACCGCTCCCAACTCCCAAGAACCAGCACCGTGCCACCCCATCAGATACCCCGTAGGTCCTTGCGTGCTTCATGCATGTCAGGACAGCATGCACCCATTGATGACGGCGTCTCGCCTCGTCTCGCCTCGTTCCAAATCCCTCAGCGCATCGTTCTGTTTGCGCGACTTGACTCGCATCTTTCTCTCGTCGGCCAGTTGTCGGGCATCGACAGAAATGGCCCGATGCAGCTAGGCGACGGGTGTTGGAGCAAGTGTTAGCGGACTCACCGAGAGCGGATGAGGATAGCACAAAGAACAGAGGATGGATTCAATATCGCGGGGACCGCGCGCCATCTTCGGAGCGTGGTCGCTAGCGCTCTTGGCTGGACGCCACCACCAGGTCAGCCGGGATGGACCGTTGGGATGGATGGATGGCCAGATCGGGGCTTGAACCTTGCGGCACTCGAGGTTTGCTGCTAGTAGTAGTAGTAGCAGGTATTCTGCGATGCTGATTCAAGGTTGAGCTTTACATCTTGAAGCTTCAAAGCGTACCTACATGTGGCGCAAACTCTCCTCCTGGCCCTGAGTTTCCTTCTAGAAGCAGAAACCCAAAATAGAAGCGGCCCAGTCGTTTCGTTCACCACACCTTGGCACCAGTTACAGACCTGCTCCATGCCTGTGGATACGTACCCCGCGATGAGGCAGCTCGGGGCAATTGTAGCGGGCACAGCGTCCAGTGGCATCGGCCCGTCACCCTCTCAGCGTCCTGCGCAAGCCGGCCAAGTGATGCGCATCTTGGGTGTTGTACCGAGCAAAGCACCGCTGGATAATATATCGCTGCAGACCGGTGTGAGAAGAAGGGGGGAACCTGGACGTAGGTAAGGTACCTAGGGAGGAGACGCTGCAGAGACGGAGGGAAGACTTACGGTGAAGAAAAGGTCTGGGGACCTTTGTGTTTGATACGGACTGGACCCAATCTACGGATTAGATTAGATCGCTTTTTTTCTGCCATCAGCGTGACCACTGTCTTTGTCTGCGGTGTGCGAAAAGAGACTTGGTCCCATAATTCAGGCTCATGGGAGGGAGCGTTTTTAACTTGTTACGATTTCGTGATAGTATTTAATTCTATACGATCAAGGTTGTTTCCCAGAAACTGTATCCCAAAAGCTTGTCGTTATTGATAGCGCCATCAAGGCTCCCCTGCCGTATGTTGTCACCGATACGGAACGCTGTTTTCGAGTTGAGTTGAATCGAGTTGAATCCAGTTACGGAGTACCTCGACGCCAGATCCACCGCATGCATGGCATGGCAAGGTCCTCCCTTGCTGCTCATTACTCGCTGCCTAAGAGCTCCCTGGCAAATGTTGAGCTAATTCAACCTCTACTAACAGTGAAACTCTGTATTGATATCCATGCAATTACATACGTACTGATACTCGGCGGCTCTCCTACGATGCTACTTTCAGTCAGTCGTCTCTCCGTCCCGCAACGCAAATGCGGGGAGGGATCCTGTCCTGGGATGGACGGTAGCATCAACCAAGTCGGCGAGATGGCGATACCCAGAGACTCAACGTAGCAGCAGCTGACAAGTGTCGGGGGCCCTTTTGGGGGTCTGTGTGGGGAGGATGCGGCATCTGAAATGCCTCCAGCAGCTTGAGTGTTAGTGGCGGTTTGCACATATTGCCGTATGCCCGTACAGGCCTAGGCCGGTGCCTTTAGGGGCGCCGCTGCAATGGCCGCCATCGCCAGCGAATCATCAGCGCCATTACCGCCTATTACTCCGTTACTCGCGTGTTATGGCATTTGAGTTTCGACCAGCATGAGGCCAGGCGGTCCGCGCGGCCAAGCTTTTGCGACTACGAGAGTCAGTTGAATGGTGCTTTGAGGTCTTTTTGTTCTTTTTGTTCTATAGTATCCGTACATGCGCCTATTTTACAGCATTGATAGTGCAGAGAGAGAAAGAGAGAGCGCGCCATTTGCCTACAGCCACAGCCATCCCATCCCGCCGTAGCCGTGTGCACTGCAGTGAGTGAGTGAGCTCATGGCAATGACTCGAAGAGCTGAGCACGCATGATGCGACGCTATTGGATTCCGCCGCGCGGTACCACCACAATATATTGCCCGACTATTGCAGCGATTATCTGGCCTCTATCACGACGATGCCGGAGAATTGGGGCCTCTGCTAGTGGATCGTCAAGTCGAGCTGAAGATGCACCGTAAATGATGTCCCCCGATTAGCCAAATTGCAGTTGAGAAAAGAACAAAAGAGCGCCAGAAACTACTTCCTCGCTAGGACTGGTCTGGCGGGCCGGAGCACTCGGTTAGGCTTGGCCTTGCGTGCTAGAGGCAGCTCCGAAGTGGCTCCAGCGTGCCCTGTGCCTGCCCTTTCCCCCAAAGCCGCCGCTGAGACGCGGGCCCCCATTGGCTCTGCAGGGAGCCTTAGTGCCCTTAGCCCCCGTAATAGGCCCCGTCCTGCCCACACCTCGCTGCGCTACAGGCTCGACACGCGCTACAGCACAGGTACCGGCTGCAAAGTACCTCTGCCTGTACGAGTACGATTTCAAGCACAAGGGACCATTGTTGCAGAGCAGGCAAGGAACATGAAAGGCACTTGCCAGCCATGCATGGCCGGGATCAAAGGATGATGGACATGGCACGATATGGTTGGACTTGCCTTTTAAGTCGACGATGCTCCCCACGCCGGACGCGAAGCCTCACTCCTGCCAGCTCTTTTTCTTTCTCTTGTATACAATTGCTCTCCTTCCCGCCCCGTTCCACGAGGCTTTTTCTTTTTCTTCTTTTTGCTTTTTCTGCTTCGACGGTTGGCTTTCGCCACCAGAGCGCCATAACGCCAAAAGGTACTTTTTAGCTTCTCTTAGTTTGGTCTTTATCACCGCCAACAGCCCGGCGAGTCGAAGCAGGACCGAAAGCGCAGGCGATGCCGAGCAAATAAAGCAAACTGAAAGCCGCTTTCACTTTCTACCAGCTCGCCCAACAAAACACACAACAGAACCTACAAAAACGACGACGGCAACAACGACAACCTGTGATACTACAATGCATACCGACAGACCTACATTTCCTATCGCCCGCGCCTGGTAGGACACCAGACTCTTCTGCGCAATCACGGCTCCGCCCTCAGCACTGCAGTCGCAGGTCTTGCTCGTCGATTCTTCTTCTCTTTGATACCCAGCGCAGTTGGCTTTTGCGCTACTCTTGGATTGTTTCTTTCAACATACTCTCCCTTACTTCAATCTCGTCTCCAGCTGCCTGCTTTCGGAGATGACTAAATTAACAAAGCGGCTTGAGCTCCAGATGGAGTCGAGCAGACTAGGACTGCTGCGGTCTCACTCCAAGGCCAGGTCTGGCAAGCTTGCCGGCTCCCAGAACAAGGCGGATGTGCCTCCTGCTGCCGAACCCGAAGACGCAGCCAAGGAGGCAGCCAAGGAGGCAGCCAAGGAGGAAAAGCACGAAAAGTCACGATCATGGTTCTCTCCCCGAAGGAAAGATTCTGTGGCTTCTACGATTCTCCGAAGCAGCAAGAGCTTCCGCCGCCTATCCGCAGTCTCATCGGCGGCTTCATCACAGGCCGCCATCTCGACGCCCACTACCCCATCCTTTTCGCGAGGAAGCTATGAGAGCGATGCGGCCTTCCACCACAGGAAACTCTCTCCTCTGGAAAACAGCGAGGCACTGATATCAGAACCTGCGCCGACAGATCCTCCTTCGATTCCCTATCCCCCACACCGACCCGAGCGCCCTCAAGGAGACTTATTCGAGGGAACACCTCTAGAGAAGGCAAATCAGCTTGACACGGCAAATCCCCTTGAAAAGGCGAACCAGCAAAGTCACCGCCCCAGCCGGAGCCGCAGCATCCTGCGACCCTTCTCCCCTTTCCCTGGCCCGTCCATTAGAGATTTGCGACGCCTTAGCCAACACTCTGAACACAAACTGCAGGCAAACAATGCCGCCGACGCCGATACCACCACCAGCAAGGCCAGTCGGCTTTCCACAGAAACCGAACAGGTGCACGAGCCTGCAGATGTAGCAATGACTCCGGCTTCGCCAAAGCCATCTACATACTCAGTTCTGTCTGCACCAGCACCCATTGTCCCCAACCGCCGCACCAGCCTTAGGCCTAGCAGCAAGGGATCTGAAGCTGGCGTTACGCGCAAACCCTCCATTGCCAGCTCATTCCATTTTTCCATCCATAGACGGCCCAGCCATGTCACTGCTGATATAGAATCGCGGAAACATGTACGGTCCTCTAGGTGGACATTGACAGAAAACATGGCCGACATGTTCAAAGGGCAGCACATAAAGACGGACAAACAGACCATGACTCCGGCCCAAATCGAGGCCATTTGGAATGGCCAAGACAACGGTGGTGGTGCAGCAGCAGCGGCTAAACAAAAACAAAAGAAGGGCAAAGAAAGGAGGATGAAGGCGGCGTCGGATACTTCGGCAAGCATATCACGTTCATTTGGAGGCCCGCTTACAGAACAACAAAACAGCCTGTTCAGCGACCCCTTCCAAAGATCTGGTAAAATGTCTTCACCTGTCCCCATGAGCAGAGCCGATATAAAAATGAGACATCTCCCCTTCGAGATCGCTGTCCCGCCGCCCCCCTCAGCAATTCTGGGTTCCCCAGAAATCTTTCACGGCGACGTTTCACCAAAATCACCTACAAAGGTTGACAGAAGTCACATGGGTGGGCGGCACTCAGTACCACGATTGGTTTTGCCAGATTCTGAAGATGTCGCCATTGAAGATGACGACGACGCGGTGTCAGCTAGCTCGATACCTATTCCCCCTAAGAATCCTGCCAGATTTGTTGCGAGAGCGCCGACAATGCCTCTTTTGCCTCCCATTCTGGAAGGCTTCCGGTCTCCTTCGGGCAGCAACAGAAGCTCAAACATCTCATCCCATCGCCGAAGCCGAAGCTGCAATCATGCCTCTGAAGTGAAAGATGACATGATTACTTTCACCAGCACCCCTTATACCATGGCTAATCCGTCTTTCCGGCACGGACCCATTGTCCTAAGTGATGCTAGCAGCCGTGACTCGGTGACGACAGCAGAGGCTGTAGAAGAGGAAGGGGAGGCCGTTGACTTGTCGACACTCTCAGGCGAGCCCGAAGAAAAACTGGGACATGTGATTCCAAAAGACAAGATCTTACCAGACGAGGAGGAAGGCAAGATGGCCGATGACATGGCTGACTGGTATGACGGACTCAATCTCGGGTCTCCTGGCGAGCTCATCTCAGTCTCGGAAAAGTCGTCAGAGAAGCAGTCGGATCGGTCAACACAGCGAGACTCGGCGGGCAGCATGACCTCGGCCGCATCAACGCCATCGACGGTGCAAACGGAGGCTGAAGCAGAGCTGCAGACCCCCGTGGCCATCTCGCAACACCCAAGTCTCTTTGACTCTATTGTACAATTTCGCAGCGGCTGTGAGAGCACTTACAGCGCCAGCGTATACGATGAGGACAGCGACGGCGAGATGAGCCGCAACGAAATTGACGAACTAGCACCAAGCTCCGTAGCCTCGAAGCAGGCTATGGAACACGGATATGAAGCTTTCCTTGGGTTCAGTCTTGATGATTCTTATTGAACAATTGCATGAGAAACATGTACTGCAAGAGAGTTTTTTTTTTTTTTTTTTTGTATAAAGGTTTTTTTGTTTTGCATGATGTGATGGCTTGGGATACCGTTGGATTACGTGCCAGACGCCGCATTTCATTTCATTTGTCAGATTGAAGATATATACCAAGGCAGGGATTTTGAAGTTGGGGACGCTGAGTCGGTCTTTATGGATACAGACAGATACCAAGTTGAATGATACCACAGCGCGAGCCGCGTTTATTTTGTCCAAGATTCTGAGTCTGATATAATTTGTGTAAAATTGACTGTGATGAACGTGATATTAATTGAGTTGGTTGATGAGTATGTGATGTTTGCTGCGTTGGTGAGTGAAAGAGGCGCCACTGCAATTGTGGCTGCCGCTGTGGCGGGTTTACAAGCGGGATCTTTCCTTAGCTCGTGCATCTCACTTACTTTACTCCATCTCTCACTCATACCTGTGAATTATCAAAGATCGATGATAGATTCTCTCTTCTCAACGACAAATTTTGAGAATCCCGTTAGCTTTAAGATTGACGTTTCGCTCATTCTGCTCACGGCTTGTTTTCCTCGCGAGATAAAGCATAGCAACGGCGACATAGAGAGACAGCGCCTTTGCAAGAAAAACAAAGAGATATTACAAAAGAGAAGGCCGCATCAAGCAAGGACTACGACCGACAAAACCGTGCTGAAAAGAACGATACTTTAAGGCTTTTCAATCATCTTAGCAGCCACTAGAGAAACAAAGTTCTCATTCCTCTTGCACGAGGACAAGCAAAGGAGAAAAGAAAGGGAATATTCAAAATGCTCCGCCGCCCACCGACAACCCTCCAAATCACAGCCGAAGACATCGCGGCCTACGAGGACCGGCGCGCCAGCGAAGCGCTCCTCGCGGCTCAACACGCTCGCGCGGCTGAAGTCGCTGCAAGGGCTGCTTCTGCTTCTACTTCTGCTGAGGCCGCGGGATCGAACGCCGGTGCTAGTGGTGCTGGAGAGGCGGCGACGCGGCAGACGACGGCGGCGATGGGGGGGCTTGGGTTGGGCGCGCAGGCGATGGAGGGGGTGCTGAACGATGGGGAGGGGAGGGCGAGGAGGACGAGGGAGGAGAGGAATGAGAGGATTGGGGTTGGGAGGAGGGCGAGGTGATGGGTGATGGATGAGATGGGTTTTGGTTGTTGTGATTTTGGGGGATATGACTTGTGTTTTCAATATTGTTATGAGCTTTTTAATCTTGGGGAAACGGAAGAGATGAACGAATTCTGTTATTATTTTAATGATGTGGTATCAACCTGTTCTAGCCAGCCGTGATCCTGATTCAATGCGTATGTCTCCAGTTGCAAACACGCTTCCCCCCCATACATGTCAATGGGTAATTACGAGTAATAGTAGGTAAAAAGTAACAGTAGCACCGGCAAGCCTTCCATATACAGAATAGAGAAAGAAAAAGAAAACAATTACAGCTACTAAATTCACTCCCAGTCTTTTTTCGCCGGCGGCCATAATGGTGGCCTAGATATATAGATAGCTATGTTCTGAATCAGCCGTTCCGTATCAAGTAGATCCAAAACAGCACTGCTATCCAAGTCACCCGCCATGCTGTCGTCCACATCTCCGTGGCCATTACTTTGACAGAAAATCTCTCCCCCCTGCCTGTCGTCGTCTTCCACGCCTTGCCGCCGTCGTAGTAGTCTTGGTTGATCTTGATCCGCGGCCCATCGGCCATGCTCCAGCGGTGCCTGTGCTTGCCCTTCTTGCCGGCCCAGCGCATGCTGCTGCCACCGCCGTTGCTCGAGCTTGACGACGGCGTGATTGGTGGCTCGACTTTTTCTTTGTAGACGGGGAGGAATGCGTTTCTTCGCTCGGGTGATAGTGCAAAAGGGGTGAGATTTAGGACGGGGACGAAGAATGCCCTGACGGCTAGGATGATGAGGGAGAAGAGGGTAAAGGCGATATAGTTCATGTATTTGACGAGTTGGTTGGGTAGTAGACAAAGATGGGTCTGCACCGTCTGCTCGGGTGAGCCTGGTAGGGGCTTGCCGTCTTTGTCGATTGGGTTGTAGAGACTGACCATGAGGAAGCCCGGAGTTGGCACGCCCTGAGACATGCTCATCGTCTTGACCGTGATTTCTCGCACGCTGTCCTTGGCCTCAGAGTGGACGAGCTCACAGTAATCGTGATCATCTCCAGAAAACACATTGACGACGTTGCCGACGCTCTTGACCAGCTTCACTGAATCCTCTTCTGAAAGCACGTTCTGGTATTGGTAGCCAGCCACCACTGATATAGAATTGCTGGTATCCAGGCTGCCATCGGGGTTGGGCTTATTCTTGGGCGGCCAGTGCTCACGCTGTGGTCCACAGGGAGTCCCAGGAGGACGGTAAAGAGGAACATGCGTAAGGAGCAGCGTGGGGAAGTCGGCAGCCCCTGGTCCGGGATCTCTCGACCATCGGGTCAAATCTGCGTGGTCCAGGTCCTCGACGTTGTGCTTGAACTTGGGCCCCATGTCCACGCCGTACCAAAAGTTGAGTTCCTTCTTTGCCATCTTTCGCTTTGTAGATTGGACGCCGTCGAGGAATTCGTGAACGGGTTTGTAGATGGCGCTTAGATCGTGTTTGTCTTTCTGCTCAGACGTCCCCGCGCTGAGGGAGACGGCATCGACCGAGACAATGGTGTGGTTTCCTACGACGTCGACTCGGTTTCCTTCTCCGAAATATGCCTGGTAGCGATCCCTCACGGACTCCTGGACCATGGCGCCAAAGCCGAGATCATGGTTGCCAGGCAAGCTCGCCACAAACTTCCGGCCTCTCTGCCACGGACCTGGCTTGCTCCCCGCCACATTCCAATCGAAAAAGATGTTCCCGAAGCGCTGGTATTCCTGCAGCCAGAATTCGTCGCCATACTTGCGGTGCCACGTCTTCACCCATCGCTGTTCCTTGGCTGTACGTGAACGGGAACCCCATTTGGGATCGACAAAGTCGCCTTGCCTCGGCTTCCATTCTCGCCCGCCTTCGAGCATGTCGCCAAGGAAGAACAGACTATCCGGGTGCAGCTTATGCAGCAGCGCATCGTAGCTTTGCTTGAGATATCGATCGGTAACGGCGACGACGACGGCGAGTTCCGCCCACGGCCAGTCGGGGTTGGTGTGAGGATCGAGGATTTGCGGATCGGCGATGAGGACGAGGTGATGGGGAGTTGCGCCTTTGGGCTGTTTGTTGCCAAGATTAGTGATTGTCCTTTTCTTCTTATATACCAGAAATCTCCAGAGAGCAATGGAAGCAGCATCAACTCACCCACTTCTCCCAGCTCTTCCAGTCACAGACGTTGACATGGTTGGCGTAGATCCAGCGCTCGCCCCAGAGCAGCAGGATCATCCAGAGAAAGGCCAGCAGATGCGGGAAGCTCAGCAGCCTCTTAGCCGTCAAGTTCCTCTTGAACTGGTGCAGCACTCTGGCGACCAAGACGGCGACCCTGTGCAAGCCCGGGCCTCTGATCCATTTCCACGCCAGATGCAGCAGCTTCGCGACGCCCCTGTATATTTCCTCGGCCACCGAGAGGTCTGAGGGGGGCATTTTCGAGCCCAATTGCTGCTCTCCCTCACGCAGAGGAAGGCGTTGACTGCGGGCTTGTGTTGTGTTGCGGTAGCAGGCTGGCCTAAAACAACTTGAAAGTCAAGGCAGGATGGCCATGCAGACATACGAGGTGGGATATATTGGCAGCAGTAGATGATGACAGCAGTCACCACGCCGTATGGCCGTAGTGGGCCTAGTATGGTGGTAGCGAGTATTATAGGAGGTCGGCACCTATAATCTGCGCCTAATTAGTCTGGGGAGCAGCGATTTAAAGTCAGGGCCCAGGGCTAGAAAATTAAAAAGCCACCCGCAAGCCTTGCCAGCAAAGCTTGTGCTTGGTGAAATCAAGCAGCGCAACTAGGTGCCGATTTCAATCAAGAACCCGCATAGCAATCACAGTAGAAGCATCTGCACCTGATCAATGATGGGTTTGCCATGTACGAGAGGCGCAAACCGATTCCGTCCAGATGGGGGGGCTCAATTACCCCGAAATAACGTACTTCCATGCAACGGGGCATTGCTGCAGCGATCGACCGCCTGAGCGGATCGCGCTAATACGCCTCAGCTGCTCCCTAATAGCACGCTGAAGCCGCAATCGATAGCGAGTACGGCTCCGGATGGAGCTTTTGAGACAGCGATCAGCGTAAACGGCAGCACATCTCCTTAATAGGCACCCAAGTACTCTATACTGTTGAACTCCAATTCTGCCAAAGCTGTTGGTGACGTGCGCAATTCTTCTGCTATAAATTGACACTACTATTACCCCCATGTTCTATCTCCCCTCGTTCTTAGTCAATATCTACCCGTCTAGGCAGGTCGCTCATATCGATACCGAGGCTCAGAAGACGATCCGATTGTATACCTTTATAGTGTTAAAAATGGAAGGAGCTTCCAACAAGTACCTGCCCGCTTGGCTAAGCGGTATAGCGTGTCACTAGTACTTCTGTGATATGACAAGGTGATCAGTTCGACTCTGATAGTGGGCATTTCTTTTTGCTCTTTTTCAGCATTTACTCCGATGCATAGATCGTTCTTGTCTTTTTTTTTCTTTTTTTTTTCTGTTCGTTTCTCATGCGTATGTTTTTGTCTCATTTGATGTTGCAATAATTCCTGTTCACGGGTGTGCGAATTGTAGCTCTACGTTTGCGCAAAGTCATGGCATTTGGCAAATTTGCTATGAAAGAAAACTTTTCTTTTCGCTCCCCAATGTAGGTACACCCTATATAGACAGCCCTGTACTTCTCAATCTATATAATCTGATATCAACAAAAGCTGGTATCCAGTCTGTATTCTCGATAACCAGTAATCGCAAGCTAGACATAAACACGCCAAAAGAAGAAAGAGAAAAGAAGAAAAAAAGCATTACAAGATCATGAAGCCTCTTGAGGCCATTTTGAAACCCAAAAAACAAGAAAGCCACAAATCAAAAGTTTCCTCCACCCTCATGCATATAGATCCCCAGTATATATTTCCTCTAATATCTCTCGTCGTCAACTTCGTCGTCATACCCCATCTCATCGGTCGCTTCCGGCTCCAGCTCTTGCTCTGCGGCTGGGCCCTTGGGCTTCTTCCTAAAGCTGAGGAACTTCTTGATCCCCGTTGGCTCTGCGGTCTGGAACAGGTCGTCCTTGGATGAGTATTCGTAGAATAACTTGGGAACCAAGATTCGATATGGCACTGTAATGCCAGTAGGGTCCTTGCAGTTTACTTCCATGTTCAAAGCGATATCTAGAGCTCCTTCTAGATTAACTTCGAGTCTATCGGTCTGCTTCATGTCCTTAGGCGATAGTCCTGTAGGTGTTCGGTGGAACGGACGGACTGCTGCTGGATCTTCAACTTCGTGGCCAGAGGGACCCCCGGCATGATAATTCACGGTTTGTGTCCGTCGAGGCGCTTGTGATGTGAAGTAGGCTTCGTCTCCCGCTGAGAACTCGTCATAATCGCTGCCGCCGCCGCCACGGAGGCCTAAGGGACGAGGCTGCCCTTGAGCTCGGTGATCTGCGAATCCGCCGTCAAACTCGCCGCTCCATTGGCCACTCATGTTGGCTTCGTCAAATCGGCTCTGGCTACCGTGCTGTTGTCCAAAGTACGCCGCATCAGCGCTCTGTTGTGCCGACTCTCCGCGTCCAAGGGACATGGTTCGAGTCACTCCTCCTCCTACAGGGCGTTGCTGGTCGACCGAGTTCCGCCGCCCAAAGTTCTTGAAAAGATTGCCCCCTCCTGAAATTGGGGGCCGAGGACCTCTCACGGACTCACGTGAGACATCAAAAGGCTGTTGCGAGGTAGACCTGCGCCGTCTAGACGAAAGCCTGCGAAGCAGACTTCCGCCTCCTGGGCTGCGACTCCTTCCTCGGTCTGACATGGGAGGCGATGGCGGTGGCGTGCTGCCCGGTGTCCACAGACGAATAGAGCACCAGTTGCGGTGAGGGAGGAGGTTATTGTTGTTCCTTGGCCTGCCATCAACGCCGTTTTGGAAGATGGGGATCATGGCTTCGTCTGTCTGCTTGTCAAAGTGGTGGACCTTGTTGCGCTTATTGAGCAGATCGGCGACGATGTCCGCAGGTGGGCGATTGACGATGGCGGAAGATACGATGTTCGGCATATACCTGGGATCGTTGTGTTTGGCCAAGCCGAGCTTGGGGCTGGAGTAGAACTGGCCAACGGCGCCAAGGTGGACGTCACCGCTCAAAATTGTGATTCGCACAGAACGGTCGATAGCTAGGTCTTGTAAATCTTCAATTATGACGGTGCGTTCTCTTTTGTGGTTCTTGGCTGTCCAATGGTCATTGAGATCATCCAGAATCTCATAGTTGTCATTGATATTGTTCAACGTTTTGCCGAGCACGCCTGTCTTGCCGATTGCCTTGACTGGGCTCATCAATTTTGAGGTCAAGCTGCGAGATGTCAGTAAGAAAAAATATACAGAGTGCTGATAACGCAATTTATGTTACTCACATGTTTTCCAGCCAAACAAGACGGGGATAGGCAATTGGAACTCCGAGAAGGACGAGCAGATGCTCTACCTGTCCCTTCCTAATCTCGGCATACATCCTGCTTGTAATCTTGTCCCATGTCTTCTCACTCAACACGACATCTTCAGTTCGCTCTGTGCGAGTATCCACAGCAAGCAAAGCGACCTTTCCGCCCATGGACATGTAGAGACTACGGCTAACTTCTTGGATGTATGGACCCGGCGACTCACCCAAAATCCAGCTTGGCTCAGAGCTCTCCGTCTCGGTCACAATACTTTGATGCTGGAAGAGCATATAGTATTTAAAGGCCACCCATCCCAAGCCTGAAAAGACCGGTGAGCTCATATCAGCGTGAGAGTAAGAGCCATATCCATCGAAAATATCATGGTCATCATACATGTTGACCATGGGAATTTGGGAAGTGGCCAGCCCGAACAAGCCCTGTGAGAACCAGGAACAGTATCGGTCTAGGTAAAAGTGCTCTAATTCAGTCTGCAGCTCGTATGTGAAAGGGGCGTTGAGCTTCTTTTCAGGCACAGTGATCTGAAGCCATTGGTCAAAGAGTGGACTGTCGTAGGCCACACAGTCGTTGTAAATCTGATCACCGCCGCCAATCATGGCATGGAATGGCTGTGTTTGGTGCGAATTAAGTACGTCGCGCCACATGGGATCAGGACCGCTCATCTCATTAGGATTGACGCTGATACTGAAACCATTGCACGAATGGAACATCATGTTCATCGCTTGTCCACGCCCAGGAACCCAGAAGGCCATAGCTGGACCACGGTTGATGCGATATGCGATCCGTTGTTGCTGCTCGCGAAGCTCAACCTCGATATTGAAACGCCAAAACGTGCATCCCTGTTCGGCGTGAAGACGGAAGCCTCTCACTTCCTTGTACTTTTGCATCTTCTCGCCATCAATGCTCGCTCGCGCCCGTCGGCTAGCAAACGATCCCGGATAGTCTTGGAGCCCCTGCGCTAGTGGTTCGTCTGGTGGGCTTCTTGTTTTCTCAAAGAGGCCCTCTTCAGACTCATCATGCGATAGATCTCTGCCTTCTTCGAGGTGGTCCACGGGTCGAACATACAGTGTCTCGCCACTACGGCCCAGCTTGGGATGTCCGGCAATCGGGTCCACATATTCGGGAGAAAGCTCACCGTTCACCTGGTGGGGAGGCGGAGGCAAGAGCTCGATATCCTGCACGAATAGTCGGAGTGTCGGCGCAATGTCATAAGATGATTCGGCATCATTGGTGACAATCATGACGCTACCTCTCCAAATTTCACGATCTTGAGCCGCTAGCCCCCGAGGCCTAGCTGGAGCTTGTTCATAACGCAGGCCACAGTATCTCAGAAGCGGGCCGCATTTCAAGTACAACGGGGGCTTGAACCGAGTGGGCGCGCTGGTATCATCGTACTCTCCATCGAATGCTTCGGCTTTACGTGGTCTCGAATTCATGCTGCTAATTCTTCGATGATGACCTCCCTGCTCCCGGTCCAAGTGACCGTTGTTTTTCTCCGCCGATCCGGCAGGCTGGTTACCAACAAGGTCGAGAAGGGTCCCAGATAAGGTACCGACCGTACCTTTCCTCCATTCATTTAGCCACTGGGGCGGGTTATTCAGACCATCGCCAGAACGTAGCCCCTCCGGGTTCTTGGGTACAAATCGTGGTTCGAGGCGCTCCTGTGATTGCTGCAGCTCCGGCGGCTCAAATGATTCAAGTCGCTGTTGTGGCTGTTGCGGTTGTTGTAGATGTTGTGAATGTTGTGGCTGTTGCGGTTGTTGTAGATGTTGTGAATGTTGTGGATGTTGCGGCTGTTGTGGATGTTGCGGTTCCTGTGTCTCCGGTATTAGGCCATGGTTCGTCTGATCTTCCAAACTCTTGACTGCAGAGTTTTGCTGTGGAAAGGCTCCCCGGTTCTTTAGACTCGCCTCGTAAATGATCCTGCCAATGGCAGCCGCGGGGGCATATTCAGCATTCAGCCCTCGATCCTCTCGAGCATAGACGGGTTCAGTGGTTCGCCGCTGCATAGCCTGGATTTCAGCATCGTCAGCAGATGCAGGGCCCTTCTTTGCTTCTGGTCGGACATTGGTCTGATCATTCACAGCCAGGGGCAAAGGAGGCAGCTCCTTATCGCGTGCCTGTTGCTGTGCTCCTATAGGATATCCTCGCGGAGATCCTTGCGGAGACCCGGGATCATCAAATTGAGCCTGAGCAGGTTGTGAGTCCGGCGGCAACCGACGTTCTGCTTCGACGCGTATGCGACGCCAGACGTCCGCAGGCGGCTCCTTTTTTAACTTGTTGCTTCCACTGCGTGTGAGTGAAAAGCCGGTGGATCCTTTGGGAGGCTGATTCGTATCCGCGTCGAGTGGTTTCATCTCACGCCAGGCATCGCGCTCGCGGAAGCTGAGGTTGCGCTTAGGCATATCTCCTCCTGTGGCAGGTGATGCCTGATCAGGGCCGGCCTGGGAATACTGAAGAGCAGCTTGGCTAGAATATCGGCGCTGATCATCCGGGCGAGAAGCTTCCTGAGAATGGAATCTGCGTTGCTCATCACGTACGGGCGGTTGAGGCAATTGCCTAGGTTGCTGGTCTTCACGCACAGGTGGTTGAGGTAGCTGCCTCGGCCGCTGTTCTTCACGGACGGGCGGTTGAGGAAGCTGCCTTGGTTGGTGCTCAGCCGTCGTTTTTGATCGACGAATGCCATCCTGGCTCTGGCGATAGTATGAGTCTTCGGACACTCGCTGTCCGGGTTGTACAGATTGCGTAGTTGGGGCTTTAGTTGAGGTGACGTCGCGCGTTGTGGCGGATCTTGATATTGTTGCAGCAGTGGGCGATTCGAATGCTATAGGGCGTTGGTTTTGTCGTTGGGTAGGAGTTGAGAGCGGAGATTGGTTTTCAGCAGCGTTGGCGGCAGCTCTTTTGGCAGCCCTTGCTCTAGCCCGCTGCTCTGCTGCTTCGACTCGCGCTCTCTTTTCCTCCTTGGTCATGCTGTCGAGCGTCAGCTCAAGCCTCTGGAGGGGTGATCGGTTGTCTGCCAACTTTTTCCGCCGCTCACTCTGCCCAATGGTTGGGGTTCTCTGGAGTTGAGCGGATGCAATGCTGTCTGTTCGGGCGAGCCCACTATCGACAAAAGGTTGCGGTGCGCCATATTGGCTGTCTCGTTGGGGTGCGTTGTATGCTCCGTAGCTCATGTTTTCAGCCTGAGCCGCAGATTGACGCGCAGGCTGTGCAGATGTCGGCTGAGAGGAGTAGTTGTATGAATCATCTGCATAAGGGTCGCGGTAGTTTGTTGGTGGGCCTCGAACTATAGTATCTGTGACAGACGGCGGAGCTGGGGACATGTTTTCGAGGTCGTCGGGGATTCGGTTTGATCGTCGATCTTGCCTGTCATATCTTTCAAATGCTTGCTCTTGGGGGAACCCACGATATGAGGCTGGTCTGGGAGCCAGGCCTTGATAGTCAGCTGCTGATGTCGGAGAATTGGGACTGAACGTCGTGTCGGTGGGAGCCTCGGTGTAAGTTGTGTGGACTGAGGCGCGATTGGCTTTGCGCGTACGCTCGATGTCCAATGAGCCCCTCTGGTCGCTTTGCGAGAATTCATTTGTGTAATCCGCTGAAACTCGCCGGCTCCGGACGCCTTTTGGCTGAGGCAGCGCGCCCCAATACGGTGCAGACATGGCTGCGCCTTGGCGGCTATGAAGTGAGGGCAGCTTCTAGTCCAGTAGATCGGCAAGCAAGAAGGGCCCGGTGCGACTCCAAATGCTTGAGGTTGGTCGTACGCCAATCCCGAGCGAACACGACCAGAGGCTGGATGTGATTTTTTGCCGCAGTGCTAACGAAGCAGATGCCAAACCAGGAGTCGAGTCGTCCAAAGGCAAGGAGTAGCGTAAGGGGGAGCTTGTGACGAGCTGCCTCGGCGCTATTAAGGCTGCTGCGGCTATACACGATGTCACCGGAGCATGAGCTGCGTAGTGCAGAAATGCGCGCGGCCAAGAGATGCGGCGGATTGATGTCGCCGAGTCTTGTGCTTGCGCCGAATATCTGCTCAAGCAGGAGAGAAAAAAGATTTCCGTCGTCTTGTTGGCAAACAAGCTAGCAGTAGGTACGGCAGTAGCAATATCCAAAGACCCGTCCACGGACCGGGGTGCCAGGCGGCTTGGGTGTCTTGGGTGTGAGATGATGTTGTGGCCAAGGGTCTGAGCTGGCGATTGCAGCCCAATTGATCGAGCGCTGCGGCGAATGAGCGCTGAGCCTGCGATCGAGCAAAGAGGCGGTCGGGAGCTGCAGGTCGCGGTGGAGGAGCAAGTGGAGGCGACGAGCAGCTCGCAAGAATCTGGGTGGCTGGCGATGAAGCTTGAGCAGCGGTAAGATCAGGTTGAATGCAAGGCACCAAGGCGGACGGGCCACGCATTTGCGCTGCGGCTGAGGGACCAGGGATGAGATAATGGGGCAGAGCTAATGATGTGTTCAATTAAACAGCTGCCACAGCAGCGGTGGGCAACATTTACGCTTTCACTCTTCTTATGGCCATGGGTGGTGATATGAAAGCATTCACACTTGGAAATGGGGTCATCGAAGCGCGTTTAGCGGCGAAACTACAGTTGCTCTCTGCTCTCTCTCTCTCTCTAGTTGTCTTTTCCTCATGACGGCATTGAGCCACAGCTTGGCCACCAGCATCGAGTCCAATTAGACCCATGCATGCCCTTTTGTTGTTTTTCCCATCCCCGTAAGCCAAGTCTGATGTCCAATGCAGCCACTCACTCACTGACTTGCACGATTGCTGGCATCCGCGGGCTGGGCCGAACAGGAACTGCTCCACAGTGCTCACGAGTCTCCTCAACCAAGCCTAATGGGAAGCACTCATGAAAGATAGAGACGCACCTGTCATTCTTCTGAAGACATGCAACGCAATACATCCTCAACTACTAGTACTGGTAGGTAGTCAACTACTAGTACTGGTAGGTAGCCGCTACGGTAAAAGAAAACAGCAAAGAGACACCATTTGGCAAAAAGAAAGTACTTATTCAGCGTCTGGGATTGCTCCCGGCAGGGCTTGAACCTGCGACCTTCGCATTACCAACACTAGCTTGACGCTGGAGTATTAGTACGAAGCTCTAACCAACTGAGCTACGGAAGCTGGACTTAGGGTTAAGGCTCATCCGGCATTTAGCCATTATAGCGTCTTACTCGCGCTCTCTGTTTCAAATGGTACTGGGACAATACTACTAGTAGTCAAAATCATTTTCTGCCTTCAGGACAATAGGTACTCATCCTTAAGCTTACACACGCAAAAAAAAAAAAAAAAAAAAAAAAATCCTCTTCGAGTCCTGCAAACTAAATGTCATACACGACAATAATAACTGGTTCGACCGGTTCCGCCATTTCTTTGGGGAAGCGCTATATAAGGTGTCCCGCGTCTACGTTAAAAAACCGACACAACAACCAAGTCAAGGATTTGCCGACGGATTAGTTGCCAGGAGCTTGGAGGCTGGCTGATGCCTAGGTTCCTCTTAAATCAAATACAAAGATGCTAAGCCGATGTTTTAGGGTGGTAAATACATATAGGCGGCGTCGGGTGCGACTAAGCGGATCAGGCCCAGCCTGCTGATAATGCATAAGCCAAGCATATCTTTATATCACAGGAAACACTACACTATATTAAAGTGAAGTTGGAGGGTACAAAACTGATATTAACAACGCGCTTAGATGAAGGAGGACATAGGAATGATTCACGCCGTTGTGAACTCGTAAATACATGTACCGTGTATGCCACGCTTTGCTCTGCTCTTATAGGGCGGGGCACCAGCCCTGGAAAATGCCCAACTTTCCTACCGCTTGCGCCCAATTTTCTCCAACGCGTAAGTTCTTGAACCTCTGTTACCAGCGCAGCAGCGTTATGTCTGCCGATCGCTACCTAAACTTCAGGTTACGAGGGGTCCCATGTGAAAGCGAAACCAGGGCCGATGTCCGTGAGCTCGTCAAGAGGATCCTTTCTATAGAAGACGGCGCGAGCGTTGCCGTTCATTCACTTGCAATCAGCCCTATCGAGCAAATCAGCAAAGTCGCAACTCTAAGTTTCTATGCTCTCCCAGACGGTTTGTCCGACTGCTCTAGAAATGAATGGGTATTTGACCTGCCGGCGGATGAAACTTTGGGTGAAGATGGCTTCAGCCGGAGAAGATCACTTGTGTTCGATACTCATTTCTCGGGTTTCACGCCGCTCCAACACACCAAAGATGATGACTGCTTTATTGAGTGAGCCAACACGAAGTTCCGACAGCATATATAACATTGACATTATATTTAGTGTGATTGCAATATCCGGTCTCGGCGGGCACGCGTTCGGTTCTTTCAAAGAAAGACATGGATCCTTTATGTGGCTCCGTGATGCTTTTCCGATAGATTTTCCTGGTGCAAGGATCTTAATATATGGTTCTGAGACTTGACTCATTCAGAGCAGGCCATTTCAGAACTTGGCAGACTTGGGCAAAGCTCTTCAAATCGACCTGAAAGGCATTCGGGTTTGTCGGAATCGCCCTCTTTCTTTCAAATTGCCCCCTCTGCTAATATTGTGTTCAGGAGTTCTCCCAATCACGTCCCATAGTTTTCATTGGACACAGCCCCGGAGGTCTTATTATTAAAGAGGTTTGCGTTTACTCCACCGAAACTTAATGAAAGAATTTCTATGCCACATACTTACAATCCGAGTCGCAGACCATAGTCAAGCTAAAAGAAGATTTAGATGAAAAAGATGCATTAATACTAAATTCTACTTCCGGATTCCTGTTCTTCGGTGTTCCTCACTAAGGGATGGCTATTGAATCACTCATTTCATTGTCAAAGACTACCCCAGCAGGAGCCTTCTTGAATCGCTTAATAAAAACTCAGCGCTCCTTCAACGCCTCGAAAGGGATTTCAGCAATGCATTCGGCATAAAACGTCTTCGAATTTACTTCTACGAAACGGAGAAATCTCCCACTGCAGTGGAAGTGCGCTCTTAAGCATCTTTTAGATTGCCGTCCTGGAATTTTACTTACATCTCGTTCAGATGGAAGACGGCAAATGGAAACTCTCTGGAGATCCTCAAGTCTTGGTCGATGTCTCATCTGCGACATGCGGCAGTAATCATTAACATCCAATCAACCGCAGCCATTCCGAGACGGTGAAATAAAACAACGAAGACGACGAGCTCTACATGCGTGTTCGGGTCGCATTAAGGCCACTGATAAGCGGATCACGGGGCAAATCTGTTGCCGTGGGCGGAGAAGCTGGAAATACTTGTGCGTAACAAGCCTTGACTCTACATACATGCATACAATATACTAAAGACTCCCCTAGCACCGGTATCGCTTTCCGATGAAAATACTGGTCTGTAGTTCGAGAATAATTTGCAACAAGTCACTGACTTAGCACAGAATGTCTCAGGCCGCTTTCTTTTCGAGAACAGGAACACAGGTACAAAGAGATTCATTTCGCTAAGAACACCTGTGAGTGGCTCCTCGAGGATTCGCAATACCAAGCTTAGATGAATAAATCACGAGGTCTTTTCTGGATCAAAGGGAATCCCGGGGCTGGAAAGTTCGTTCTTATGAAGTTCGCCGTTACAATGATGATGGATCGCAGAAAGTCCGGGGAGCTCATTGTGTCCTTTTTCATTCACGGTCGAGGAACGCCTTTGCATAAGAATTTAATGGGTTTTCCGTGCGCTGCTAAACACCATGCTCATATCCTTTCCGGAGTATCTCTCTCGGCTCACCAAATCGTTTATGGAACAGGAGAGACGGTTTGGGACTTACCAGGAGAACAGATGGAGTTGGACTAAAGAAGAACTTCAAGAAATCATGTTTGAGATTTTGACCAAGGGGACGAGCAACCGGCCTGTAGTCATCTTTGTCGACGCAATTGATGAGTGTGGACAAGATCATGCCAAATGCTTGTTGAGATACTTCAAAAACCTCATGGATATCGCTGAACACGAAGAAGCGTAGGTAAAGATATGCTTTTCTTCTAGACACTTTCCACTCCTTGGCCTTGACACAATCTCAACGATCTCTGTGGAAGAGAGAAATGACAAAGACATCCGATTGGTCATTCGAGAGCGACTAAAGCGTATTCAACCGGAAGCAAAGCGCCAGCGGATAGAGAAGGAGATATTGTTGAAGGCCCAAGGAGGATTCCAATGGATGGTCTTGATCACTGCAATAGTGATTGATGAAGTCACAGTTGGTACTAAGGAAGAAAAGCTATATGAGAAGATCACAACTACACCGGAAGCCCTTGATGAGCTATACAACGACATTTTGAGCGGCGCTACTGAGGCCGAAAAACATCAGATGACCAAGCTGTTCCAGTGGGTTCTGTTTGCTGAGCGACCTCCTGTCTGCACAAGAGCTTCGGGAGGCGCTTGCTACCGATAAAGACATTACTTGCACGACTGTCTCCGAACTTAGAAGCCACAACAGCTGGTCTGAGACTTTGGACGATTTCGAAAAGCATATTAGACACATTTCCAGAGGGTTGGTGGAATTCCACACCCGTGAAATCTGGGAGCAATACGAACCTGGCGGAGAAGACTCGGATCGGGAAGTTCAGTTCGTCCACCAGTCAGTCGCTGACTACATACTCCGGAAGTTCCACAACCACGTCAGATATTATTATTAATAATATTATAACTATTACTTTCTATTAATGAAATTAAAATGCTAGATTAAGAAATTAGTACTATTAATGGATGTATTTATAGTATACTAATATTATAGTACTAGAAAAAATAATAATTCAAGCATAAAGAGGAGTATATTCACTTGGCTTTGTAAAGGGGCTAGTAAAGATATTAAGTTTGCTTCTTCCCGACCTTATCCACACGGCCTATGGATTTGATCCCAGCCAGAAGTATATGGCGGTTAGGATCATTTGTTCAAAGGAATCGGTTTCTTCTTCACGAATTTCAGTATTAGAGTTAGACATTATAATACGCGGAAGTAGATTTCTTTCACGCAAGACAGTAAATGAATACTAAAGGACAAATGTGCGAGATTTTAATTTTCCTTCAAAGCTTAGCGGGGTAGATGCCTAGTCTTTCTAATAGATATTACATGACAGTCTATTTTATCAAGTGTGCAAGGGGCAGGGAGATTGTTGAATCTGATCAAATTCGCTTGAAAGACAAACCTTCTGTAAACTCGAATCGTCGTTTCTGGCCTTGGATATTGTCGTATTGAGTTTGGAAATGATCTAAAAGCGGCTGGCGAGAAAATATAATGCTATTGGCAGCAGATCGAGCTCCAGACCTCTCTGACCACAAAAAGATGTTCTGTGCCTTGAATAAATCAACGATTGCATTGCATCTATCTCGGACACGCGTAGTTGACTGCTCCCACCTACAATATGCTGTTAGTCTAAGGTGATATTAATAAAGATTTAACATCTTACGTCATATCGTCAAGCTCTGGGATCAGTAAAACGCCATAATCAGGTTCATGGCCATTAGGAGCGACTCGTTGGCAGAATTCTTTCCGTCTTCGTCCACCGTGAAGGAACCGTGAACAAAATAATTGAGATGTAGAGTCCGATGGTAGACTAAGGCTATCAAGAAACTGCTTGACCAAGGTCGATCTAATTTGTGGCGATGATATCAATATTTCGTAGATCTTGTAAATTAAAATAGAGTAGAACCTGTTTTGAAGTGTTTTGGCGTCAAGTTGAGATTTTTTTTCAAGTGCGTCTTTGACAAAGATTCTAGGGTTGGTAATGAGTCTGTAGTCCTTGGGATTTAGCGCCCCCCTAGAGTCATTCCAAAATGACTCTGGAGAGTTAGACCATAACGAGAAGTTTAAAGAGATTTTAATGGTGCTCGCTAGGGTCGTGTAATCTAGCGTTCTCTCTTTATCCTGTTTTGTAATTGGTATGCCGTTTGTTTCTGTTCCAGGATCTCCAGAAGTGATTTGCCCTTGTAAAGCAGCCTGGGAGTTTCTTAATGACAAACAATTCTTCTCAAGTTTGTTATCCGAGAGCTCTATAGCACTATCCTGGAATGGAACAGTTTCTGATGATGAAGCTGCTGGAGAAGAACCATCTGCTGGGAGTGAAGACGAATTAACGCATGATGCATTGTGAATAACTAAGGTATGTTGCTGCGGTGAAGTTGATTCATGCGTTTCATCGCGATCTGGAGCTGAACTTCGTTCAGATGATCGGGACCCCTCCAGAGTCGTGTCATGTTGTGGACTTTCATTTTGAACTGGCATTCTGCTTTTGTCCGATGATTGGGGATCTTCCAGAATCATATTGGGATCTGGCATTGTCTTTTGCTCTGATGATAAAGGGCCTTTGGAAGCGGTGGCGTGTTTTCGTGAGGATAGCTCAGGGAATATGCCCTCTAAAACCACAATCTCCTGAATTCGTTGTATCCTTGGTAGGCTGTTGCCCTGAGGTGAAAGTTTTGACTGACACGCATGGCGAAATACAAGAGGCAGTATTAAAGTGCAGATGTAATTAAATCCATCCTCTTTCTCTATAACAGTCAAGAATCTATCATTGGTGTCAAAGCCCTGTAAAAATGTGATGACATCGTGGATAGTTACTGAGTCTGTTTGATGCGCCATTATGGTAAATAAAGTATAATAAACCAGGTCCAGTGGGCAATAGATGGCTTTGACTACCAACTAACAGTACCAAGTTGATGAGAGTTGACATTTATTTACTTGAGGCGCGGCATACCTACTTGCAGAAAGTTATTTTGGCCTTTGGGACCACCCCGCTTGTTCTCAGTTCTCATCTGGACGGAAGAGCTTTTCCGCAGTGGGTGACGTGGCAAAAAGTGGAAACTGTTACCTCCTTTGCATGGGGCGGAGGACTCTTGTTTTATAGGCCAAGTCGCCATGTCACTCGCCAAGGATATAGAGGCTGCTGATGTACTTTATAAACTCTGTATATAAAAAGCAGTGACCCTTTGCGGTCCTAATCGCCGTGGACTCGGTATTCCAGTGGCAGATTTATTAGCGTACTTGACTGTCTTTTTATTTTTCTTCCTATATTGAGAAATAAAGTTAGCATTTGGCATATTCTTTGAGCCAAAAGATTTTTACCCTACGTTGGTACTATTAACTGCAGATCCTGCCAATAGTCACAAGAATTGGGGGAAGCTGAAAGAAGTATGTTAAACACCACGCATCCGTCCTCCTTGACAATGTCGCCTCTTAGCCGAAGCCTTCCACTATGGCTTTTCCTCGCTGTTTTAGGCCAATAGCTAGTTGTACATATGCATAGCGAATGCTCCTTAAGAACAGAATACAACGCGGCATTAACATGTCCTGGGTATTCTTCTGCGTCGGGCCCTTTCACTTTAACGGCTTTATCGTCGTCGGAGTGCTATACTTCTAAGACACACTTTAAAAATTAACAGAGCTTTTTGACATATTGCTCAGCAACCCAGCTGGGAGCGGTTATAAATGCCAAGATTCCTTCTCGAACCTGTTTCTCAGCTCCTTGCATGGCCCGGCCTGTTCCCTTTTGTTGCACGAGGGAGTAGAGGATTGAACGTCCAGAATTTCTTTTAGATGACCACTGTTAAGGGAAACCATCAGTCTCTCTGCACTGGCGACTATTCTTAGATTATCAAACTAGTTGTACGGCGCAAACACGCTCAAGGTCATTAATGAGCTTCGGAAGGCGCCGTTGGAGTTGTGCAAGTTGGCCAGCGTCAGCGACATCCAGTGCATTGCTTGCGAGGAACAGTTCCGCGGCTAGGCGTCCTGCGGTCCACGACTTATTGCGCACCCCAGATTCGGCTGCGATGGTCGACACTCGACGGAGAGCATCTGAAGCAAAAAGCAGATCACTTGCACTAAAGGAATCTTTATCCATTAAGACTTGGAAAGCGCATCCCCAAGGGGTCTTGAACCGAATTGAGGGGATTAACCGAAGCTTAAAATCAAGAGAGGGGTTGGGCAGCGAGCGGGTAGGATCTCACCAGTACCGAGAACGTGATTTAAACTCCGCATTTACAAAGAAGGCGACTGAAATCTGGGTGCTTTTAAGAGTTTCTTCGCGGTGATCTACTAAGTTCAGGTGAACGGTAACAGGGCCCATCTGTTGAGAATGGAGTTACAGAATGAGGATAACTTAGGAAGCTCCATTGCTGAGCTGGCCGACCAATGCCGCCGGAGCTTCTAAACCTGCACTTAAAACTAAGCTCTGATGTAGTATAAATGGGCCGAAAATAGGCTAGTAGAGATTAAGTTATGGGCGGCAGGCATTGGCGTGTTTGCCATTGACAAGACCTCTCTTAACGCAAGTACCCTTAGTGTTTACATTAATTAAGGAGTTTCTTAGATATATAAAAGGATACCATAGCGATAGCTCATAGAGGACTAGCACCCCATATTAATTTATGCTGCTGCTAGTCTAGCTCCTTTTAGGATAACTTAATGCCCTCTGTGCGACTAAACAGGCCCCGCTAATTCCAATGAACTGCTTGACCACATTGCCGAACATGTGCATGCCTTTTCGCTACGTCTTTTCCCTGGCTAAGGGACGAGCTAGATGCCCACGAAAATAAGGCGAATTTCTTTAATAATTATGATTACTTTGAAGACGGCTCTGACTTTCAGTCACACAATGTGTTAAGCGATTCAACGAAAGACACTGACGGTCTTGCTTCTTTGCCTTCGAATACTTCTTTATCACAACGCAGCTTCTTTACAGAGGTCGACGAAACGTCTGCGGAGCCTATGGAAAACGCTGAACCCCCACTGGCCACCGGCCCAATGTTAACCAATTTTTTAACATTGCCAGCAATAACAGCTCTAGGCCAACAACGAGCGCTGTCGACAGTTCCAGGGACTACCCTCCCCATTTAATGCCGGAGGGCTTAGGCCATAACTGGACCAGGAGCTTCGGCAGTTCTTCCGTTCATAGTGCCGTCAGTGTCAGCGAACCAACCGGAACGGGTTCAATTACTATTGTGGGAGCTTCGGGATCCCCTCATTTAACGGACTTATATATCAGCATTACACAAATCGCTCCAAAAGAAAAGATTATTGGGAAAACAAATCATTACAAGTCATCCTTAGAACAGTGGAACTTTGGAAAAACGTTCAAAACCAGCTGTACCCCAGATATACCATTCAAGATTACAGCCAAGGGCGAACATATGTTTAGCAGTGATGATATCTTAAGCGAAAGTTTATACTTCATAGATGAAACAAATTCGCCAACGCTAAGGGAGCTTACCATCGGCAGTGGCTTCGTAACTATCAAGAGCTCATTTCAGCTTGCAGAGGACAAATATCCCGACAGCCCTAAATCATATATGCATTATAAGCTCTTAGGCAAGTGAGAGCCGCGGAGTCGAGACTTGTCATACGCTTGAGCGGGGACGTCTTTGATGAGTGACAACTACCTATCTTTCATGAAACATCCGCGCTTTTGCCTCTCTCTCTTTCACTTTACAAGCTCAGATGAGCGCAAGTATTCATATTTGCATTGAATTTTCCGCTAACGTAATGATATGGCCGTATTGTTGTTCTTTATGCCACTAATAAACTGTTTATCTTTCTTTTTTTTTTTCACCTCCCTTTTTGCCATTATAGCTATGTATTGTCACAAGTCTGCTTAGTCTATAGGGCTTCGAGCGCGAGGGATATTAGTAGCGCTCTTGTATATATATGGGAGAGTTGACAGCAGTAGGTTGGGTTAGTCGGATAATGACGATGCCTAATTGTCACATAGTCGGCGGGGTGGCACCAAATCGTCACCTAAAGTGGGATAACCAATACATAGTAGGCATCCCAAGCCAGAGAGTGTAGGGTGAGTATTAATCTATATCACCTCAAATGGAAAACTGCGAGTGAAGCCAGGATAAGAGAAACCCCGAAGTCGGCAGTGGACGAGAAAACAGTGCGATAGCTCTGTTAATAACGATTATAGATTAGGGTGGTGCTATATGGGCTAGCGGTATAAGCACCTTCCTCAGAAAACAGAAGTGTATGCTTATAATTTTTAAGCGCCTATCTGCGGAAAATGGCAGACTTCGCTCATTAAAGAAGATCATACGGAAGCTGCACTTGAGTTTAAGGCTCACTTAACGTTTAGCCATTATAACCTCTTGCTCCCGCGCCCCGTCTTAAAAGGTAGTGCATAACTTGTACTCTCTGTTTCTGACAGTAGTGGCATGGTCCACACCTTACCGCCAATGCAGTCCTGATTCTTGGCTGCAAAGGGCTGGGATGTAAATGGTGCTATTTATCAGGAATAAGTCCTTACGAAAGCTAATGTAGTTATATATTCCTTTGTATGAATTGTTACAGTTAGGATGGGCATGTCAATCTCCTTTCTGCCTAACCCCACCTGATTCAGCCTAATACTAAGCAGAGATGCCTATAACAGCAGCTTCTTCTGGGTCCTTCTGCGAAGTACAGAGTACATACGGTGACGAACTGTGAGCTAGATAATAAGCAATACAAGGGATTCCTAAGGAACAAATTTGGAGTTTAGCTGTGAGTTTATGTTGGTGGAACAGTTAGGGGATATTCGGGTGGTATAGGAAATAGTAAACAAATGTCACAAGTAGGTAAGTTTTATAATATCGCAATGTAATCTTAATTCAGTGCTTACAAGTGGCTATTTCATTCATTTAAATGCGGGTGGAGAAGTGAACTTATATATTTGGTTAAGAAGTTTCTGAAACGCGGTGGTTCGTCGTATTAAGTGCTGGTGGTTGACAGCTCGTTCGTCTTGTTGGACGAGCTCAACAAGCTACTCATGATTGGCTCGTCGAATTATAGCTAATCCGTTCCGTTCTACCTTTTAAGACCCGTCGACAGGATGTTAAGTGTTGGGTCGTGACAAGTCCATCGGGCACTAATTCAGAACCTTGTTCTTGTACTTGCAACTTCCAAGCTGAAACTTCTTCAAGGAGTGAATATATACGATGGATCCATATACGAATTTTGGCCTTGATTATGGCGTCATTCGGTTCATTGGCTTCGCGCAAAGACTAGTAACTAAAAGAAACAAGAATTGCCCGTCAATCGAAGGGACCTTCCTCGGAAATACGGAGCTGGATTCAGCCAACAGATTGCTTCTCGAGCACGTAAACGAGATCGATCATGTTTTTACAACGGAGAGCTTCCCAGCTTCTCTCACCGATCCGAGGATGAAAGAAATTTGCTTTCAGTACAAAGAGATCGCGAAGAAAATGGCCAAGGTTCTGGAGAATCTTAGAATGAGAACGCGGAGGAAAAAATGGAAAAGCATGCGCCAAGCATTCAAGCAAATGATTGGCAAGGAACAGGTATCGAAGCTGGCACACAGACTCTACCAACTCAGGGCGGATTTGGACAAAAATCTGCTATCGAGTGTCAGGTATGATAAACCTCCCAGCTTTCGCAACAATGACATTAAGATTTCCGTTGAAAGACAGAATATCAAAAAATTCAAACCACTTAAATGCGAGATAAAGCAAAGCAGACATGAAAGGTAATGATCCACCCCTTGAATAAAAGAATTTTACCAATGGGCATGATGACAAGAAACTAACATATATGGCAGAACGGACTGGAGAATAGAGCTTATAGAGGCTGTAGCAGAGGAGCGCTGGCGTCACAAAGACAACGACGAACTCTCCCAATTTTCTTCATTTATTTCTGATGGAATTGCGACCGACCATATGCACATGCTACAGGCTCAACTGCTTGACCAGCTCTCCCACGCCGATTTCCAAGATCGCGAATCCAGAATTAAAGCAGCCCATGCTCGAACTTTCAAGTGGGTGCTTGAGCCTCTGACCACTGAGAATGAAAATTCGTGGTCGAGTTTGGTAAACTGGCTAGAAAGTGACGAGAAAATATACTGGATTACTGGAAAGCCTGGCTCAGGGAAATCGACTTTGCTCAAATACATTTGCAAGGACCCCAGAACTCAAAAATATCTTAGAAATTGGGCCAAAAGTCAACCATTGATTGAGGCTAGCTTCTACTTTTGGAACTCTGGTAGCTCTATACAGATGTCACAAGATGGCTTGCTACGCTCCTTATTGTACCAGGCATTAAGGGCAAAACCGAGCTTGATATCATCTGCATTCCCTCGCCGATGGCAGATTTCCGACCTTCTATGGATTGACAATCGCCAGTGGGAGCTGTCAGAGTTGCAAGAAGGGCTAAGGGTCGTAATGAGGCAGGCTGCTGAGGCACCATTTAAGCTGTGTCTTTTCATCGATGGCATGGACGAATTTTCAGGAAACCACAAAGACTTTGTCGAATTCGTGAAGAGCTCAGGTAATTACGAGAATGTTAAACTCTGCATTGCGAGCCGTCCTTGGGTTGTCTTTGAAGACGGATTTGCCCAAGGACCCAATCTCAGATTACAGGACTTGACCTACCCTGATATTTTCGCTTTTACTACTGAGAGCTTGCAGAGTAGTAGCGACTTCAGATCTCTTCAAATAAGAGAATCTAACTTTGGTTCTCAACTGGTCGCGGACATCTCTAGAAAATCCTGTGGTGTATTTCTGTGGGTAGCACTTGTGGTGAAATCATTGATCGAAGACATATCGGACTGTGTCCGAATATGCGACCTTCAAAAACGACTTGAAGACATACCAGACGAACTGGAGGATTTGTATCGGAAGATGCTGGATAGCATTGATACAAACTACGTTGAGCATGCATTTCAACTTTTCTCTATTACTCGAGAGGCTCAAGGAAGGTTGTCAGTCTTAGCCCTTTCTTTCGCTGACGACGGAGACGACACTTCCCTCATCGACAGGAAACTGGGCCAGATGTCTGATGAAGAAGGCGTGGAAAGATATAGAGTTGTCAAAAGACGACTAATGAGTCGTTGTAAAGGTTTCTTAGAGATTACTAATGACCAGCAGAATGAATTGGGTAAAGGGCAGGACGCAATATGGACGAAAAGCGATATTCAATTATGGAACCAGAAGATTACATACCTTCATCGTACTGCGCGAGACTTCTTGGAAAGTGCTCCTATACGGGAGCTGATAGCACTCGAGGTGGGTAAGATGCTTGATGCTCCCCTGCGTCTACTTCGTTCGGGTATTTTCATCCTGAAAACTATGTCGGATGAGCAGATATCTCTCAAGAAGAGTTATATCTGGGACGTTGTCGATACTACATTGAACTACGGCGCGAGAGCTGAAAAGAATCTCGGTTGTCCACAAATCAGGCTGATCGATGAAATTGATGAAACGATGAGACAACATGCGGCAGCTGATGACTCAATGTCAAAATTACAGAGTGGGCATTGGTCTGCACTGCGGCCAGGAGCACAAACGAACAATGGATTCTTAGCATTGGCTGCTCAATTCAACCTACAGTTATATATTCGAGAAAAGATCAAAATCAATGTACCCATTTTCTCGGGTAACACTAACCGCCCCCTGCTCGACTACATCATCACGGACCACGACAAGTATCAAGCTCTGGCAGAGAGACTAACCCTCGGCAACTATTCTATGCCCAATCTCAACCTCTTAAGGATACTGCTCAAAAGAGGTTCAGACCCAAATCAAGTTTACAAATCTAAAACACACTGGGAGACTGTTTTAGCACATTGTATTGAGATTTCTCGCAATTCAGACATACCTGGGGACATAGCGATTGGACTACTTGAGCACTGGTCCAATGTCGTCGAACTTTTCATTGACCATGGAGCAAATCCATTAGTCAACCACGACTCTCCTATATATTCCCGTATTAGGGAGGCTTTTGGGGATTTTCAACCAGACCGCGCAAGATACCTTGAGAAAAAAATATCTCGATCGAAGACCAGGATGTTGACAAGTGGCACTCTTCCAACCCGTCCTCCTTCGACAAACGATTTAGACCTCACACCATTCCCGCTTTGGAATAAGCAACATAGTCTTGAATTCCCGGGACTGGTCTTGTCTGAACGCATAAAAAGAATACCACTATCAGACCGTATGCCGCATAGGCCCTACACTTGGGATACGCAGCGTCATGATCCGCTTCGAGGAGACAATCCAGACTTTTTCTCCGCCTGGCTGCGTTGTGAAGCTCCCGTAGGGGTAGCATATACAGGCCCTTCATCAACTCAGGAAGAATATTCGTTAACCCATGAAGAATCGCCATCAAGTTTCCTGAACAATATGCCAACTACGCAGGATGCTGAAGAATTTGTTTCGACACCTTCTCCTAATCTTACTATTGCTGACGACTCTGAAACTGAGTTATCCATGGATTTTCATCCGTCACCAGAAGTTGTTAGTGGCAACTGTCTAGAGAGGCGAGATAGGACACAAAGAGGGAGGGCTGGTGGATGGAACTCCCTCTCAAATGCTAGGCTCATGGAAGGGCCACTGGTGCAAAGACGACGCACTGTAGATCAGAATACAGAACAAGCATCAGAGCGATCTCCTCGCTATCCGCTCGACAATCTACCTACAGTACGCGATGTGCCCACGGCCCGATCTATCACTAATTCCCCAGCTCCTGAAGAACTCGCCAACGGTACTTGTGGGTCCTTTGACAACAAAACACTATCAGAGTTCTCTGCTGATAAGTAGGTCATCTACTGGTCCCCCCCCCCCCTTTTTTTTTTTTGACTAATTAGCACTCGCTATTTTTTTGTGAAGAATTACAACTTAGTAGATTTTTAGGTGTCGATATGCGGACGACTTCATGAAAAATCACAAATCCACTTATGAGAGAGTGATCCGAAAAGTAGAAGATGAGCCTAGCACACCTGGTCACAATAGCCCCGAGCCGACCTGCCCCGACCAGGGCTCGAGAATAAAAGTTGCGATTCTCGATACTGGGCTTGATAGAAGGCACCCTTTTATTCAAGCAAGAAACGAACGGATTAAAGACATCCGGAGTTGGGTTAACAATCTCGACGGAAAACAAGATCCAAGTACTGGAGATGTCTCCGGACACGGCACTCATGTTGCAGACCTCCTACTCGATGTCGCTCCGGATTGCGATGTCTACATTGCCCGAATCGCAGAGTACAACCCGATAGGCCCAGATCTGATCGCGAAAGTATGTATAAAATATCCCACTTTCGCTACAACTGCGCCCGAGTATGAACCTAATAAGAGACTAGGCTGTCATGCACGCTGTGACTGAATGGAAAGTCGACATTATTTCAATGTCGTTCGGCTTCACCGATGAGACTGAGGTTGGCTGTGATGCACTCAGTGACGCCATCGCCATCGCACACTCACGCAGAATTCTCATGTTCGCGGCCGCATCCAACATGGGCTCCCACTCGCGTCCTGCTTTCCCCGCGAGACACAGCGACGTCTTCTGTATTTTTGCTGCTGATGGCATGGGCAACAGCGCACCGGCGAATCCCACAGGTGAGCAATATGCACCCAATTTCAGCACTCTGGGGCAAGCGGTGGAGGCTGCATGGCCGCGGAAGCTTGTAACGGACCCTTTCACGCGGCGGAAGTCCGGGACGTCGTTCGCCGTGCCTGTGGCGGCAGGAATCGCTGCGATGATCCTGTTGTACGCCCAGCAAAACCTCTCGACAAATGAGGCAATGAAATTTAAAGAGTATGATAAGATGCGGGATATGTTATGCCATTTATCCGATAGAAGGGACGCATATAATGTGATATCGGCTGTTGGTTTGGCGCCCGGCAACTATGCAGAGGCTACAATGCGGATGGTATTGGCTGGGAAGTGGAGGAGAAGGTGAATAAGTCTGTAAGTCCACCCGCACTAGTCCGCATGCTACAATGTGAAGATACATGTATGTTAGGTACGGTAGGTACCTGGGTCTAGATAGGTACCTAAGTAGTATAAGCCAAGATACACGTATTCTTTTTTCTACCATTCACGTAATTTGACTTCTAGACATATAACCATTGTTCTCTGTCTAGCTGGACACAGAGACACTCCTCATCGTCGTGGATAACTTCCGTCACGGCAACACATCCAAACTCTTGGGCTGAAGCATCTTCATTCGCGAGACCCTCCACTTCAAAGGGCAGGTTTTGCGGCTCAGCTTGGGAAACACCGGCTTCATCGTACATAGCTCTTTCCGTATATTCATGGTGCGTGATCTTCCCGTTGCGATGAATCTTAATCTTTCGCAATCTGAAGGCAAACACAAAATCCGACGAGCGGTCAAACGAAGAGCTCTCCCCGCCTTTCCATTTCTCGCGAATTTCCGGTCCCAAGGTCGCCGGCGCACTGGAGATGGCGTGGGCCGGATCGACTCGGAGCTCGGCGCCTAGGGACCAGCCACGGGCGAACTTTACCTGGGCGCCACGTGCAATCTTGAGCGCTGTGATCATATATAGGTGCTTTCGGAAACGACTTTTTTCAAGAAAGCTGGCGACTGGGGGGGAGGCCATGCTACGTGCCAGATACTCTGGTGTGGGAATGATTTCGGTGGTTTCAATTGCGTCGAAGACATAAAGTTGTTCAGCAGAGTAGTCATGGCCGACGTTAGCAGCTACACCAAGGCCAGTGATAAATGCGGTCCACAGGCCGTAGCGGCCGGAGTGCAGCTTCTCTTTGGCCCATGTCACCCCAGTTTTGGTGGTCGAAGGGAATATGGCATCCGGTGTCAGAGGCGGGCTGCCAAAGCAGTTTAGGGCCTCGGCCGGAGAACTGGGAGAGAGGATGATGTTACCGAGTTTGATAGGTCCGTCGGGATGGTAATCCCAGGTTGGGCACAAGAAGAAAGTCTTTTTTTGGTTTGACATGCTGGTTGCTCTTCGGAATTGTTGACCGATTGCTCTTTGATATATGACTTTACTGCAGTGAAGCCTTATGAAGAGCTCAAGCCGGCTTCGCCTAGGGAGATGTAATCGAATTGTTACAAGCGTACAGGGTGAACACTAGTGTAGGCTTTAACGGTAGAGAAAGGAATTTATATATTGGACGAGAGCCTCAATGCTGCTTATTCTACTGCACATACTAAGCTCTTGCCATAGTGCGGGGTTGAAATCTACAAATGGTTGCAAGCATTTGTATGCTCATAGATGCACGATGATGCGTTAAGAAGATATATACGATATATACGATATATACGATATATGCTATTCCTCTTATGCTAGTGTCCAAACGTCTAATTTATACTGCCTACCTATATCAGCTATTTGAATTTTGCCTGTCTTATATTGCTTACAATACCCAGCTGTGTAAAGTGAGATATTTGATCCGTTTTATGCCAGCTCCAAAATGACCAAATCTAAGACTCTAGGTAAACTAACTTGGCTTTTCAAGTGAATCATGGCTGTAGGTAATAGAACTTGTACAACTTGGATAGTCAGAGATTTGTATAATAATTAAAGAATCTTGGAGAAGAAGATTTTAGAAGAGATATGACTATTAAGTTAAAAAGAATTTGTTGTGAGAGTTTTGCAGCAGATGGATCCATTAGGAGGGGTGTTTATATTTTTTTTTTTCCTGACTTCACTAAGTAGAATTTGAAGGTTTTATAGGTCGTTAGAAGACACTTTGTTAAAGAAAAAAATGCTATAAGGTAATAATGGATTTACTTTGCTGCTTAGGTGTATAGAGCAGTATCTCAACAATGAAATAAGGAGCGCTTTCCTTAGAAAAAGGAAGTGTATGCTTCTAATTCCAAGGCACCTATCTGCTGAAAACGGCAGATCTCACCCATCAATAAAGATCTTACGAAAGCTGGACTTGGTGTTATTATCTCATGCCGCAGTTAACCACTAAAGTCCCTTACCCATCCTCTCCGTTTTGAACGGACCGTTCTGGAACACACACTTTGCCACCGGCCGTATTCCAGAGCTCCAGCTCCAGCTCTAACACACAAGATCTAAGCGCCGGGGAGAGATGTCTTAAAATAAATCCCCTTCATTAATCACAATCTTACGTCCTCCGTCTTGAACACTGTTCGGGGACTATACTATATCCTCCTCACTACTCTGTCCGTTTGGGACCGCCGTTCTGGAGCCCACACTTTGTGTCACAACCTGGTTCACTGTGACAGCGAAAACCCTTATAAGCAGCTGGTTCCGTTACAATAATTGCTTACAATAGTGATTATTGGCCTAATCTTTTGCCCTGTTGGCTTAACGTTATAACGGATCGTTACACTTTGCCGCCGGTAGCATGCACGGGGTCTGATTCCCAACCCCGATTCTCCGCGTTGAAGCGCTGGACAAGATGTGATAAAATCGACCAAGGCTAGTCCTGTCCATGGATTGGACGTACTGTCCGAAGGATACACTGGTCATCTTTAAATATTGCTCTAGCCCTCTTTGCATATGTTTTGCCATTTGTTTTTCCCCCACCACTTGTTGTCCACAGCAGGGGGCCGAATTAGAGGCTGACATCTTCATGGCAGACACCAGAGAAGCGTGGGAAGAATTAATCATGGACGACCAAAACGAAATGATATCACAAGTAGTAAATGATGTTCTACAGCAATGTGAGTTCTACCCTAGCCATAAGAACGAGAAAAGAGAGAGAGAGAGAGAAAGAGAGAGAGAGAGAGAGAGAGAGAGAGAGAGAGAGAGAGAGAGAGAGAGAGAGAGAGAGAGTTCTAACATCTATTTCTCAAGTTTCTCGACATGGCACGCATACGGTAAAACCACAACTTGATCCTGGCAGTACCGGCAGTGAGTCCGCTCATCACGTCAGCAAGGAGGGAAGCGCAGTCTTGGATCTATTCAAAGCATCACATTTGATACTAGGAACTGAACCCGATTGGATCAATCTTGTTAGATACTTCCCTGAGAGGCGGGCATCAAGTTGCGCTGAGTTGCTGGGGAATGCCCAACCGCTTTCGCCTTGCTGACCGTATTATGGCTTCAATAAGGCGGTCGTCTATTAGCGTTTCGTTGGCTAGCTGTGATATGATATTGTGCGGCAACTTTTGCGCAGTTGATGGAAGTGAGAGGCGTGGCCACATGTGTATCCGCATCCACCTGATGGACATCAAGGTCTAGAGTCATTATATATTAAAGTGGGCAAAAAGGCATATTCTGGTAACAAATGATTTCTAAACAGGAGAATATCCATAATGTAATCAATCATGTTTAGAGGGAAGAGTAAAGCTGTGTTTTAAGCCCAAATATACACCTAGTTGTTGGGCATATAGGCCAGGCTGTCAGTTCAGGTGGCTGCCGGCTCTTAGTGGGGCGTGCTTGTGGGCGGAACGGGGCGGTAGGCTAGTTCCGCAAGACTACTGCTCTGCCAGTAGGGCAAGCCTGGAGAGGCTGAAATCGAATTGAAATCTTGTCTCACTGTGTAGTATAATCATGAACAGATAGATCGCAAAGAAGCGGCCAGATAAGCTCTAGTATAAGGCCTATAGGTACTAATAGGGAAGTTGTCTAGTGCGCCTTCAATTTTGTATGCGTTTGTGTGGTAACACCGACTTCACTTAGCTCACGGCCCGCATGCCGCCGAGTTTTAGTCCTACCCTAGTTAAATAGATTCCATCTTGGGTGCAAGATGGCCGGGTTTGCGCTGTCCCAATAATACCTAGCTCTCTTATCGCAGCTGTAGTAATTTGCGCCCTATATCGTTTTAGTGAAGTAGGCTTCAGTTGTGGCGTCCATCACCATGACCGTTCTTGCGGGGACGACATACTCTGTAGTATGTCTCACCACCTATCAAGTGAACGCGGCTGAACCGATGTCTCACTGATTGATATGAATTCTTCCTGATGATAGGAAAAGTTTCAGCAGCCAGTGCGCCACAACGTTGACGTGGCATTATACGGAGCTGTAGTCTAAGGTCGAGCTGAGGCCGAGAACTTTGACATGTCACTTTTGAGCGACATAAGCCCAGCCTAAGCCTTCACTGTGTCTCTGTTTGGCGCAGCCGTGGACAGGCGCTAATGCCGGAACTAGCTCCAGTGTAGGCCCATGCAAGCTACACGAGAGTCAAGACCAAGTGAATATAACACGCGGTATTTGTAGCCACGCCTTTACTCTTATTAACAGTCTCTAAAGGTCACCATATAATAGCATTATATCAGCCAGCCAATAAAACGTTAATAGATAGTTTTTCTTTATTAAAGCTGTGTACTACAGCCAGTAAGGCGTAAATAGTATGAAGCAACTCCCCAGTGACTTAGCGCAACTTCATGTCCCCTTGCAAAGAAATATTTATTAAGATTAATCCAGTCAGGTTCAGTGTATGTACATGTATTTGGAGCTTGGCACTGAAAAGCATTACTTTTAGTTGCTAGAAAATATGTGTGTTACACCCTGGCTGGAGCAATGGCCAGGAGAGTATCCTTTTTTTTTAAACTAGGAATAAGGCTCTGCCAAGGATATCGTTCCCTCAAGCCATCATTGCCCTTCTCTAAATGGCTAGATGACACCGAAACTCATTGCCCATTGGGCTTCACATACAAGGGTTATCCTACAAGCTGAAATTGAACTGAGACATTGTTTTCTTTTTTTTCTTTTTGCCTCTTTGGCGGCTAAGTGCTATAGGCTTAGGCGCAGGTAGACTTAGGAAGAGCATCCGCGCTATGTGACAAACATGTAGGAGAGTGGCTGAGTTTCTTTCACTATCTACGGACTTCAATATATAAAGACAGCTCATTACCATGCCCATCTTTCTTCTGCGGCTTTAATAGACATCGCTATTCACATTGTCACCATGTCTCTACTCAGTCGAATTGTAGTAGCATGGCTTTCTTTCTCGCTAGCCTCTTTTATTGCTGCAATACCTACAGAGACCACCTCATCAGCACCAACCGCCACCCTTGCGCCGCGACAAACAAATATTTTGGGGTGGTATTCTACCGACTCGACTTGTATTGCTACCATCGCTCTCGATTCCCATATTCAAATTTGGACCTCCTAACCTTCGTGACTTAGATTCCCCATATATGTGTCAAGGGATTGCCACGTATTGCCAGACTTCTACGTACGCAGGTTGCGTTAATGGGTCGCCGTGTACGCCACCGATTACTTGCATTTCGAGCAGTTCATATATACAATGGAAGGGCGGCGGCACATATGGCACAACAGGCTGGTAGGCCTCGTTATACTCTTCGACTAGCATTAACGAAGTAAATCAAGTTAATATTGGCTATAGTGGTCCTAGTCCATACCAATGTTATATGGTAACCATGCATCCCGCACCGACCGACCCTACTGGAATAGTTTCGACCTTTGCTCAATGCGATACGGCACAGCCATCAATTCTTTTTCGCGAGAGCCCGAGAGCAACTGGTATGCTGCCATGTCAATTCTACCCCCTGCATCTTAAAATAAAACATGTTAACGTGGACTTTACTAGCTTCGTCTACATCAGAGCCGTCTATTTCTGCAACTTCACCAACACCTACAGTCGCTTCAAATCAAACATCGCCAGCGTCGGCCCATAATACTGGGTCCGGTTTGAGTAAGGGTGCGCAGGCTGGTATCGGAGTAGGAGCCACGGCAGGTGGCACAACAATTATAGTTATTATTGTGCTTTACTGGAAGAATAAGAAGTTTCGGGATCAGGTTAATAACATTGTTAATAACATAATAGGGAATCACAATAAGGTTGACCAAGGAATTAATGGAGTTAAATAAATCACACTTTAATATTATAATTTCGCAATAAGCTTCTTGAAAGAGCTAAGGCTACCATTCTTATTCATTGATATACAGTAAAAACAGTTAATTATTTTATAATAAATATTATTAATTGCTTTCAGCTGCTTGAAAAAAAATAGAAATAGCTAAAATTACAGGCCCTGCGATATATAAAGATATTTACATACAATGTTAAAAGTCTGGGTTAAACCCCCATTTGAGGTCCCCAAAATTACATACCTAGGTAGCAAACGGAAATACAATGACTCCTGCAACAAGAGTAGGAAAAATAAGGCATCGAGGTTGTTTGAACGTTGTGGAAAAAGTAGACATAGCCTTTAGTTTAACACCCTTAGCAGCTCGCACGGCTTTAAAAAGCCGGCCTATGTATGAGCATGTCATCGACTAACTGTACTATGTTATCATGTAGCACTTTTCGCGCAATTGACGGGAGTGAGAGATGTAGACGTATGAAGCACTTGCACGCTATATTCTCCTTGTTCTCGACTCTCATTCGAATTGCATGGGTCCAACACCGAAACCGGGTACCAGCATTAGCGCCCGTCGACAGCTATGCCACTAAAAGGAAGCAACAACAAAGTTGGGCTTACGAAGCCCGAAAGTGACGTGTAAAACATTCCAACCTCAGCTCGGTTGTAAGCTGCGGCTTGAACGGCATTATAACTATTTAGTTAGTACAAGTCTTATTAACGTCGTGGCGCGTTGGTAGCTCAAATGCGGCATGTCTTTAGTCAGAAACCACCTCTATTAGTGAGACATCTATTCGGTTGCATTCAATTGATATGTTATGCGATTGGTCGTTGACGCCTATAGCTACTGGTACAAGGAGTATTGCCAAAGGCGCTTGATTTATATACTAACTAGACGAGAACATCAAGGCTTTTGTCGTTTAAAGTGCCCCGCACTGGGTGCCCTGCCTTTGCCCGACCACCATCTATTGTGTCAATTGAAGCTTTTGGCAGCAAAGTTGGGGGTCGTATCCCCATTTCTACGGCCACATTGAAGCAAAAGATCGTTCCTTTACACCGCGCCTGAACCAGCGACATAATTGGAGATTTTCCGTCCATTCGTCTTGAACCATCGTATTATAGTTCCGGGGCCTTAATGGAAGCGACTCCGGGCGTTATCGCGGCCGTTGATCTCTCAGCCGCCCTGTCGGCTGCCTAGGTTGCAAGGCACATTGGGCTGCAAGGCACGTTGGGATGCAAGAGCAGGCTGGGCTGCAAAACCCACGCTTCAAGACTGCAGAGGATGCTTGGGATCACAAGAGATATTAATAGCACCATTTCAAAAAGCCGTGAAGTAGGGAGAGAGAGCCGCAGATACAAAAGTGTTTAAGACGATCTCAGTTGGCAACATACAAGCTTTGCTCAATGCAACGCGCTACCCACATGATGGAACACGGTTGGACGCACACCTTGCAATCTCCCCTGCATGTCTCGGCATCTACAATTTCTTGGAGCCAAGGTCCATGCGGCGGAGCTGTGCCTAATAACGACATACACGTATCACACAGTAAGGGACAGTAGTAGCGAAAATAGGCAGGCCGTCACACTATCCTCTGGAAGCATTCTCGTCTTTTCCCGAGTAAGCAAGCCTGGGTTCGTAATTAAGGCCGAATACAAGACTAGATCTCTACCCAAAACAGCATGCAAAAGGCCGAGGCATCTAACCGACCACGCTAAACAGGAAGTTACCTTTAAATAGAAGCAGGGAATGATGCTGGCAGATGATCTAAACTTAGTGTGTACCAATAATGATGCGGGTTCTCAACTCTCCATTATTTACTAGCGAAGAGAAAAGAAAGAAGCGAAGGGCAAAAACAAGAGGGGGGGTCGATACAGTAATATAACGGATGCAACGTGTATGTCCCGTACACGTTGGGCTTGGATATGCACTAACTAGGAGTGGTTGTGAGCTGTACCGCCACGAGCTGGCATATGACTCAAAGAGCAGCAAATGTTCTCCTTAAATAGCGCGGCCGAAGCCATCCTCAGGAGGCTGTATTCATCTACCGGTTAGTAAATCACCATCTTGTTAATTGCTCTTCTGAGACGGCACCCTATCTCTTATCTTTTGACTTCAACCCCGTCCCGATGAATCCAAACCAAGTAAAGCCTAAACACCCTGTCACCACAGGCATCTGGAATGAATATCATCCTAAGTAAGCCACCAATCTCTCAAGGATATTCCAATATAGCATGGGCTTAAGACTTGCTTTTTCAGTAGTGCCTTTGTGGGTTTCAGCCAGGTGCCATTCCAGCAGAATGGCAACATGCCAGAATATTCATATACAAACTCTTCCAACCCGTTTAAAAACCCTCCCGCTAGCTTGATGGGGTATATGTGGATGGCTAGTATTCCAGATGCTCTGAATGAAGGCAACATGAATACCACCATAGGTAATGGAAACAAAGTCCAGCAGACTGCTAAAACCGGTGTCAATTGCAATAAACTCTGCGGGAATGAAAATGACATTACACAGAGTGCCTCTAAAGACATGAAGGTAATCTATAATCTTAAATTTATTTCATCTTTGATACATCTCAAATTCTTGCTAATATACCATTATTTAGCGCCGAAGTGGGATAAAGAGGTTGTTTGGGAAAGCGGGAATGCTATAGAATCGATGGCTGCTGTTACTTGCTTTCTAGGGCCTGATCGAACAATAGCCTGTCATAATATACTTCTATAATTTCAGATTGATACCTCTGTCGTGATTAAAGGGACCAACGGATAGAGGATCCTAGTGTAACATTTTTATTGATAGGTGGCTGAGTATGTGATATCGTTACACCAATCAAGCCTTGGGAACAATAGAAAGAGAGTCGATTTGATCGCTGGGGGTTACAAAGAATGCTAGAGACAAGAGATTTAGCATTATTATTAGAACCTTGGTCGCCTGGAACGACGCTTTTGATCCTCTTACCGCCACACTAGTATCCGGAGTTGATTCGTTGTACAACCTTTAATTAGCCAGCCATTTTCTCCAGCTGCTTCGAGGCTTTTTGGCTAATACATCCCTGGCTAATTTCAACGCCTCTTTCCCCTCCGTTGCAATCTGCGTGGCACGGTTGCCATTCCCTTTCGTGATACTCTGGTTCTCGTTACCGCCTTGTATTGTTTGATTCCCTTCCCCGGCTGTCCTGGCTTGATTGCGGAAGCCAGCCTGAATAGTATTATTTTCAGAGCCCGTGGTTTCCTGAAAGTTGCCATAAAGGGGGTTTGGATTCTTATCAGAACAATCTATAAAACTATATTAAAAACACGATAACAAACTGCTAGAAGCGTGGAGACTACTAACCTCTGAAAAGAAAGTCTTCAGTTCTTTCCTCAGCCCTAAGATTAGCTGAAGGAATCCGATAGAGAAGGTCCTTTGCGTATGCAGCCGCAGCCATCGCTGCATATCCTTGCCATTCCTTATTTTTATGGGAGTCTGAATAGTCGCAAATGCCTCGAATCACTAGACAGGGAAAGTGATTTAGAAGTCCTGCCGCTTCCATTTCGAAACACAAAACGTCTGTCTCCGCTGCAAGTCTATCTCGAACTAAAGCGTCCTTCATTAACTGGTTGGCCGAAGCGATAAGGCCATAGTGAACTGCTGGATTATCCCCGTCTTCGGTCCGCTTAGGTCGCAATTCCAATTTTGATGGGTTATCGCCACAAACCGTCGCGCAGCTTGAGTTGTCGTTAAGAGGATGAAGAACTTTGGCTTTATATAGCCTATCAGTGCTTAGCTCCGGTCGACTATAGTTCTTCTTTAGTCTGGGTCTCTTCTCAAGAACACCATTGATGGCTTCTTCAAGGTGATGACCATCACTCTCATACTGGGCCTTAAGCCCATTAACCGCTGCTCGTAAGATTGTAGGTGGTTGATTCAAGAACCCAGTTGTTTGGAAGCTTTGATCTTGCAGCGCCTTGCCAAAGTCGTACTGGAAAACGCCACCTTTCCCATTCCGAGGAGTGCTAACCACAATGTCCCCTAGGCGGATATCATGCTTTTGACTTGGAGCGCCCCCGCCAATCCCAACCATCAGACCGATTCTAACATTAGGAAAGCTCTGTATCATATCTCTCGCTACACCTGTTGCAGAGGTAATACCATACTCACCATCAGGCAAGACAGCGATGGCAATATTGTGTTTTCCAATCCTGCCCAATGTGTAATCATTATTATCACTAGAAGAGACACATTCCGGTCCTTCATGCTTTTCGTCAAGAAAGGCTTGCGCGGCAACATACTCCGTAGTTATGGCGCAGATCCAGCCAATTGTGTAGGCTTTTGGATTGGACATACCTCCTGACGCAGTACTGCGAAAGCAGGTCAAGATGTACAGTCGCTCCAGGACGTATTCGAATTTAAGTGCTAATCCGGATTGTTGGGTTTGTTCCCGCTGCAGAGCTTTTTCGTGAAGTTTAATGGCCTTGCTCCGACCGGCACTAGGTGCTAAATATCTTCAAGGAACAAGACGGCGTGGTAGCAATAGGTTGGGTTAGGCTGGATTAACGACAGTGCCCAATCGTCTGCATGGTTGGCGAGGTGGCCCGAATGGTCACGCAAAATGGGGCAACCCATGCATAGGCCCTTGAACATTGACCAATTAGTTCACAGGTTATTACCTGGCGAAAGACCCATTGCTGGCTGCAAACCCAAGAAGTTATCCTGTCTATGGCCTATGTACTCTATAAATGAAAGGATAGAGGAAGGTAAAAGGTTTAGTGTCTTAAGCCGGCAGGACGCTACTCTATGCATGTGAAATGTTCGGCGTTGGCCTGCCAACAGCCCCATAGTTCCTCTACGTGGACGAGTATAATAGGTACTGTGCCTAATGTAAAACCATGCCCAACGCCCTTGCCGCCAATTATTTTTAATACAGTAATGCGAAAAAAAATGCGAAAGAGAGGCCCGAGATCGGTGAAGCGCAGAAAACGGTGCACTCAGCTAGCCGTGCCTTTACCTCGCGAAGGGAAACCAGAGCCCATGACATCTCATGACTAGGATGGGTAATGTTAGAATAACAGTACATCTTGATGTTCAGAAGAGGGGCTATCTTCCAATCAGTCAACAATCGACTCTCAGGAACGTACTGATCTCCCACTAGACGTGCAAAGTCACCCGATCAGTAGTATCCCTCAGCGTCAAAAGCAGACCGGGTTGCAGCATCCTTGCTAAGATAACTATATGTTCATCCGGCACGTAAGCTTTACAACATGGCCAAAGCATTAGTTTCGTACGCAACCCGTGAATATGATCGAGTTTTTAACCAGTATCTCTCCATGATCGAACTGCACGCCTGCCGGCCATTAGCTATTATGTGTCAAACTCATGGGCGACTAACCTCCAAGGCCAAACCAGGCTCGTCCATCATCGCTGTGAGATTACCTGCTTCTGTTAAGCTATGACAAAGGATGAACTGGCGCCCAGCAGCTTTTGCCAGAACTTAGTAACACTAGTCCCATTCACATAAGATAATTAGTCTCTATAATACTCAAGCCGCCTTTACATGCTGCTCTCGCTGCTCCAATGGTAACTTATCTATATTCTCAATAAAATATTTCATTAAACTCGCCCAGAAGCCCCTTGCCATTTTAAGATCGGTCACGCCACCTCTCTTCAGTAATTCCCATATTTAACACGCAGTACTGCCAGAAACTCTGTCTAGTTCCCATATACAATACTTACAAACCATATAATCCAGGCAAATCTCTAAGAGGAGTCATTACACCTAGGTAGCTTATATAGCACAGATGAGCAGTGTAGTCACGTAGCTAACAAGGTTATGAATAACCAATCTGATTGTTATCTGAAAGTGCTATGTTAACGACTGACTATCTAAGTTCTATCTAATGAGTGTGATGAACGTTCTTATATAGTAAGTCGTTCCCTTAGGAGCGCTGTTGCCCATCGCTCCATCGTGACATGGAGCGCTCGTGTAAGTCGCTCCATTCCCAGGAGCGCTGCGCTCCGTCGCTCCTTAGTCCTGATTGGTTCATCGGTCCTACGTTCTTCCTGGTACATACCCTCAGGTCCGACCTACGGTTCAGGTCGTCACAGATTATTGAGGGACAATGACGGCTTGTTTTTTAACAACTGGATAAGCATATGCTCCTCCAGCATACAAAGGTCCCGTCGGGCCATAAAACCGTACTATAAAACAAACGTAAGCTTCTGTCAAGTGGTAAATACAGGAGGCAGCGTATATGTTTGACTTACGGTTGACGGTGAAATTGCCACCTCCCGCTGGTGCAGGGAGCCAGTTATTCGTCCAGTTGACTGGAGGAGCTACATCGGCTGGCTGGATAAGAATAGTAAACGAGCCGTTACGGCCAGTGCCATAAACCAGCTGACTGTCATCATATGTCAAGCTGCTCCGATCCCCCAGAGAATACCTATTTAGGGGATTAGGGATAAGGTAGCTAGAGCTGTTATAGGCTGTCAAGCTCCAAAACCCTTTGACAGGTGGCTTCCCGGAGAAGGTAAGAGTATAAGACTCATTGCCTGCCAGTGAGAGGCCGTGAATGCCAGAGCCAATATATTCGGGGTACAAAGCTTCGTCTTGCACCAGTTGCAAATACCCTGTGTAGGCAATGATACTTCTGATTGTATAACTGCTGTGAAAGTTCCCACTGGCTTCCGGGGGGTAATCAAACCATTCGTTGTTGAATAACTGTATTAGTTTTTCGGTTGACGTTAAAGCCGTATTGGCTATCTGGTTTGCTTCTGTATAGTTGACGAACGTCGATGGTGAGTATCGGCCATTAGAAATACCCGCTACTCGCAGCACTGAGCTCACTGGTATAATGTCTCTTGCATTGGCCGGAGGATTATAGGGAGCTACCCGAGCTACAACCGTCAAAAGAGCCTTGACAGAATTGGTGTCGAGTGCTGCGGGTGGCGTTAATGCTAAGGGCTCGAGAGTGCCACTTCCCAGCAACTCGTAGGAGAGGGGAGGTGCCAGGGGAATAGTCTGCCTCCCTTTTTCAACTTTGATCTGATCCTGAATAGCATGTACAATGTCGAGATCGGTTGAGTTATTTTTCAGCAAGATTCGAGGCAATACCAGGCCATATGGCGTGGGAAAGTTGACAGCGCCTAAATATCCAGTGTCCTTTGGCAAAGACTCGAATCCAGATCTTCCGGGTGTATGTCTCAGTAAATATTTTCCAGGCGCCGTATTGTTTAAGCTTCCCAAATTGGCAAAATTATTAGACCACCTGTAGCGCTAGTTAGTCATCCGTTTAACAATGTTTGAAAAGACATATGTATATTCTGACAGGTCATAAAACGGGAAAACATAGAAGCGATCATCTATCTTCGGTATCGTAATGACAACCTCGTATGAAGACAGATCCACGGCAATTTTTGAGTAGAGTGTATCTACATTTGGCCGCACAATAGCTGCCTCATCTGCTGTTGCAGTATTCTTCTCGCTAAATATTGCATTGGTACCGACCGAAGTTATTACGGAGTCTAAGCTTGCGGCGTATTGAATCATTGGGTAGCCATACTAGAAATTATATTAACTCTGCTATTGTTATTTCTCTTATGTTGGTGTTACTGACAATAATAGCAAAGGCGGTTGCCTCGCTGGGGCTTGTCGCCCGTTTGGTATTTGTAAAAGAGTCAAGGGGAGAAGGTTGAGCATTTCCAACATTGCCGAGTATTGCCCCCCAGGCAAGTATAGACATAAAAAATCGGTATAACATCATACAATTGAAAAATAGCGCAGCTTTTTGTTGGCTGAGATTCTACAATGTAGTTGTGTCCTGATCTGTTTAAACTGTTGGTAGACTGAGCGGAAGGCTTGCCTCTTTTATAGTAAAGCTGTAGACAAAAAAGGGGTTGCTTGTACACAGACGTAGTCGATATTACGAAATGTATAGCATAATACTCTCCCTTTTTAAGGAGATAAGTCAGAAGTAAGTCTCATACCTTTTGGTAGATGTCTTGCATAGCCGCTCGGAAGCAAGACAGACATACGCCTGTAATTCTATAATCCCGCCACCGCTACTTTTGGTTGGCAATGCAAGAGGATCTGGTGCCTGTCATTTTAAAGTTTCTGCAGATAGACGCTCTAAAAGTTATCTGACATGTTTTGAGCGCCCCTTGAATGCAGGGCGGACCGGAGAAATTTGATTTATTCTGGAGCTTGTTATCCACGTCTTGATATATTGCAAAGTGGGAAAATTTTCATTAACTGCTCCTCACATATACATGCATCGTGTACAATAAAATGCACCATCTACTTTATACTTATTATTATTATTATCATCATCATCATCATCATCATCATCATCATCATCATCATCATCATTATCATTATTATTATTATTATTATTAGCTAATACCCTTAGTCACTTCTTGGGCCAGCTAATCGTTTTTCACCGTACTAGTATGATTCAGTAGAGTAATATATAGGAGAGTAAAACACGGTAGAGTGAAACATTATATAGTAATGTATAGCAAAGTAATAGATAAGAGAGCGAAATACAGCAGAGTGAAACACGACATAGTGATACGCGACATAGTATGTACTCTAGGCTACTCTATGCAACTGTAAAGTGTTTCTGCGTTAGCCTGCCAACAGCCCTATAATTCCTCTACGTGTACAAGTATAACAGGTTCTGTGTCTAATGTAAAACCTTGCTTAGCGCGCCCTTGCGCCTCGTGTATTCTAGTGGGTAAGTATTACTTTTGATACAGTAATATGCAAGAGAGTCCAAGATTAGTAAAGGGCACATTTAGAAAATAGTGCACTGGCTCTATTTAATATTGCAAGCTAGACTAAGAGAGGTTAGTGCCTTTACATTAGCGCTGTAAGTCTTATCTTTAAAAATCAAAAGCATATGCCTCTAATCTTATAGCCCTAGACACCCAAATATGGCAGACTTAACTTATCCCAGAAGATCATACGGAAGCTAAGTAAGAGAAGTTATTGTAATTTCGTCCGGCATTGTACTATAATCTTTTGCTTGCGCTCTCTGTCTTGAACGGACCCACGCCTACCGGCGCTCTCTGTTTTTAACGGTAGTTGCATGGCCCATACTTTGCCACCGATGCAGTCCCGATGGCCGGCTGCGAAGCGCCGGGACGTAAATAAAGCTTAACTGTTTATTATCAGTCCTTACCATTGGCTGAGTCTACACTAACAAATAAATATGAGCCGCGCGCGAGAATCAGTCTCCTGAATATCATTTCATACACCAGGGATCTTGAGTAAGGATTGCGCAAACCTAATGTTGGTTGCGCCACTGGGGATTAGTATGGGGGTTATAGCGAAACCTGGTCTCCGGGTATTTAAAGCTAAAGAAAAAGGTCGCCAACTTGAAGATGCCCCGCTAGTAAGGCAAGATCATGTCCCTGGCGAAGTCGCTGAAAAATCGCCATAGCTTCTTCCTCATCGCGAGTCTATAGCGCAGTGACAACCTACTGTAGGATATCGTGTGACTCATGGAGCTTCCTTAAACTCTCTTTAACGCTTTTATATTTGCGTTTCGTGGCTTCACTTCGTGTTTCTGCCGGCTTCGTGACATATTCGCACGCTATATTATCCGCACAACATCCACATCGCACTTAAGCCCACTAAATATATCAGCGCCTATACCTTAATCTAGAGATTTATCCAGGTCTCAAGGCCTACCTTAGCTTTAAGTTATCTGCAGCGCTCATAAGCCGCTATGCTTCTTATTTTAGTCAGTGGCAGAGCTATATTAGAGTTAGGAGCACCAGACGGCCTCGGTAAAAGCGGCCGTAGAGACATGGCGAGGAATATTAGTGCAAGGTCGATTGCCACGAGATTGGCAGGTTAGTAAGAGGTTCAAAACTCCAAGATTCTGTTTATCAATACAACTACTAAAAATGTTTTAGATTACGCGGCCAAGCTGTAGTATTATATCAACTCAGAATGTCCTCTCATTGGCTGAAGCAGCTGCCGGAGTCGACTCCTTTGTGTACCTATTTAGCAATCGTCATTATGGGCCAGTTATAAGGTATTTATGCGGAGTGGAAGGCGTTCTAATTACGAAGCTAATTAGATTCATACTACTGGGGGTGCTAAAAAGCAACCCAAACCCTATGCTAACTTCATATAGTATTGTAGCGTACCGTATAGTAGATAGTCAGTAATACTAGGGATTCTCAAGGGACAACCTAGGTATTGACCTGAGTTCGTGTTGGCGGATGGGTTAGGAAGATCTGTAGGCAATGATAAGTATCAGATGTCACGCAATAGCTAAGACTAGTAAGTGGTACTGCAATCCGTCTGACTTCAAGATCACGGTTAAGAGTAAGCTTAAGGAAGACTCGGACTCGGGCCCAATGTACAGGAGCAAGAGTACAGTTAAGAGACATCTGATGCTACTTTCCCTTGAGCAGCGCGCAAACGAGCTGGCCGACATTATGAGGTCTGCTTCTAGAACTGATTACTTATCTGCCTATAACTGCCTACTAGGTATTAGGGTATTATTCAGCAATAGATTCCCCTCTCTCTTTAATTAGATACATACGCTGCAGTAATGACTAGTAAAAAGCGCCGGTGATAGCACTATTACCCAAAATCTCATCCGTCTTTCTCCGCTTGGGACTTGACGAGAAGTACTTACCATCAGCCTCCATGCCAGTCGAAGCTAGTTCTTGAGGGCAGTCCCGCTTGATTTTCTTCGGTTTTCCACTCGTCACCATAGTCGAGCAGATTGAAGCCACCGAGGTAGTTGGACGGACTATTTCGTTATATGTAATTTTGCTCCAACAAGTTGATGTCTCTAGATAGTCTGTGGCAAAAATCGTAGACAATTCATCTCCAGATTGCGTTGCATCCTTGCCATTCTGGATATTTGGGCTAGTGTCTCGAGGTCGAATTTGCTCAGATCCAACCTCAGAGATGGGGGGTGCCGCCGTCGCCAGAAGCGTGATTCCTATAGATTCGTTCAGCTCAGCCTGTTGATCTATCACTGGAATGCCTGGCAAAGCAGACGGGGGCATCAAGGACAACGGAGCAGGTTGCAACCCTTCATCGCCAACGCTCGTTGAGAGGTGGAGCTTGTGTGTGTCATTAAGCCTATGCTCTTCATCGGGCTTATGGCACATTGAGTCGGCGCTGGTGGGGAAATGGGTGGATGTGTGGTGCGATGGATGCCAGTTTGGGTTTATCGGGAGGTAGGAAGCGAAGAAATAAATAAGAGAGTCGAGGGAGTTTGTCCGGAAGAGCTGGATGGCATGCTGCCACTGAGGCATGTTAATAAGGGCTGGGTTTGCCGTAATCTCGAGGCTCACAGCGTCAAGGGCGTCATATAACTCGTGAAGGCGTTGGCGTCTGCGATTGTCAGCCAAATGATGGAATTCGGCAATGGAGGTTGCCTCGTGGGAAATTTCGAAAATATCATGATAGAAGGCATCAGGGTCTTGTATGGGGGACGTATAAGTGTTATACTGGTCATGAAGCGTAGTAAGTAAATCTCCTCTCTTCATGTTGAACTTCCAGGCTGGCCATGCACGAGAAGGATCATCCATATCGTAGAAAAAGGATTCGTTTGTATCGAAAAGAGCAGAGATTCAGGTAAATTATGTTGATGATGATGTTGATGATAGGTGAACAGGTACAAATGGATGGGGATGGCAGAGTACCCTCCAGGTATGTGGCGAGTCACTTTGCGCATCGCTTCAAGAATCTGATTCCCCCCGTAGAGAATCCGTCATACTGTGGGGTAGCAACTTCTGTCGCCTCTGTGAAGAAGCCAAGAAACCAGATCAAATGACCACTCATGGCAGTCATTGGTAGGTTGGGGAAAATAGACAACCCACTGGGACACAGCGTCGAATTAGGACCCCTGTAGGAAGCGTCGAGACCGATTCTCAGATTCGGCGCGACTCACATTGCTTGAGGGTATATAAGCCAAGCTAGGACTCAATCAGCGGGTGATGCAAGAATATGCCGCTCAATGTTCTCAGCCATGTCTCCTTATAAAATCCCAACAACTACCGCTCAGGCCACACAACAGTCCACACAACAGTTCATGAGCCAAGAAGAATATGCTCGCTTTCTATATCAGCACACGGCAAGGCAAATGGCTGCTTTTACCGGCTCTTCCACTACGATGCCAACGCTAAACCACGTCTCTTCTGACCAGATTCCTAGGGCAGAGACTGGAAATGAGAAGAATCTTTAACGAATGATTGAGCCGCCCGGCACTTTGGTTCCATAGGAGAGTCCGCCGAATGATGTAAACCTATAACATGGGCTGGCCTCTACGGCGTCCATGATGCCGCGCGCCCTTTAGCAGCCGAAAGCACTGGAGTCAAAAAGGCCAACATCGGGCATTATTGTCGGGGAGGGCTGCATGGGTAACCCTTCTTTATTTTATAGCCACGTCATATTGGGTAGGTTTATTTTTCTGTATCAAAGCTTTGGTGGGGATCGGACGAGTCAAGGCCGCTTAGTTTGCCGTGCGGATCCCCTGGCTGACTGATTATTGGATAGGGTACAGGAGCTGTGTGGCAATTGGACAGCTAAAACCAAGGGCTGCAAAAGCTAGACATGTTAGCAAGGCACTAGCAGCTCCACGCTTTCTGGGCTTGGCCTCGACCAGTTGATCATCCTGACACAAGAGGGTAGCTGCATTCATGGACTAAGATACTTAGCAAACTCGCCCCTCCCACACACTTCCCCCCTCCCGGTTCAGTTACTACAACGATATTACTAGTTGTTCAAGTAGGGGACTTTGGGGTCAAAAATATTTGGCATGGTAGGTGCAATAGAAAATCAATCACTAAAGCAAATATCAACCCAAGATAACTAGGTATCTATACACCAAACAGCTTAAGAAACAAAAAAAAAAAATAGAGACACATGAAAATTTCATCTCCCGTTTGACGACTCGATGCCTTGTTTTTCAATGGCTGGTCCCTGCCAGCTACGTATTTAATAGCTCTGTATTTGCATTACTTGGTATGAGGCTGGAGCCTACACGCGCGTAGCCTCTGTCGTCTTCTCCGGCTTCACTAAGGGGTTTTCAGTCTTTTGATCCATCATCTCGCAAAGGTGACTCTTATTTTCCGTGTCGCCCTCGTTCCCCGCCTCTTGTAGGCCCTTATTTGCGCCCTCGTCAACGTTGCTCTGGCTGGGTACGGGACAAAACGGCTGGGATACAGTCTCCCGACGTGGTTGTTGACTCCCTGTAGAAACGGCGCCTATGCTTGAAGGTCTGTGGGCCTGTGAAAGTGCAAAGTCGCCGGAATCGAAATACTTTCTATCCTATAGCTAATGGTTAGCCAAGTTTATTTCTCGATGAATAATATGTAATAGAGAGAACCTAAACTTTGCGTCCACATACCTCAAGTTGATGGCCAAGAAGATGACCCCGCGATGGCAATCTTCCATAAATTTTCTGGAGATGCATTGTTTTCTTATGCTTCTCATCTTGCAATGTTAAAAATTCCGCGAGTCATTTAAGAACGAAGGAGTAAGGATACCTCAGATACTTACAGAAGACTCTTCCTTCCTTTGAGTTTCCATGAGGAAGGGTCGTTTTAACTTGTAAGAAGTTCTTCAAAAAAAAAAAAAAGTTGTTAGGAATAGAATCTTGCTTTGGTCATAGCCCATTAATCCTGTCTGCACATTATCCTTATCCCTAAATCGAGCACCTTGGTTGGTTATCTGCTTGCGGACTCAAGCATGGTGTCATCTTTGTTCTCTGCCGCTTAGCGGATCTGCTGCTGCTGATACCGGCGCTTTGTTATTGGCAAGATATGTATTTTAATTAGGGGACTGAAAAGTGTAACGGCTGACTGTGGCTGATAGGTGCAAAGGGAGAAAGTGGCCACGAAATATCGCCCCTTTGTCGTCGTATCGCTGAGCAACTCACATTTGAAAGCAGATTATTAAAGCTGCCGCATTAATCATTAGTGACATTTAATAAATTGGTCAACCGACGAGTGTTTCCTTTTTTTTTTCCTGTCTTCGCGGGTTACAGTACTAGAATCTTTTATTTACTTTTCCACGAGTTAATTAACTATTTACTATAAGCCAATAACTATAAGATATATGGCGCATATATTTTCTAAATAAAAGGATAGAGGAAGGTAAAAGATTGTCTTAAGCTGGTAGGACGCTACAGTACTCTAGGCTACTCTAGGCAACTGTGACAGACTATAGCTAAAGTGATTTGTTAAGAAGTTTTACTAGAGCTACTTTAATTATATTATTAAGCTACCACGGCTTTATTACACTTTCCTTGCTGACAGCGAACTAGATCCTTCTTTATTATACAAGACATGATGTTTCCTTTTTCAGTATACGAGGCAAACCGTATTCCATTCTCGGTATACGAGACGTTCCTACATACATTTGGTACACTAGAATAGAATCACAAACTCCGAGTCTTATTGCAATTTCGTGGATAGCTTCTTACAGCTGTAATGTCCGTAATGTCCGGTATGCCTTTCCGTCAACTCTTTACTGCTAGACAATCAAGAGGTAAAAGAAAAGTATATAAGGGCCAACCATGGCGGCCGTTCCAAAGCAGAGTGCGCATGGACATTTAAGCTAATACACCTCTGTCTTTCCTCCTCTTTTTGTGGTCACGAGTTTATCTCAAATTTGAAATATTTAGCCATGGCCGATACACTCCTTGTTACTGGAGCGAACGGCTTTGTCGCTCTTCATGTTATCAAGGAAGCCATTGCCCAGGGATACAAAGTTGTAGGAACAGTTCGTTCTGTTGCTGCAGCTGAGAAAATCATGAATATTTTTCCAGATTCATCCTCACAGCTTCAAATTGTCGAGGTGCACGATATTACAAATGCGAACGACTTCGCAATGGCCTTTGAGAAGTTCGAAATCGGAGCTGTGATTAACACAGCATCACCGCTAATAAACAACCCGAAAGACGTCAAGGCTGATGTCCTTGTCCCTGCTATTAAAAGTGGCGTGGCAATCCTTGAGGCTTCAGCCAAATATGCCGGGCCACAGCTGAGACGTGTCATCCACGTTGGATCTTTTGCGTCGACTCTCGACTTGTCGTTGGGCCTTGCTCCGGGGAAAACATATTCTCCTAGCGACTGGAATCAACTTACATATGAGGAGGCTGCAAACGGTGGGCACACATCTGGGTATATTGGATCAAAAGCTTTGGCTGAAAAGCGCATGTGGGATTGGATGAGAGAAAACACATCGACCTTCGACATGGTATCTGTAGATCCAGCGGCGATCTTTGGACCACATGTTGGGCCAGTTGATCTTGATCATTTGAATATATCAACTCAGATGATATGGGAACTTGTCGTCCCTTCGCCAAATCCACCGCCTTATAATTCTGGCCACCTTGGAGCGTGGGTTGATGTTCGTGATGTATCTGCAGCTTTGCTTGCAGCTGTAAAGGCTCCAGAGGCAGGCGGTGAACGTTTCTTGGTTGCACAAAGATGCCACTGGCAACTTGTAAAGGATGAAGCAAGAAGGGTCTTGCCTGACCTACAGAATCGGATTGATGCAGGAAAGCCAGGCGCTTGGATAGCTGCGCAAGCTACAACATATAATGTTGATGGTACCAAAGCAGAAAGAATCTTGGGAGTGCAATATAAGTCACTGGGAGAGTGTTTGAAAGATTCTTATGAACAGCTTTTGGAAGCTGAGAGAACAAAAAATCTTTTTATTGTAAACTAACCTTTATAGTTACAACAACAGGGTTATATAACAAGTAAAACTAGAGTAAGAAAAGCTTGTTTTTTATTGATAATTAGTTATTCAAGTTATTCAAAAATTATAATGTATTAGGTATTTGTGTATAGATTGCTAGAAGGAGACTGACTTTCTCAATGAAGGAATCTTTGCTACGCACTTTTGGGAAGGCCCATCGTTCCTGCAAGACGCAGAGTTTCCAACAGATGTTATCGACTATCTCAAGTACGTTTCATCGCGGTTTACGGCGCTCTTGGGTCATCAAGCGCTGAAATACATATGTAGCCTATACATGTACATTCGTTACATTCGCTGATTTGAATTTACAAGAATGGCAAAGACGGCGAGACCGGCACTCTGCCTCTCGAAACCCCCGTCCTAAGCGACGCCTTCGGCGATCCTGAGACTTTGAAGACTCAGATATTTATCATGACACCGGCTATCGAGGACCTTAATATTGCAGCTCAAACCGTCGAACCTTACAGAACTCTTCCTCAAAGCGATAACCCCGCCCGCTACGGCCTTTCGTAGACAGAAAACCCAGATCGACTCACTCCACTCAATGATTTGCTGGGCCAGTTAATGCCGGATGTGCCAATCTCGACATTTGCCTACAGGAAGAATAATGTCGTAGATCTGAGCTAGGGCGCCTACGGAAGTAATTGTGAGTGAATCCAGCGACTTTACTCTCTCTTATGGTTCACATTTGTGCCAGCAACCGCGATGGGCTAGAGACTACATGTAGACTAACGGGTCTCCTGCGAATAGGACATATATAGCAACATCCAGGAGCTTGACCCGAACACTGACAACCCGCTAGCGGCACCGCAAAGAGCAGCATGGCAATGCTGGATGCAGAGAGAGCTCATGGGTTCCGACCTTTGGAACGCCACGCCGGAGTAAGTCACGCGCGTAGCCTCCGAGTTTATTACAACATTAAAGATGCATTCACTGCCAATGTGTTCTCGCCTGTTAACCTGATTATAGGCAAACGGGAACGTACGCAGCGAACAGAAAGCGCCAAGATGAGAGTGCCTGCTCCTCTCCCGACTCCTAGCCCCGGCTCCGGCTCCGGCGGTGGTGGTGGGAACGGCAGCAGCAGAAAGCATTCGCCAACTGTAACTACGATGTACATTACGAAGATGACAACATTCACTACCACCATAGATACGAGTGTTCTTGAATGTGCATTGACCGTTGCAGCCGCTAGTTGGCTAGTGACTGGAGCAAAGGGCGGCCATATCGCACTCTCTGACTACAACTTGAGCTACTTCCCTATTCCGACTCCAACGTCCGACCCATGTGATGCAAGTCTCTTCTCTGTCGCTGGCAGCTTCTCCTACACCATATACGTGGAGCGACATGCCTCAAAGCGATTCTTTCGACTCACCGCTCACGTCTGGGCCAACGCCTCTCTCTTCATGCATATCTGTATACACCAACCCAGCCGCACCCAACAATGGCGACGGTGGTACGGCTTCTTGCCAAGGGACGGACTTTGCCTGTGTTATTGCAACCGCTTCGGTTTCGGGTTGTAACCACGACGAGGCTATTGGATGGGATACAAGCATCCTACCGATGGTCAGCTGCGACGGGTATATCGCAACAACCACTGTGGCTACGTCAACGTCGACTGTGGTGCAGACAATCACATCAACAATATTCTGCCACCTGCTTTACACTACCATCATCTTACATGGCCATCTTAGGCATGTGCCCTTGTGGCAAATCTCAAGATCAAGTATGTGACTTTGGACAGGGATGGAACTGTTAGTCTTGTCTCTTTCACCGCATTATATGTTATTCCTTTGTACAAGGTTGATATAATGAAGAGATATTGTGGCGCATATTGCATTCAGCTGCCGTCTATAATAAAGAGAAATGGGCCTCATGTTACATCTTATAAATCCATCTGGTCGTAACATTACGCTGTCGTTGCTGCCACTGTTGAATAGCCTCTAGGAAGCGCTTCCTGGTACCCGTTTGAGCCATCTCAAGTGGACTGAGATATGAAGTATCACCAAAATAATCATCTTTGGCCACGGACGCATGGTTTAGGTCGGCACCGCGATCCAGCAAGAACCAGACCAACTCTCTCCTATCCTTGCTGTCGCCGCCGTGATAAGCCACCCTGTCCAATGGCGTAGCGCCGGCTTGACCTGGCCGCCACCATTCCGTGTTCACGTCGATCCCAACCTCATCTACAAGGTATCGTACCATGTCCATGCGCTCATTGAACCAGACATCGCTGGTAGAGGGGTCGGCAGAGCCATTGTAAGATGGTGCGCTGGAAATAGCTTGTTCAACGGCACTATGTAGCACGCCTACGTGGAAAGGTGCGCCTTTCTCTCGCAGTAGCTTGAATGTCGGGACCGAACCACTCTTCGCAGCAGCCTCAAGTAGAGTTATGCGTGGGACTTGGCCTACGCCCCTGGCATCTCGTGGCGGAGTGTCGCCCGGCAGATATACGCTGGCTCCGTGATCGAGGCACCACTCAACTAGATCGTGATACCTTACCACGGACCACAGCAATGGCCAGTCTATACGAGATGACCGATGGTCAATATCCCAGCCATGGGCGACGAGCATCTCAATCGCCTCGAGTGAAGGCTTGGCGAGCAGATCTTCGTCATTGAAGAGCCACCCGCAATATACGTTACTGACGTCTGCGCCCTTGTCGAGCAGGTAAGCCTGGACTTTGACTGCCCTTCTCCGAAGCGAGGTTCTGAGACAGGCATTGATGACATCTTGAACGGTGTCGCGTGTTCCTCCTTTGGCTGCCAGCGAGAGGGCTTCCGCCATTAGGGATACATCGTCAGTTCTGCAAGCTTGATAGCCCATCCGCCTCGGAGCTCTGACCTGGGCCAGTGGCTGCGGCATTTGGTTCGGTTCTATATGTTCCATTGAATCTCAGAGAGAGCAAAGATTGATGTGGCTTGAATGACTTTAGAACGGGGGCGGCTGTGGAGGAAGATTGCTCGAAGGACTGAGTGAGGGGATGCCTAAGGCTGATAAAGCGCGTGACGAACGACCTCAGGGTTAGTGCTGTTTGCGGCATGCTGTTGGTTCTACATAGTTCTATACTCGGCTTCTGTGGACAGCACAATTTCCGTGCCACAGATTTCTTTATGTGCTTGAGTTTGGTTGCAGATAAAAAAGGTAGAAGTTTATAGAGATGGGTGGCAGTTAAAGGGTAACATTGAAGGCATAAACATGGATGCAGGTACGTGAAAGGCCATGGCAATCTTAACCAGCAGCGATGGACTGCTGCCCATAGGCGCTTTCAGCTCTTAGCGCCCAAACTACATGTACATGTAGTTATTGCGTCAACTTACAGCTTCTCACTACAATGGGCTGCATTACCATGTATGCAGTGCTTTTGATGAGAGCAAAGTCTCCATCACTCACTGCTCGGCGTGACCTAGAGAAATCTTCATTAGCCCTGTATTTGTGCTCAACCAAGAGCACCTTCCCAATACATATGGGTAAACGATTTCGTGCTCCTAAACAATTGACTTTCAGGTAGGCTTCCAGGTTCTATAACGTACAAGGCAACATGGAAGTTAAAAAAAAAAGACAAATGGACCTGAGTGGATTTCTAGTAGTCCAAAAAAAGCATACCACATAGAGCTCTAAACAAATTGTATGTATATAGTTTCTTACTACACTATACCTACTCATTGCAGACCGACCTCGGTTCGATTTGCCATGGCATTATGAACCCTCTCAAGCCTGATATGCATCCCATGCCTGAGTACCAGGCTTCATAAACTCTCGTGCATCGGCAACAAGTTCATTGGGCGTCTCCCAAGAAGCAAAATGACCACCGAAGGAGTAATTATTAAAAAAGACGATATTTCCTTGGCGGCGTGCCCAATCTTCGGGCTACTCATGATTAGATATGTGACAATTGAAGGGATAACGCCTATTATACTGACCGTGATAAAGCCTTGCTCGGCAAACTGAGTGATGCCCACTGGTTGATGAATATAGTCAAACTTGCCTGACCATGGATTTTGTCCCTATATTGAATGAGAAATCGTAGTCAGGCCCCTTACGTATGGAACGAACGCTTACCCGCGATGATAGCTCCTTGTACATCCTGGCGCCGCCAAACGGCCCTTGTATTTGTAACATCATTGTCCATGTGATGACTTCATCTGCTGTCCAGGGATAAGAAGGACTACCGCCAAACAATTCGGCCATTACCCAAGCTGCATGGCCAACTGGACTATCCGTCGCCGCATATGCCCACTGCAAAGGTTGATTCTCAAAGACCTGCCGCTGGCCCAGATACGACAGCCTGAACGTTGCCAAAACGTTAATGAGAAATGCCTCCTCGGTCGTAGAAGTTTTAGCATTGAATCTCTCCATATCCTGCTTGTTGGGGACTTGATACCAAAGATTGGTGTGGAGTGCTCGAACGCTCTCTGGATGATCGATGGCCATGTAGCGCACGGTGTGAGAGCCAAGATCGCCACCATGGACAATATACTTATTGTATCCCAACTGCAGCATTAGTTTATGGAAAGCATGACCAGCCTCTCGGAGTCCTAGGCCAGGATACTCGGGAGCCGGCGAGAAACCGAATCCCGGCAAGCTGGGAGCCACTACATGGAACGCCGTTTCGTTAGAGGGAGGATCGGTATACCCATCAATAACACGGTCTACCTCCAGAAACGACCCTGGGTAGCCGTGCACAAACAGCAGCGGAATGGCATCATCCCTAAGAGATTGACGGTGGACAAAGTGGAGTGGAATGCTGTGCGAATAGTTTCCAGCGCCGTCAATTGTAGTGGTAAACTGCGGCAGGTGTTCGTTCAAACGAGACTGCACATCATCCCAATTAAAGCTCTTTGTCCAATATTCTTTGATTGCAGTGACGTTTTGGACTGGAGGCCCATCACGAGGATCATGTTGAGCAAGATCAGTAGCAATTCGGGCTAAAGAGGCCTTTACTCTCGTTTCTTCGATGAAAGAAGAATCTATGTCAATCTTGAAGGCACTAGGCTGGCTCCCAAAGTGCGTCTTGAACGGCTGGTCTGCTAGAACCGCCCATGTGGCAAACAAAATATTAAAGAGAAGGCGTGTGGACATGATTGGTGTGAATCTGGCGGACAACTTGTTCTTCCATTGGTATCATAGGAGAGAGAACCATCATTGACAACTCCAAAACCTGACGCTGCTTATATGGTACAATGATTTGGTGAAAGTGTAGTTGCACGGAGTCCGGAGAGCAGTTATCGTCCGGTTAAGGTTTCATCAGGCGGAAGATTTACCGCATCTTGCTTACACGCATCCGCCCGACAAATTATTACGTTAATCATTGATATATCATAGTTATAAACCTGGCTTTAATTGAAACTTTCAGGCGCGAGTTGAAGCTTTCAGGCGTGAGTTAATAATTAATATTATGGTTCCTGAGGATATGCTTTTGCTTTTGTCCTGCTTTTGTAAACTTCCGATTACAGATAATGACATCTCGTTGTCTGTTCCATAGGACTTTTGAGTAACGCCTACTAAGTTTATTATAGAACAGATCCGCGAATTTGTACACTTAAAATGATGGGAACACAGTACAATATGTTATAAAGCTTTTCACAGCAGTATATTCACAATTACATGTTGCTGCAAATAATACAGCCCTGATGGTTGGCACTGTAGATATTTTACATACATCATACGCTACTACCACCGGCTACATACTTCTAGTATGTCTAAAAATATAGATAATATCTTTCAACCGAGAGGACCGCTCTATATGATTAACCGATTAGCGCGATCAACGTATTGTAGAGCTGCTAGTCAGGGGCTTTTCTTACAGGATCTTGACAAGTAATGCATCCCGCGGGACAGCATGTCAGTTTGCCATCGGGTGATCCCTTTAATGACTTTCAGTACGATAAATCGTTGATTCAGTTCACAATTTAGCAACTCACTCCTGCAATTTGCTAGTTGAGAGAGTAGCATCTTAGCATCGCACTGGTATATGCTCAGAGAGGACGCAGAACTTACATCGTCATACGTAGTAGGAAAGCTACCCAGCTGCGCACCACTTAATGTAGCACATGATGCTATCACGTAAACTGTGATCCAATGAACGGCCTTCATGACTTCTAATTGCTAAGGACCGAGTTATGATGAAATGGCTTGTAAAAGGGTTAAAGAAGAAGAAAGCAGTTACGCTGCGTAAGATATGTCATGACTGGCTCAGCGATATATATATCTATATTGCCTAGTAAGGCATTGTAGCATTAAGAGAAGTAGCATCTGATATTATAAATCTGCATGTGCCAGGGGCAAAAATTTGTCTTTCCGCCAGCGGGAAATTGTCCGCCCTTTGCTTGTTGTTAATGTTCCTCCATTTGACCTTCTGTCATCAAAAGTAATCTGCATTGTCTACCGACGCATGACTTGAGATGAATTATAATCAAGATTAATATAACTTTTTACTAACAAGGTCTTACGGCAAGAGGCGGTCCCCAGATTGTCTAGCCATCTCGTAGTATTACGAATGGAGCATCTAAGTAGCAGGATGTCCGCGTTCATTCATTTTATCACAAAATTATTTCTGCTGAAAGTGGCGGACCTCGCTCATTGGTCAAGATCTTACGAAAGTTGTGTAAGTGAAGCTTTGCGTGTGCTATTGAACAGAGTCAATGTTAGAGACTGCGAGGCAAAGATCCATGAATGCCTTCTATCATTGAAGTTCATGGCACGTCCAAGGTAGAACGGGAGATGTAAACCAATTGAACGCGTGGTAAACAGTAGAATAGTCGTGAGCTACCCTGTATGCTTACTTTGTTTAGAGAAGTTTTTCATGGCTCTGCATTTATGGTTGACTAGAAACGCCTTTATCATGTTCAGCCAATGTGTCTATATCCACGTACTTAGCTAAGTGTTTTAGCCATACGAGTCTATTGCTCCAAGGTATGCTTTTCATGCCCTCTAAGGAAAGTTCTTGAGAAAGAAAAATAAGATGAGTGGATCTCTAGGACATGCGATTGCAGACTAGTCTAAAAAGCGAATGCAAGCAGCAAGGACGGCGGAACGTGAGACGGAGTGGCGAGTCAGAGGCGCGGGCTTTTCTTTCTGGGCAGCAAAATGGATGAGACGTGACGGGTGAATGTGAGGGTTTATCGGTATCGTGACAAAGTGGCAGATTGAGAGGAGAGAGGAAGAATGAGAAACGGAGGAACCAAGAGGTACAGCATTGGCGTGAGACTCGCTCGCCGCTGAGCACGCTGCGATTGCAGACTAGTCCGTGAAGCTTTGAGCTTTGAGTATATAGGTAAAGATATTTGCCACTGATCTCCACATTCGGATCGATAGCTCAGTGGTAGAGCGAGAGATTGCAGATCTCTAGGTCACGCGTTCGATCCGCGTTCGGTCCTTTCTTTTTTGTAATATTTTCGCTATTTTATAATTTTAGTCCACTGATTTTATGCTTGTTTTTTTCCCAGATACTTTATTTTCATACTTGTTTAAGCTTTGTATCTTATATAGTCTTTTTTCCTATCTTTTTGAAGATATTAGATTAAAGAAGCTCCAAATGTCTCTAAGATAACATTTCTTATGCTTTCTACGTACCTATATAAGTAATTATTCCTCCACCCTAGTCAGTAACCTGGATCGATAGCTCAGTGGTAGAGCGAGAGATTGCAGATCTCTAGGTCACGCGTTCGATCCGCGTTCGGTCCTGAAATTTCTTTTTTGCTTTACTTCTTCTCTTGATCTATCTATCATTTCGCCTTTTATGGTTTGCGTTTTTTCTCTTCATTACAATGTCCCCAAGTCTACCTTCATTAGGATCCCCCGAACCCCCATTGAGAACACCAGCGTACAATAAAGCCAGAGTTATGTTCTAGTTCAATGTGTAATTTTCCTGACCCCGTCTCGTCTTTTACAGAGTAGATGCGTCATATGCTGGCCATCCGCGTCGTGTACAGCGGTAGGTGCCTTCATTTCCCTTTATTCCTCATCCGTGATTCCTTCATATGCCTTGATCCATGGATGTGACATCAATTCCGTCATGTTGCTCGTTTAGAAGCTTCAACGACACACATCTTGCGAACATAGCTTCCAAGTACTGAGAGATCCTTCTCGTTAAAGATCAAGTGTCTCCTTGTCGTAGCCGTTGGCGTATTGCTTTTGTATTTGCTCCTCAAGGGGCAAAAAGTATTCCGCGTCGGATGCTTTTTAAAGTCAGCTTGATTCTGAGCCGTAATATGCGAACTTACCGTCTGGTTTCTCCTCAAGAACGCCAGTTTCCAGGCCTTCTTGGATCCATTGCTCAGGAAGACCACCGAGCACCTTCTGAAACTGTGGTATCAACTCGCGATCATCCATAAAAGCCTCCAGTGGTGAGCGCCCGATCACAAGCTCATACGTCTTTAATTCGGTTAGCTGATGTACAAATTTAGCTTCTTAGTTCTTACCGTGCATCCAAGATTCCAGATGTCAACCGCTTCGGTTATTGGGCGCCGGAATACCAGTTCTGGCGGGTGAAAGGACATTGGTGTGTGAATCGACTTGGGCGGATTGGAGAGGAAGAATGCTGAACACAAGAACAGAATCAGATCTTTACTTATCTCGGTAAGTGAGGGAAGACAAACATTCGCCGAAATCGACAAGCTGGATCTCACCAAGAAGCTCGCCCTTGCCATACCCGTATTCTGCAGGCTCTACTAGGTAATCCGGAACCCCCTTCTCATTAGGTGACCCATCCTTCTTTGAAACCTTCCCTATTTGAGGGTCATCAATAGTGAGTGTTTTGTTGACATTCGAAAGCCGAAATAACACGTTGCCCATATGTATATCTAATATTCAAGGTTAATAGGAGAAGTAATGGGTTCAGCTTAAGTGTGGCCTACCTCCGTGTGCTACGCCACATACTCGGAGATAATCTACAGCAAGAAGGAGCTGCGAGGAAATCCGACGAGCGAGTCGACCTGTGAAACGGTAATTTGGTTGCCCCTCTGCAATTGAAGATGTCTTGGGACCGAGCAACTCGAGAACTATACAAAGATGGCGTCCATTGGGACCCTCATGATAGAACGAGCTGAGAAGGTGCGAAACATGTCTATGGCCTGGATGGGCAGGGTTGCCGTTTTGTTTGATAGCTTGCAGAATTTCCAACTCGTGATTGTGCTTGCGCGACTGCTCTGCGACTACGATTTTGATGGAAACATTCGTCTTGTTCCTGCTGGATATGTAAGCAAACATTAGTCTTGGAGGAACGATGTAAGTTACTCTTCGTCCCGAGCGAGCCAGACGGTGGAGTATGACCCAAACCCAAGCTTATTCAGAATTCGGTATCTCCCATCATCGAGTGTATCGCCGAGATGGACTGGATGATAGCCTCCGGGACCATAGCCAGACAATTCTTCTGCGGGCACGCCGATGCTGTATTGGAATTGATCAATCATTTTTGCGGTGATACTGAGATGAAGATGTGAAACCGACAGAATTGAAGTCGAAGGCTTGGAAAATTCACGACTGTATTGTTGTATAACGATAGTTTACAGCTTCGGGGGAATATGAAAGAGCTAATTTTGTGCACGTCTCATCCATGTTGAGGTAGCATTTGGCCAAGTTACATGGAGCAGGGACGGGATATGGCGGTCCGCCCCACCAGCACTCCCAACTCGTTCAAGCCGGAATGCTTGTCTAGCAAAAGCACGACTTGATCTCAACCTCTCCCATTCTGTCACCGTCGCTATCGCTGACATATGTGAATAGCAATAAGTGACTATAATGTCGAGAAACGAAAAGCGTCGTACCTCTAAAATTACTCTGGGTGCTAATGAATACAGTTGGATATTCCGAGAGGGGTAGTATTCTGCCGTACGTGTTCCCTTAACAGATTGAAACGTAGGTCTTTCCCTATGAAACAATTCTCTTGAGATCCTTCATGATCTCTTGACTGATTGTATTTAATAGTGAGGAGATTTGGATAGAATATATAGACTAAAAGTTCGATAATACGGTAGTACATGTAGCCTATAGCATATAGCATACAACGAAGAGAGCATTCTGCGTCAAACCCCAGCATGCGTTTCATAACTACCAACGTGGATAGCACACGTTCGGCGGTTGCGTATAGTTAATATACCACAATTCATCGTTGTCAAATTCCATATAAGTGCTATGGGTTATCTCGCTTGCCGGAATCTTCATCCAGTCCTCAGCATCAAGGGCATCACCAAACTCATCCGTTGCCTCCTCAGGCGCGAGACCATCTGCCCAACCCCGGACAATATTCACATGCCCTCCATGAAGATTAACACCAGCTTCACAAAGACAGCTCACCAGGCTTTCCTCGTCAACTTGGATAAAGTATGAGTGCATTGTACCCAGTCCAAAGGGATCAGCACCTATATCGAAGTCTGGGTGTTGCGTGTCGGTGCGTGCCAACTCCCTGAATCTACGCTTCAGCTCGCTCAGCGGTGCACCTTCAAGCTGAGAATCCTCGACCCAGACCAAATCGAGCTTCTCGGCGATGTCAGGGGCATCTGAATCTGCAATGTCCTTTCGAATCTTGCATTCAACAACGTTCTTGAACTTCTCCCAAGGGCCCTGGAGCTCTGGCTTGTAAGTGCATCGGTAGATGACCCAGCCCCATTTGATGTCTCCAGGTTCCAGTATCCACTGGATTTGGCGCGCGGGCGAGAGGTCATCCCATTCCATGCCAATTGATTTCGACTGCTTCTGCGGGTTGCTTAATACGAAAAATCGGTTGAATGTACTTGTTTTGGTTGGCAAGCAGGCTGTGAGAATCGCGCTGGGGCGATGCTTGAGACGCGACGGCTGCTGATAAAGGCTATAAGTGTGCTTCGTGCCTATACTTCTGAGTGCTCTCAGCGATTGAGCTTTTAGCCGTAGCTGATGCACTGATATAGAAGCCATATCACGCGTGTTTGCCCGGAAGCAATTTGCGATATTGACATCGATGAAAGAGGGAAGATGATTGAAGAAGTGGGGGACTGGCAGTGCCTAATCTGGGGCTACCTAATATAGTCTAGGTGGTACTTTGATGGATTTAATGCACACATCAAGTCAATACTATTTGAGAATTGCCTTAGGCACCACGATAGATTGCTGAGAGCAATATTGGAGGAGCCGTCGAGCTTCGGTAGCTCAGTGACGCTACGCACCGAATCACGTTTCTTCTCCTTCTTTTCCTTTTCTCACCCAATTTCTACCCCTCTTTCGTTCTGTTAGGATCTTCCTGTGCCGAAACCGAAAAATCAAAACGTTGTAATTTGTATTGCCTATTTGGTTTGGCGGGTGCCGAAACCGCATTCTTTTGAAGTATATGTAGACCGCGTATCACTCGCATCGCCTCATATTAGCGGCTTGACCACAGTGGAATGCAACAGATGCATGAGTTTTCTCCTACATTCAAGTCAAAGGGTAGAGTCTTGAAACGAACCTGGCTAGGCTAATGAAGCAGTTAGATACACATATGTAGGACTGCTGGATGAAAGCGGCGATATCCAAAATTCGACCAGGGATGTCAATCTCTGTAACGTTCCCCCTAAATAACTGCTCTCACTCTCTGATATAGCATGAGATAGGTATGGCAAGTGATATTGCACAGAGAGTTGCAAATACTAGGTTTTATCAGTGTCCGCTCCTCTCTGGATTGCCTTGTTGGGCGAACACTTGGCACTGTTTCTATCTTCTGGGAACATGAAGCCCAGGCATGCATTTACAAATGCACGGGCCGCAAGTTCTAGCAGAATCTCAATTGGTGTGGGCCGTGCGGCCCCTGCAATCATACTTTGAACATAGAGTACGCGTAGACCTTGTATCAATCTCCTTGAACTCTTCCATATCATCAACGCTATATACCTATACAAGTGCCTACATATACCTGAGCCAAAGCAAGCTGTTGCATATCTTGACCATAAAGCTTCAAGTTCTGGGAGCTCTGATATCCTGCCTCCTCATCCTCGCTGAGTAGCTTCTTCTATCGGTTCCAACTTGTGATCCATTCGAGCAACTACAACTGCTGCTCAATATACCCGCTCCCTCCTTTATCGCAAAGCCCAAGGTGAGAATTCGAATCCACGAAATGATTCTGTTTCCTGTACTGCTCGCAGCAATAATCCCAGTCTGCTATAGACAAGCCATGGCTGGAAAAGTTGTGACGACAGTCGTCCGAGTCGGCGATATATCGTACTATATGCACCCGCTAGCCCTTTCTGTGAGATCTTCTGTGCTTCTTAAACATGAATTAATGCTGATGATTTATAGAATGCTCAACGTGGCTTACTGGCATTCGACCGTGATACGCTTGCTGAAGCGTGCACCATGCTCACGATTTACGGTCAATTTCCCACCACGAGTGAGCTCCAGACCATTCTGGATGACTTCGAGACCAAGGATGACGTTTGGACGCGGGATTTCATTGGGACCATAGTCATCCAGACGCCCGAAATTGATCGCAAACTCACGGAGGACGAAATGAACATTGTTCGTAGCCTTGGGGCTAGCGACATACGTTTATTCCTCAATGGCGTGCCGGGAGCCCAGCTTCCTCAGGGTCCTTATTTTCTGCATTACGGCCAGCTTCACCAAGCCTACCGACTGTATCCAGATACTGCAGATGCTTTTATAGTTTCTACAATTCTAGATCATCTTGATGGGTGAGCCGGAAACCCTTGCCTTTTGGGCCTTAGCTAATCATGCTTGAAGCTTTCGATCTCTGGATGCTTCTGCGTACGGAGAACAATTTCCATCCGCCCTCACTGTCGCCGTACCCTCTCGTCTATACTATACCAAATCAAGTGAGAAGCCGTACGCGGGCCTGCGCATAGCCATAAAAGACATTATAGACTTGAAAGGGCTCAAGACAGGAGCGTCTTCGCGCGCGTACACCGAGCTCTATCCAGTAAAGGAAGAAAGCGCAAAAATAGTCAAGCAGCTTATCAATCTGGGCTTTGTGATTGTCGGAAAGCTAAAGACTACACAATTTGCAGACTCGGAATGGCCAACTAGTGATTGGGTCGACTACCACGGACCTTGGAATCCACGTGGAGACGGCTATCTTACGCCCAGTGGAAGCAGTTCTGGGAGTGCATCAGCCATTTCCACGTATACGTGGCTTGACATGTCCTTGGGCACAGACAGTGATATATACTACTACCGTCTATAAGCAGTTGCTAACGTTCTTTGCAGCCTTGGGGAGCATCAGATCGCCTTCGCCAGCTCAGGGGATTTTCGGAATGAGACCCACGCTTGGAGCCGCAAACACCACTGGTGTAGTCCCATACAGCTCGTATGTTTTCAACGGCTTCTTTTATGAATCAAATTTGTTGACAAGCCTATTACATAGCAATTGGGATACTGTCGGTGGATTTGCCCGTACGGCAGCCGAATTCAAGAGCCTCGCACAAGCTCTATACGGCTCAGCAGAGACTGAAGGAAAAATACACGAGGTATGCAATTTACTAATGACTTCTCACTGGATGCTAATACATTTACTGCGAATAGAAGCCGAACAAGCTAATCTGCTTGACTGACTACTGGCCTATTAATCATGAAGAAAGCCAGCGAGTCATGGAGAATTTTGTCATGCGTGTTGAAAACTTTCTCAGAGTAAATCGTACGAACATCAATCTCGCAGAGACGTGGAAAAGAACTCGCCCAGAAGGAACAGACGAATCCATTAGCAAATATTTCCATCACGCCTTCGACTGGTCGGCCAACCTTGACCAGTGGACAGGACTTCTCCAGCCTTTCATCACGGAATACACGGATAAGATGGGCAAGCCGCCCATTCTCAATCCACAGGTTCGATTCAAAGTGTAAGCAAGGTGGCGGGTATGAAGTTGGTCCATATATCTGACGTTCATACAGGGGCTATACACCGACGGTAACAGCATAGCAGAAGGCAGAGGGCGAGAGGCTTCTCAAAACCTACCACGACTGGTTCTATGAGCATATCATGCCGCCTGCAAGGGATGGCTACTCTAGCAGTATCATCGTTCTTCCCTGGACGAATGGCGAGCCTGACTACCGAGACAAGTATAAGAGCGGGCCACAAGAATTCACAGGCCAAGGGTTCTTTTTTTACAACGTCGGCCCTTATGCTCAATGTCCAGAGCTCATTATTCCTGGTGAGTAACAATCGCAATCTGTGCCCTGCAATTTTTAGACGATTCGATTCCCTTCAAAAACCCGTTACTCTTTTACTGACTTATGAAGTGTAGTCGGTACTACGCCATACACCTCGAAGTTCACGCAAAGGATCGAACAGCTTCCCGCCGCTGTTGGATTCATAGCTGCTAAAGGTAGCGACATCATGCTGTCTGATTTCGTCAGTAAACTCTTTGAGGATTCCTATACTATCGTTGAACAAGAGCAAGAGCAAGCCCCTCTTGTTTAGTGTACTTGCGAAGTTGGATGTCGCATATATGCTTAATAAATCATGGGACATCCCAATTGTTTCAATTGAGTGCAGTTCCAGAAATTGGCACTACTCACAATTTGTCTCAGACCAGGCAATGTTGCTCAAGCGACCTCCAGGACCGGGTAACACTTTGCGAGTATATGTAGATTAGGATCCCTCTCATGTCGCCGACAAGCGAGGCGCGCCAACTGGGAACAAAACATAAAAACTTACCATCACTTGACTTTAGATGTCAACTGAGGAGTCTTCTACGATTTTACTATGAAGGAGGCATGGTCGCCCAGAAAGCGAGAGATACGTAGGGTATTCTCATTGTGCGAGTGAGATAGAGCCTTCTAGTTGGAGCAATATGGAGAATCCTAGAATTTCCAAAGACATAGCTAAACGGCGCATGCACTGTGATTCAAATTATTACCATAGATATTACAAGTAGTATTGCGTTTAGAGTCTACGCGCCCACAGGTTTTATTACATGTCTCATGTGATGGAGAATATTAACTCTGTCCACATGCGGCAATGTCTCAGATTACACTTGATCAGCAATATTACTAAAGATGAATCGATGTAGTAGTAATAAAATTTGATGTGGACGACTAAGAATCTCATCCCAAAGTCTACGCTTGCAAAAGTCTTAGACAATGAGCATATGTGCAGGTCTATAAGTAATGAAGCATTGGCCATCGCTTTTTCACAGTTCAGATAAGCCAATTAGAAGATAAATTTATAAAGAGTGCTAGAAATGAAACGATTCAGTAAGAATTCTACTCGGTGATATAATCTCATATCTCCACTTACCTTGATATCGGACCTCGTAAGATAGCCATACTGGTTCCTTGGTAAGAACCGAAACTGACTCATGACTACCCATAGCGATATTACTCAGTCTATCTCACCTGCTCTCAGAAAGTAGCTGATCTGGCAAATTGTGACACAATATTATGTCATAATCTGTCTCATATCGTATTATTTCTCTCGACAAGCAGGCTATTTGGGCGCTTGTTTCTCGAGAAACTACGTAAGAAGAAGGTACACCATTAAGCCAGATGACTTATATAAGGGCCGGATCGTTCCGCTCTATGATCAACTCAATCTTACCTTGCTCATAACTCAAGGCTATCTTGACAAAGTCTTTTAATCTATATTTCTGCTGGTTTATTGTTCTTTTGACCCATCACCACTATGAAACTAACTGCCCTCCCGGCTCTAGTGGCTGGGCTGCTGCCCATAGCTGGAGCCGTGCCAGCTCAAAATACACAAGCAAAAGTTCAGGCTGGCCTTGTGAACGTCACAATCCCATCTGGTATCATTATCGGTTCGACAGATAATGGAGTGGAGTCATTCAGAGGCATCCCTTATGCGGATCCACCAACCGGCGACTTGCGCTTCAGACCACCAGTCAGACTTTCGAGACACCTTGGAGAGTTTGATGCCACCAAAAAACCTGTGGCATGTCATCAGGGACCCATCTACGGCCCATTTGCCGATACGCAAAATGCGGTAGCTACTCTTGCAGAAATTGGCGTTGCGAGCTCTGTTTTCAAGAACATCGCCGGTGATACGCCTGCTGAGTTTGACGAGGACTGTTTGATAATCAATGTTCAACGCCCCGAGGGCGTTAAAGCTGGTGCCAATCTTCCTGTACTATTCTGGATCTATGGTGGCGGTTTTGTGGGCGGGAGCACCCCTCCGTTTGATGGCAAAAACTTGATCGCGACTGGCGTGCAGCTCAATCAGTCGTTTATCTATGTATCAGTCAATTATCGTGTTGGCGGCTGGGGTTTTATGCCGGGCGAAGAGATCCATCGTGAAGGAAGTGGTAATGCAGGCCTGCGTGACCAACGAATGGGGCTTGAATGGGTCGCCGATAACATTGCAGAGTTTGGAGGCAACCCAAAGAGAGTCGTAATCTGGGGGGAGTCTGCTGGTGCCATTTCGGTGTTTGATCAGCTTGTTCTGTATGACGGCAATGCCACCTATAAGGGTAAAGAGCTTTTCCATGGTGCCATCATGAACTCTGGCACGGCTCTTCCAACTGATCCTTTGTATGGTCCTAAAGGAAAGGCCATCTATAAAGCAGTCATTGAGAAGGCTGGCTGCGAGGGCAAGCCTGAGGGTTCGCTGAAATGTCTTCGCGAATTGCACAACGACGACTTTGCCGCTGCAGCCAATTCGGTTCCCGGTATCTTTTCATACCCATCTCTTGCACTATCATATCTGCCGAGGCCAGATGACACCGTCTTGACAGACAGCCCGGATGCACTGGCGAAGAAAGGAAAGTTTCACAAAGTGCCGGTGATCATGGGCTCGCAAGAAGATGAAGGGACAGCCTTTAGCCTGTTCCAGATAAACATGGGCACGGATCAAAGAATTGTTCAATATCTCTCGAAATATTACTTTGGTGATGCTACTATCGAGCAGGTTAGCGAGTTTGTCGGCACGTACAGCAATGAAATTGCTGACGGAAGCCCGTTCCGCAGCAAACTTTTGACCGAGCTCTATCCAGGCAAGAGGAGGATTGCTGCCATTCTTGGCGACATGGTCTTTGATCTGATGCGGCGAATTACGCTGCGAATCATTGCTGAGCATCACCCAGAAGAACATTCGTGGTCCTATCTCTCCTCATACAACTACAACTTGGGCCTCAGTGCCGTTGGCACCACGCACGGGTCAGATATGCCTGTTTTCTTCAACGGCTCTAATAACAACCTCCCTACAATCAGTGGCCGGACATACTACCTCAATTTTCTCTACAACTTGGATCCCAATAACGGCAGCAGAGTAGATGTACATTGGCCCCAGTGGAAAGAGGGCCACCAGCTCCTGTGGTATAATAAGAACAACAACAGCCTCAGAAGTGATACTTATAGGGAGAGAAGTTACGAATTCATGTACGAGAACATCAATTCTCTACGCTTTTGATTACTCTATCCTAGCTGGAGAGCTACGGAGGACTCCACGCAATTGGACAGCATTATATCTTCTGGCCGGCCAACGTTTGTCACAATCCTACTCATTTAGCAGCCGTTTATTGGGGCTCGAAATCAAAGATGAGTAGTCTCAACAACGCGAGATGAGTTAGATGCGCGCAGACAGGCTGAGGTTGGTTATATATGTTCATTTCATCACACTCATTTAGACTATGCAGATAGTCAGTTAATATTACGATCAAACTTTACTTTACGCGCTGGTGATTCGATGCCAGATATTACTCTGACCATTCTGCCAAAGAAACAAAAGTCTGAATAGGGTTCCTCTTGTGAAATCTATAATGATATACTTAGGCAAACTGCTATCGGAAAAACTTCTTTCTCATGCGCCATTAAGGTGAGTTATCGTAAGCGTTGGCGAGTACACGTATTGCCGCTTTAGGACCACCGTGGAGCATCCATAAAGCGAGCAGATCCTATATCTCTCTCCCGCACTCCATCGGCAACGCCATCTGCAGATAATGGCTAACTTCATACTAACTTCATATCTTCCGAAGCCAATCAAAAGTTCGTCTCAGTAACCCCTGCTCTCTGCTGCCAGTATGATGTCTCCAAGTATATACTCTCTTCTACTCGCAATAGATGCCTAAATCGCCGAAACTACAGCACCACACAGTATCATACGACACTTACCTAGGTGATCAAAACATTATCTTTTGCAATTACCAAGGCCTTGTATAGTTTTTATCAAGACGACATGTCCTCTTCCACGGGAAAATTGTGCCCATGATTCGCCGCCACGCCAATTGCTGACGCCGCAAATTGAATTTACCGAGTCTATCCTCCGAGCTCATTCGCCGCGCTCATTCTCAGGCTTACGGCACGCCTACATGAACCCGGGGCTCCGGCATGGGGGGCCTTCCCTTTTGAGGGCTTCCCCTGTAAAACTGGCCAAATCTTGATGTTCCACCGCATATGGGCCTGGGCAACAAGAGATGACGTCCAGGGGGGCTGTATGAGTCGTAACATGGCTGTATGCATGGAAAATTGGAACGAGATAGTGCAAGCCAAAGCAAGCAGCCGATCCACATCCTATCGAAGAATATGACCTGTGAGGACATGCACCTATTCGCCGCCCCTTCGCCCCCAAGACGAAGATTTCGTTGCCGAGGTAAGGGCCGAGCGAGCACAATTCGCCCACAATCTATCATTGCTAGGCGCGAATAAGCTAAATAGAATATTATAGATTGCGCTTGTCTAGTGAAAAGACTGGTATATAAACAAAGTTCCGAAAATTGTATCCGATCGTAAGAAATGTGGCCTAGTTTCGCTCTACTACGTCTCAGCCGATAGCCGCTCATATAAGCGTAAAAATCTCGAATATTAAGATTAAAAATGACGCCAAGCTTTTTGACTAGTTTATGAACAAAAGAAAGAAATCATAGCGTCTCATCGGATCGATCAGACCGATTAGAGTGATGGCTCTCTGGAGCATTCGCCCGCACTCGAGTCTCGATATTCGACACCAGCCCTGTCTCGTCGTGACCTAGCTCGATGGCGTTGTCGTCAATGTTCTTATCTATTACCGAGCTATCGACGTGGTACGATCTCGTCAAGATGATTTCGCCGTGACCGCTGACGCTTGTTTGGCCGGGGTTCTTGAAGTATGAGGAGCCTCGAGCGCGTGAAACATAGAGCGTACTGACGGCGGGAAGACAGGCACATATCAAGCCGATACCAACCTCGGCGTTACTGGTTCAACAATTTGTTAATTATGACGTTCACAATCTTGGCTGCAAATCTAGAATGGATGGACTGTACCCAGATAAAATGACTTTGATAAAGACCATTGTCATGTTTGTAGACTTGGCCTCGTCAACAATCATCGCAAGGCGATAAATGCTAAAGCCTGTGGCAATTCCGCCAGCACACAACAGTCCTGCTACGCGGAATCGTTTTCGTCGAGGCAGCTGGAGGGACCAGGTAAGGGGTGTTGGTAATAACAAGATTGCCAAGTCGCTGATTACGCTGATGATGGAGTCGGCTGTGACGATAGCGCTCTGGTCCAAACATTTGCTGGCATCGCCCTCCCAATATGCGTGAATCGGCCAGCAGATGAAGATCTTGATGAAGAAGCCGGAGACGTAATACGCGACGATCATGCCGATAAAGATGTAGATTCCGATAAGCGTTCGGCGGTGGACAGATCCAAAGACTCGGATGATGATGATAAGCAGGGCCAGTTTGACAGTCATGGCCATCGGGGCGTAGAAGATCGTGGCCGCATAACAAGACTTTCGAGAAGTTGTTAGAATTACTATAAAAGGGGCTGAGGAGAAGAGTGTTCAAAGATGGCTCTTACCTTGAAGTATAACTGAGCTTGCTCCTTGGAGACTTCCCACATGTTGAGACCTCCGCCATGTGCACCAGCTAAATCATTATGAGCGGTCGTGTTGCGAAGTGTTGTTAAGAGTCAAGCATCAAAGATCAAACTTACCAAAGCACGCGGTGATGCAGTACCCTATCATGAGTATCTAATTCGCGTATTAGTATTTTTGCTCCACCATATTCCATCTTCGAAGATTCATCAGGTTGCATACATAAGCCGCGTACGTTGCATCTGTTTTCTCAAGTCAGCTTCTCCTGGTACGTGGACCCCTTTGATACGCATCAACCCACAGTCATCTGCCGTAAACCCTCCTCCCAGCAACCTGGTTTTTGCGTAAAATCGTATCCCAACGAAGATGGAGACAAAGGTTATTGTCAGTGCCTGAGTGACATAATTCACAGTCCTCAGCACATCTTGCGGGTGAGCAAGATCAGGGATAACGCCTTCGGGCGGCGGAGCAGCACCGGGAAAGCTCATGATGGGCAAAACTTCATGATTATGCAAACTCGCAGGACAGGTCCAGAAATGCCGAAGGCAAAAGGAGCGAGTGCCGGTAGTTTAAATGAATACACTAACTTGCGCAGGAGTGAAAATCAGAACATAAGAGAGCCAACAGAGCTAAGCCAGATGTAACTGGATTCATTTGAACCAGGAAGACTTGAAGAAGAAAAAGAAATGGACAAACATCCCTGTCCATGCTGCTCTCCGCTACCGGTTACACCAGATTCTATCCACTTCCCTTACAACCTGTCAGCCTCAGACACTTGCGCATTGTATTGGGTCCTCTGGATATGTCGTTTGGCTGAACACCCAGTTGACGAACATGACAACCAAAGTGGGACCGGGCTAGGGACCCGAGCCGTGGTGGATCGGCCTGCCAACGCCAGATAAATTAGGACAAGCATGGCGCTGAAGAAATGTCAGACAGGGGTGGCAACGGTGAAGACAGAGGCCCCGTGCGAATCGGAAAACGAAGTTAGACTCCCGGGAGGCAAAAGGCTACAGTATCAACCAACGGCACAACTAGGCGAAGCAACTGGTGTATACTAGTCATGGACCCTGCGAATGACATGATCTTCAGCCGGAACCTTTCGGTTACGCGATATCCAGCACGAGGCATCTCGACAAAAGGTCTCTTACAGGGTTCCAGCATGTGAAATAGCTGGGGGAGCAGGCCCGGGGGCGAATGGACGAACTGACCCAAGTCACACCGCAACGCCATCATGGAGAAGGACATGGTCTACAATGGCTGCCATGAAGATCGTTTGCTCATTGGAAAACCGATCGTGTACTTTGGGAAAGGCACCGACCTGCGATGCTACCGCTGTGGAGTCTATTAGTGGAGTGCGCTGCAACAAATTTCTCTCAAATCCATGTCAGAAGTCTAGCTATGCTCTTTTGGAGATTCAGCCGTCGGCTTCTGACAAGTTCAAAGGGGCCATCAATGCAGTTGGCTGTTAGTTTTGTTATTTGCGCAGCTTAGGGTTGCGAAGACTTCCAGGGGCCCTCTCTTCTTTTGAACTATGAGCGTCGCCCTCCTTTTTCACTTTGGCACGGCCGCCCCGAGTCATTTTGTTGAACAGATAGCTGCGTAACTCGTATTTATTTTGAGTAATGTTATCTGTCTTACTTGATTCTTCTCTGTCCAAGTAAACTGGTAAACTGTGCAAAGCGCTCATCACACACCATAGCCAAAAATGGGTTCTCAAATCAACGTTGGAAAGGAATCGCAGCTATTCGAGCCGCTTGTGATTGCAAATGGGAAAATCACCCTCAAGCATCGAGTTATCCTTGCCCCCTTGACGAGGAACCGCGGAACGCCTCTTCATACTTCGACGCCTGAGAATCCAAATCGTATCTGGGTTCCCAACGATCTCATTGCAGATTATTATGCACAACGGGCAACGGATGGGGGGCTTCTCATTAGTGAAGGCATTCCGCCGTCACTGGAAGTATGTCATCCCTTGGATACCACATATAGTGGCGTTGCGTATAAACAAAAGACAGGGTAGTATTGACATTAAACTCTTTAGGGAAATGCCATGCCTGGAGTCCCGGGAATCTTTCTGGAAGAGCAGGCCAAAGGGTGGAAGAAGGTTGTCGATGCAGTTCACGCCAAAGGAGCTTACATTTATGCACAGCTTTGGCATTCCGGCCGCGCCAACATCCCGCAGCTAACAGGGACCCCAATTGTAGCGCCGTCGAGCATTCCATGGGATGATGCAAACGAGTGCTTTATGTATCCTGCACCTGATGGAACTCCCGTCAAGTACAGCGACCAACTACCGCTTGAGCTTACAGTGGACCACATTAAGAAGACCATCAAAGATTATTGCGCTGCTGCAAAGACAGCCATGGAAATTGGCTTTGATGGCGTGGAGCTTCACGGAGGCAACGGATACTTGCCGGAGCAGTTCTTGAGCTCTAACATTAATAAGCGAACAGATGAATATGGTGGAACGCCTGAGAAGCGTTGCAAGTTCGTCCTTGACCTGATGGCTGAGTTGGCTGCGGCTATAGGAGAAGATAACTTGGCTATCCGACTCAGTCCCTTTGGCCTATTTAACCAGGCCCGCAGTGAGCAGCGTCTTGAGACTTGGGGTCACTTATGTCGTGAGCTGAAGAAGAGCCATCCCGGGCTCTCCTACGTTAGCTTCATTGAGCCGCGATATGAGCAGATCTTTTCTGAAGCCGAGAAGCAAAAGTTCTTGGATTCTTGGGGACTTGCAAAGGTCGATCTGTCCATGTTCCGCGACATCTGGGGAGAAACGCCTTTCTTCTCTGCTGGCGGCTTTGACCATATCAATTCGTGGGGGGTTATTGAGAGCGGCAGGTATGATGCTTTACTTTACGGAAGATACTTCATCAGCAACCCGGATCTGGTGGAGAGGCTGCGGAATGGCTGGCCGCTGGCTCAGTATGATAGGTCTCGCTTCTACGGGCCCTTTGAGGACCCGACAATCGGCTTTACGGACTATCCGGCCTACAGCATGAAGAACTGATCAATTGCCTGAAGCTGAAGGAGTAAGGATGATAACAATGTTGTTGGCCGAGGGTGTAATCTCTATTTGGGGTCAATTATAAGTGTTTCATAGCAACAGAAGTAGGAACGATTATACCTTCAGTGTTTGCAGAACTGCCGTGATCAAATCCAGTGGGAGGATTCTCGCGAGTCAGGGCGCACGACAGCGCCATCACATGCGCTTACGTCGCCGATTGAGCATACTCGTCTACAAGAAAGCGGTAACGGATCGTCATCAACCTAAATTATGGACTTTGCCGAGCCTTTTGCCCGCCAAGAGTCTTCGGCTATCGCTACCAATTTTCGGGCCATGAGAGAGTGATCTACACATCGCCAAGCTCGTATTGAAATTGAAACACCGGGCTACAGCCACCAACGGAGTCAGCGGGAGCTTCTAGCGGTTGCCGGGCCCACATGAAATCAACTGACAAGCAAGGATAGCAGTACCCTTGTTCACAGCTTGAAGTACGCGATTCATACCACGGTTGCACGGGCTCATCCTTACGCAATCGCGTGCGGTGTTTGTGAAGCCGTTCCGGGGAAGCTAATAGGTCGGGCCTCTTCCAGGTATCTGAATGAAGGCGCACGATTTCATTTTGATAAACAAACCTATTCGCCTGTATACTTGATGCAATGGCCCTGTACCGTGTTACGTGCTTGATGTATGTACGGGTAGGTGCTTCGTATGTGCTCCATAATGTAAATCATTCATGCGCACAGACGTCAATCCCCATGATTGCCCCCTCGTGGGAAACTGGGTAATAGATGGCGACGCGATGCAGATATGGAGCAATGGCAGGTTGAGTGGCCAAGGATAGTTGCCCCAGTATCCGCACTGCATTCTTCGCCATATGTCGATACACTTTATCTGTGCTTGTTGAATCTAAGATGGCAAGATAGACGAGAGACAAGGTAAACGGACAGATATGGTTTGACACGACGCCATGGATGGAGACGTCGGATCACTTCGGAGGCGCCGATGGACAAAAGGAGAGTAAACAGAAGGCTCTCCGTTTATTGTTCTGGGTGTCATTATACTATTTTTGCCCGTACTCTAAAACAGGTAGCATTCACGGCATTATATCGACATATTAGTAAAGGGTTAAGTGTTCAATTCTTCTCTATTAACAATAAGTGCCTCAAATCGGAAGTAACAGACGCTTCATGTTCCAGGAACAGAGCCTCATTGCGCTGAGCGGTTTGACAGTATCCTAATTCGTTACCATTGCCAATCGGATCCATTTCGCTCTTTGCTTATACAGCTATCTTGTCAGCCCTGATGATGTCTGTCATCTGCCACCTTTAGTAAACGCCGCCAGTGATATTTTGAGGGACGCTGATACCCTCCCAAATGTCACTTAGCCAGTCAAGTGTGACCTGTGCAACCTGTGCTTCTGCTCCGAGCTGGCAATGCTCACCAGCGCCCAAGTCTGTCTTGAACAAATTGTAAGTGGCTTTCTTTCCGAGAAACTGCATCATCTCTTCGGCCTGCCCCGGTGCCGAGCTGTCATTCTCTCCTTCGCCCACGAGCACCGGACAATGAATACCGTTAGCCACGGTTTGGTCAACTTTAAATTCTCGCAGCTTTGTCAACCATTCGTAGGGACTTGGAGTTTTAAAAACCCACAATGACTGGGCAATCAACCATCGTAGCTCAGTTGGGATAGACGTATTGTCAATAAAGGAGAGCATCAATGCGTCAAACTCTGTCTTATTGCCACTTTCGAAAAGCGAATTAATTTGCGGTGGAAACTGGCTTTGGAGTGCGCCAAAAAAATCAGTAAGTCCGTCAATTGCTATAACAGCGGACAGACGGTGTTCACGAGAGGCGGCAAGCGGTGCCAATGTCCCACCAAACGAGACCCCAATAAGGGCCATTTGGTCCGTATCAACGTCATGACGCTCTGACAAATAGTCAACAACAGGAGTGACAACTTCCCACCAGTCATGAATGAATCCCAGTCCTTGCTGCCGGCGAACGGTTGGCTGGCCTGGGCCTTCGTATGTTATGAAGTTCCAGCCGCGGTCAAGTATTTCTCGACCAATTGAGTGGTACAGCTCTTCTTGTGAGCCGTCGTATCCACTACCTACAATTACTGTAGGACGCTTTGTGGAATTGGAAGGATTCTGTTCATGGTTGCTGCGTGTATCTACTGAACTTTGGGCAGAGTAGAAGACGGCAGGTATAGTGAAGTTTGTGGCTGAGATATTCACTCGCTCGGCTGGGACTGGAAGCAGAGAGATGGCTTTGTCAAAGTCTCCCAATGCAGCATCCCAGACTGAATAAATCCGTGGATCGCTTATGTTGGCGTATAGGAAAGTGGTAGCAGCACGGTAGTAGGTGGCAGATCGAAAGTATGCTTCGCGAGCTGATACAGGAAAGCGCTTGGCATTGATGGCTTCTGCTTTGTCATGTATCCAATTCGCGAGAAATATGAACTCTCTGTACCAGCTGTCGAAGTCTCCGGGAATGATCTGACTAGCAGCTCGAAGAACTTCACCAGTGTTTGCTCCGAAATTGTTGGAAAGAGACAGTGTAGCTTCCAGCATAAATGCGAACTCGGTGTCATTGCTTAAGGGGAATATGGCAGATCCGTTGGAACTGACTTGAGCGGCCTATATCCATGTCAGTATGTTTTACGAGCATTGGGATGATGTAACTTACAACGCCCATAGCCAAGGTTCCGGCGGTCAAGATAATGTTCGAGTATTTCATGCTGCTTGTTTGTCCTTTTGATGAATGTCAAAACAAATTAGTTGATTGAATGTCGCCTTTTATGTATCATTTTCTCCTGCATGGCAGCTCGAATCAATATCTCCTTTTAAACTAGTTCGGTCTGTTCAGAGCGACAGAATACAAGGCGATTACGACGACAGGATGTACGCGGCCAGGTAGCTACAACTTGTGTCTCTTTAGTACCTTATACATAATGACTCTATTTTTCGTCCCGAAAGCTTGTATCGAAGCTTTATTTGCCTGCGTCCGGATTCATCTTAACAACAAGACTTGCAGCTCGCATAGGATCCGCGATCAATCCCATTCTTTACAAGGCTTAGTATAGTTGGGGGGATACCTATGACGAATACTTGTTTGATCCAAAAGCGATAAATGAAGTCGTATTCCAACTAGGATAGGGGTGAAGAAACGCCAAAATTTGCAAGGGAGAGCGGCACTTACACAGCCTCTTCACCGATAGATAGATAGAGTTGATGTGACTTCGGCGTTGCGTAGAGGATGTCATAATAATTCAGTTGTGCAATATCATCATCGGGTTTATCTATCTCATATGCTACTTTGAACACACTGTCTTATTGTACATAGTAAAAAGTTTATTTTCCTGTAAATGTATGATGGAGAGTCCAAATAGTTATGATCACAGCTATCCAAAGTAGATGAGAGTTGCGACAACCCAATACAAAGTTTTGGGGCCCCACTTGGCTACCTATTTTTGAACCTACCTAGATGGGAAAGTCTTTCGAGCTGAGTGTTTCCAAGTCTAAGCGTCGAGAATTAGGCCCAAGAAACGGTGCACAGATCCTTCAATAGGGCTCGGTTGAGCTGTCTAAGTGTACACGTATTCTAGGCATATTTTCCTTCGAATTTGCTTGCTGTTTCCGCTTTTGCTTCGCTAATGCTACTCCTTAAAAAGTAAGCTTGTTGTTCAACAGCCGCCCTACTAACGGCAGTGCCGTGGCGGATTTGTCTCATCCTGCCTATCCCGAATTGGACGAAAGCGAGAGCGAGAGCGAGCATTGGGCTGTACAAGGCAGAAATGTATCGTGACCGCCAGTTTCACTGACTATTCCATGAACATCACTTGGCGTAATTGAATAACAATAAGTCACGGTCAATCAGTTGTTGCGATGCACATTTCTGGGGGTAAGTGCAACGGATTCATGGGTTAATGGATGCACTATTCCTTCTTCCTACTTAGTATTCCTTTCGGCATGGACTTGAGGTCTTAGAAAGTTGAGTTTCTCCAATCGCCTATGCCACCCTCAGCAATGCAGACTATTCTGGTGTAAATAGCAAGCAATTTCAGTACTACATATCTTTGGACGTCCTCTGTCGCAACACTACATGTAGTCATCTAACACATTGGATCGGAAACACAACTAGCAGCCTATCGCCGACACAGGCCAGTACAGTAACAGAATCCCATACTTGATGTATGTCAGAAGGAAATGATTGAGGTTCTTCTTGGAAATGAAGATAACAGAGGCGTCCGATAGTTGGCTTAGCAGGCGTAGGGCCATATCTTCAAGACCCCACAAACGCCTAATAAGAATCTCTACTGGAAGATCTACCCGAATTAGCGCTCAGTTGCGTCAGCCGTCAAATCTGTGGACAGTTTCTGAATCAATTTTTGTTCTATTTCCAATTACTCTAGGAATAATCGCTGTGATATGCTAAAGCCTGCTCTATTGCTAGTATGACGCCGCCAGAAGACCTTGCATGGGAGAGATTGTATGTGACTTCCTTGTTCTTTACCGCTAGGCGTATAATAGTCATAACTAACGATGGGTTACATGTGCGGAAACCCTAAAGTACATGCACTACAGACAGCGGCATTGTGTTCTGGTTAGGCCGGCATTGGGATCAATCCATCTGTCAGCCTTAGGAGCTGTAATGCCTGAACAAACAAGCAAATCGTCGCCTTCGCATCGCTTAGCCGCCACCTTCTTACGTTGCCTGTCAGGGGCTTTTGGCTGAGCCCCTGCACTGCTATCTCCGTGCTATGCCATTTTGGGACATCCATTCGACGACTCCAAGATTCAGGATCTCAGCAGCTCTTTCAAGGCAAATACAGGTATTCTTTTTTCCAAAGGATCTGAAGCGCCTGTGCTTTTACTGTTGTTGAAACGACTATGAATTATAAAAGAGGCCTCCATTACCTGGTGCAATTGCCACTAGTGGTGCGTTGTTCATTCATCTGACATTTCTATCTTTATAATACGCGTGTTGAACCATTCTCTATCTCGTTTTGTGGAGGTTGTTATTGATACACTAATCCTATTTTTGCCTTCACTCATTCTATTCTACGGATAGTAGCATATTACCCTTCAATATGGGCTCGAAGAACCACACATGCCCGTCGCATGATCTCTCTGAAGGTAAGTCTTACAGCATACCATGAGTACATAGCCAGATGTACGCAACTAACCTCCCGACTGCAGATGCCACTGAAGCAATTTTCGGGACCATCACGTTCTTTCAATTTGATAAGATCTTATCTGGGAGCTGTATGGCATTTGCGTGCATCGTAATCTTTATTCATCTATTCAGCCACGCCAACCGACTTAGCAACCCCAGCGAACAAGTGAAGTATATTCTGCTCTTTTCCTGTCTCGTAGGCCTGTGAAAACTAACTATTTGTCTTGCAGGATCATGAGAATCAGTCTCCTAGTTCCTTTCTATTCCTTTTTTTGCTTCTTGTCAATATGCTTCCCTACGGCGAATGTTTACCTCGAGCCGTGGCTTGAGGTCTTTCAGGCAAACTCATTATGTGCCTTCTTCCTTCTCATGTGTGACTTTATATCACCCAGTTCCGAGAAACGAAGCGATTTTTTTGCGAAAATGACAATCCTGGATAAAAAATCGCAGGCTGGGAAAGTCGGTGGATTGTCTTGGTTTCGAGTAAGTCAGAATGCCTGCATACGAAGCGCGGTTCAACTGACAATATCTCGTTTAGAGTCGTTGGATAGCGGTCTTTCAGTATCCAATCATTGCGTTGCTGTCGGCAATTGCTACCGACATTTCAGAGGCAGTGGGAACTTACTGTGAATACAAGATCGAGCCATATTATACCAGGCTGTGGGTATGTCAACTTCAATTCTGTGCTGGTCCTCACAACTTGACCTACTGCTAACTACCTACCCATGACTAGATCACTATTATCTCTCAAACTTCACTCACAGTCGCCGTCACATCTGTCCTCGTGTTCGTCAAGACATTGAAGTCTGAGCTTGCTGTTCATAAACCTATGGTGAAACTCGTTGCGTTCAAGCTTATAGTATTTCTGAGCTTCGTGCAAAGTGTAAGAATAGTCCTTATCCTATATGATACTCATTGTAAGATGTGGATGCTAACGTAAATGTCGCTCAGATTATCTTCTTGATCTTGCAAAATACTAGCAGCCTCAATCCCACGTCGAAGCTTACATATGCCGATCTCCACATTGGAATACCTGCGTTACTTAGTTGCATTGAGATGGTGCCCATCTCTGCATTCATAGCATGGGCTTATTCCGTTCAACCATACCTACTCGGCCGCGGTGCTGATATCGAGAGATCAGGCGGTTACGCAGACATTCCGAGATCTTACCAAGGGGGGTTCCTTGGTGTGAGGGCATTTTTAGCCATGTTGAATCCTAGAGAGACGGTTGAGGGAATTATCTTTGCTTTCTACATGCTTACTGAATCCCATAAGCCCTCCAATTCCTCCGACTTTGGTCTTGACCTGGATCATACATACCACTCCAACAGCGGCATAATACGGAATAATGCATTCAGGTACCAGGCTGTGGATGGGGAGAACAGATAAATCGAGGCATTCTGTAGTATAACGTGCCTTTCTTGTAATATATATAGAATTCAAGGATAGAGAGCAGGATTTTAGCATGCTAGGCTACACAAAACCCTCGCTTGAAGCATAACATATTAAGCAATAAAAAAATGATATTATCTAGACGTAACAATATTATCCGTATCAAACTAACAACAATACATAATGGGCTTAAAACATCTTCGAGAATTTTCCCAATCCTGTCTTCTTCAATATACCTCTAACACCTTGCGCTGGCTCGGCTTGGGGCTCTGGAACGGCGTCCGGACTTACAGGGAGCTCGAGAACCGAACTCAATTTCTCAACAGCCCATGTCAGTCCTGCCTGCTTTGCGTAGTCAATGGCAGATTTCTCTTCATTATCGCGGACTTCTGCTGCAGCACCGGCCTCCAACAGATCATCAAGCACCTGCTTCGAAGCTCTCAGATCGCGGATATCGGAAAGTGGCTGAGATTTGCCTAATTTTCGCATGTAGAGCACTAAGGCTGTCTTTCCAGTCTCATCTGTTGCGTTAACATCAACCCTTTTCGAATCAACCAGTAGCTTGACATGCGTAGAGCAGCTGTCACCATTCACAGCTGAGTGCAATGCCGTATATCCCATGGAATCTTTGTTATTTGCCATGTCGTCGCGATCTGCGTACCATTTCAGAAGCTTCTTGACAGTCTCCTCTGTTCCTTTCACTCCCACAGCTATATGCAGGGCAGTCTTATTGGTAGCAACCCCGTGAAAAGCGTCTGTAGCCGTTTTCCACATATTTCCGGGCTTCATGATTGATACAGCTCTGATTGTGGACGCCACAGTGACATCCTTCACTCCGCGAGCCACTGCTACTTTATCAAGTGATGATGGTATTGAAGGGTTGGCGTGATTTTGCAACAGTAGCTCTACTATTGCTTCCCCGTTTGGGATGGCAACAGCTTTATGAAGCGGCGTAAACCCAGAGTAATTGGCGTAGTTTGGATCCGCATGCTTTCGACCAGATTTGTGATCCAGTAAAGCCGTTAATATCTCCAGCGAGCCTCCTTGAACCGCATAGTGAAGCGGAGTGTTTCCTCCAAACATCGTGGGCTCGCCTGGGTTTGCATTCGCATCCAGTAGCGTCTGAACAATGCGAAGAGCTGCATGGCTAGACTTTGAGGCAGCAAAGTGTAAAGCAGTGCGTCCAGGTCGAATCAATCCAATAGTTTCCGAGTCTACTGCAGCGCCATTCTTGAGGAGCCACTCTACCACCTTCTCAGCTTCAGAATCTGCAGCGATATGTAGAGCGCGCCACCCTTTGATGTCGGGTAGGTCAACGAGCTGGGAGCGGACCATATTTCCAGCGAGCATTTTGACGCCTGGAAGATTGAGGAGCGACGCAAGGGCATTTCCTGTTGATATGAACCGCTCAGCCAGCGACGTGAGATTGAGTCGGGCGGAAATGAAAAGAAGGCTAAGGCTGCTTGTGCTGCCGGTATCTAATAACGATTGAGAGATAAAGTTAGCCACCAAGACATGGCGAATGGTGTTCTAAAGGCTTCATACATTTACCTGCTGTGCAACGCACCAACAAATCGTACCCTTTGACCCAATGCTGCATGGCCTCGGATTTCTCACTAAAGAAATCATCTCGTCCATTGATGTCGACTTGCTCATGGTCATCTTTCTCACTCTCTCTTAGATGAAGACCAAGAAAGGTAATCGAGTATTCAAGAAACTGGTGTTCTCCCAAATATCGCTCGACTTCCTTCTCGCGCTTTGCCCTGTCGATCATACCATGTTCATCAACCGGAGGCTCCGGTACGCGCAGTATCGAATTTCCTCCAATTTTAAATAAGAGAGACACAGTTCTGCTAGCTGCTTATGCGTCTTAGCTATGCTGAGATGCCCTCGTCTCTGGCCTTTATCCGAGTCTGTACATAGTTGCTGTGTAAAGTCTTTAACGGATGGATGGGCAAAGTGAATGGAGTTGTCGTCGTGAAGAGTAAGGAGCGCTTTCAAATTACCCTCAAAAGAATTGCGGATGGTATCTGGGCTAAGAGACTTTTTCTTAATCTCTTTGACGGAATTTGCATCGTCTTGAAGCGCCCACATTATTAGAACTTCGCTAATTGTTAACGAGCGACCTGCGGCGTATACCCATAAGAGTAAACTTCGCATTTTTATGTTCAGATGCTCGTAAATATCTCCATAGATGGCCTGAACATCATAGGGAATTTTTTGAAGCTTGTCTTTAACTTCGTTAATATCCCATAAGGTGCCGTTCCCCAAGGATTTCAGGGCCAGCGAAAGCCATAGAAACATGCCTTCGGCACGCGTCGTTATGATATTGACGACTTCATCGATCAAAGAATCGGTGATGGCACTGTTCAGACGCTGGAGATATTTCATACGGGTCTGAGCCACAACATGAATATCCCCTCTGTTCTTCTCGAACTGGTCTACCACTTGTGCATTCTGCATCAAGCGGTCCAGATCGTTGGGTCGGGTGGAAAAAATCCAGCGGGGATTTTTCTCGCCACATTGTTTCGAGACAAGGTTGAACAAGCACTCCAAATCCATAGCGTCTTGTTGTTGTTGATACTGGCCATCAACGACCAAGTATACATCACTGACATTCGCTTGGTTCGTAATCTGCTTCAGCAATTTTGCGAGAGAATCAATGGACTCGAACGCGTCCAGGTTCAGAATGAGCTGCCCTTGGGTTTTAGACTCCTGCCAAAACTCTGGGTCTTTGGTGTCAATCAGATCGCGATTTTGTCTGAGAATTTCATATAGAAGAGTTCTCAAAATCCAAATAGGCGCCTGTCGGTTGGGATGTCTATCGCAGAAACTGCCCGCAACAATAATCTCCCCATTTGCTTCTTCTTCAGAAGAGATCCATTTTTGTTTCTCTCTGAGAATGAACAAAGACATGACGCTTTTCCCACAACCGGAGCTACCATTAATCCACAAGGGGCGATCGGGGGGTCCCTCTCTCCAAGAACGGAGTTCTGTGAGTATCCATGAGCATGTACCAGGCTCGGGTGGTTCAATTGGCACTCCAAGGCCAGTATCACCTCCCATTAGAGCATCGAGAAATTGGTCTTCGGGGCTTTGAGGGGATGAGCCGCCTGAATTGAAAATATGGTTAGACACTTGATGCTACTACATCCACTGAGAGGTACTGAACGGCTTACCCAGATAAACAGTGGCTCCTTCAGCAAAAGTGTTCGTCGTGTTCATCGTGGCATTCACAGTGCCCGTATTTCCACCCATTTGTAAGCCAGAGTTGTGAGACTTGGAGAAACTAATCTCGGCGCGCATCTTTCTTTCCGCCATGATAGACTGTTAAGGTAGAGAAGAAGCGAAGAGTAATCCTACTGGGATCTATTGATAAATCTCGAGTCTATTTGTTAGCTTAAAGCACGAAAGCTTCTGTTGTCCGTAGCAGCTGCGACGTCACCTACCTGATAACTTGTTGACTTGTATAGAACTTATCTCGTGTTATAGAGGAAGGTTGACCCGGGAGACATGATGGCTTTAAAAAAAAGTTGGCTATTGTAAGAACCAGAAGGTGATATAAATTTTTTTTTAAGACTATCTGAAAGCTGAGCCCCTAAGTCGGTGAAAAACAAGGATTCGCTCTTCAGCCGTGCCGGCCTTAGCTTGGGAAACCAGTGAACGAATGATTCCCCTCCTCAATAAGGCATTAATTTTGTGCTACGTGAAATGCAATGCCACCTTTTAATTTCATCTGCTTCAGCTCAGGTGAATGGCAACACCCTATTTCAAAGCTCTAGCAATCCTTCCGTCCTTGGCAGTCAGGAATGTGTCTCCATATGGCTAGTCAAATATTTCGCAGCCTTATTTTGACGTCATTTTATTGATATTTCTCTTTCTTTTCTTTTCTTTTCTCACACCGACTTGTACTCAGAAAACATTGTGGCTTTCCCAATAAGCCGCCCACGTCGGTCCAGATGCCTGGCTGAGCATATCCACGTACGGCTGATGTCCTTTGTCGTGCACTTTAGTAAAATGTTACAAGATCGTACCGCAATGAGCAAGAACAACTTTGATACATTTGAGCCTGTAATGCTACCATCACCGTGGTTGCAAAATCTAGTTAGTACTGAGATTGAAACCATTGTCTTTGCGGATGGCTTAATACGTATATTCTAAGATATGTGAAAACCTAGGGTCAAACGTACAACAGAGTTGGTGAGCGGGAATTGGAGGCTTGACCCAGCATTGCATTATAAATCAATCAAATGCAACACAGTAACTAAAATATGAGATACTAACTACTTCAAGCTGAAATCATTCATGGGTTATCGAATGGCTATCAGGCCAAGAGAAATGAAAATGAAAGCATATAGTGAATGGCCAAGAATCGGAAATAGCCTACAGTGAGCTAACATATTTTTACATTGATGATACCCTAGTCACCGACTGAATAGCGAGTTGAATACCTATTGGATAGAGATAAGACGAGGCGCAATAAGGCAATATTCGCAAGGATTCTCAGCCGTGAATACGAGATGAGCAGCTTAGCATTGTCAATAGTCTCCAATAGACCGATTCCTTTAATTAAGATCAGACACCGACTCGACACCGAGCTTGACACCAATTGGACAGAGGGCCTGATGGGAAAGCTATTTATGCAGGGCAGACCTCAGCCTTGGGCTCCGACTTAGACATTCATTGGATGGAAATGTTTCAGGAAGCGAGATAGAACAAGGGTTAGTGCTAGTGAGCTTCGTTGTTGTGAGGCTCGGACACATTGACCAGAAGTAAAATAGCGCGGCAATATGATTCTAGGAAAATAAAATCTACGATGTATATGCGAGTACGCCCAGTGAGAAGGATCTTTCACCTAATATTGCTCTTAAATAACCAGGGAGTATCTTCTGAATTTTCTGCTGGCCTCTATTCGTGCATGTTTCCTTCTGCAATAACTACGAACTTTCATCACCACTTTATTTTATTTGTATCCAAATTCTTAAACAATGTCAGCCAAGCCCACCCAAACTCCGAGCGAAATTATCGATTCTATCAAAGAAAAAGGTTTCACAAAAATTCGAGATTCTACCAAAGCCAAAGTCGAGTAAGATCAACATGGCTCTATTTCTATATCCCCTTCAGATCTACGTACTAAGTCAGCACCATAGCATCGTGTTTATCCATGGCGTGCTGGGCAACAACCCTTGTTGGACATCTGACGATGGTGTCTTTTGGCCTCACATGCTCCTCGCCCCTGAGCTACCGGATGCACGAATCTTATCTTTTACATATAAAGAAAAGATTAGTCACTCTGGTGGGAAGACCGATGCTTCGATCGCCATGGTCATTCAAGGGCGTCTAATCAACGGACTGGCCAAGCTCCGAAAGGACAAAGAGAGTGTGAGTACAATTATGCACTTATTCCAATCTATTACGTTATCTTACTGATAATGAGACAGAAAACCCGACCAATAATTTTTGTTGCGCATTGTCTAGGTGGAGTGATTTTAGAGGGTGTAGGTATCTGATAATCATCTCAATCTCCGACCGCCTTGCTAATCCTCGATGTTGAAATGTATCTAGTCTATTGTAGACGCGCTTGATGATGAATACGGAAAGGAAATCGTTTCTTGCATTCGCGGTATTCTACTGCTGGGCACACCGCATTTCAAGGAAGGATTGGAGCCAGCCGCCAAGGAATATTTCCGATATGCTTTGGGGTTGAAAGACGATGAGTTGCCTAAAGAATTACCGCTGCCTGAAGAATTCCCGGAAATCATCTCCAAAACTCAGGAATTTTTCGATTTCAAAAGAAAGAATGAGGGCATCATTGATGTCAAGAGTTTCCGTGCCAGCAAAGAACCCACTGTCAAGGAGAAGTTGGCCCAATTGTCGCAAGGCCCAAAGCCACAGTTGCTAAATCGCAGCCAGTTACAGTTGAGTCAGTTTGTAGACAGTGGTGACGATGATTTCCAGGAGGTGCTGCAGACTCTTACTGACTGGCTTGAAAAAATTGACCGAGCATCTGAAGAGCATAACGGCCCAGAACACGATGAGCCCAGCGTCAATTTTTCAGGATCAAAGAATTCTGGGATGCAGATCGGGACGAATAAGTCTGGTATTCGTGGGCTCACCTTCAATACAACATACTGAGCATGACCTGGAAGAACTTACCAATTCTGACTGGTGCAGTTGACAGTGGACTTCCCTATAGATAGGTCTTCATATGGTAGGGTGAGAATCAATAAGTCTTTAGGCTATATACGCATATTTGGATGTCTGGATTCTGAACGAAGTACATATATTCCGCCCATGTATTCAGGGATCCGTAGTGAAAACGATGCCTGGCGCCGCGTTCTAACCTTCTGGCTGAGCACGTGCAATTTATCAGTATTTTTTTCCAGACCTTGATCGAAGACTATTAATTTAGTAGTAATTATGAAGTGAAGAATTTTGAAAATGCATGTATACATGATAAGATCACGACTTTATAGTGAACGTTAGGTTGCTAGAAGACAAAACTTAGTAGTAGGGTTACATTTCCGACTCTGGAGAGCACAAGCAAGTAAATTTGCAACTATCTGAGATTTTTTGACTTGCAGAGACGCAGTGTTGGCAGGGGAAGGGAACTACAATAATATATTTGGAGAGCTCACACGCAAACGCTGCATCGATATCACTGGTTCTGCTTATAAACCAGAAATATGGGTAGGTATCGTGGTGAGAGGTAGTGTAACGTGCACTCTGTACAAGCAATTCAGATAGTGAGATGCTGCTTCTTCCTGTGGGGAGCATAAATCTTATGCTATATTAAGACTATCCATAGTTACAACCCCTAACGCGACAAGATCTAATTCTACAGAAGAGATTGAAAGATTACTGAGTTAACGACGCAGACCAGAGCCTAATATGGAAGTAAATAGACTACATGCACATGCACTATATATATGAATATTAACGTTAGTATCCATGAGCTTGATTTGTATGTAGGCGTAAGCAGCGGTGCTCATTTATGTCTTTCGAGCGACATATTAGCCTGGAACTCCCATGTACTTCTTGATTAATAGAAAGTCTATTATGTTTCCTAACCAATCCATTCTTGATGAAAGAATATAGAAGATATTTCTAAAGTATAGCATAAGATCCCCAATACTTTGAATTGCTGTAGATTTGAAATCTCAATCCTTAAACGCAGTCATTGATATTGTATCGCACAGTCTTCATAGTGCTGAGTTGCCCAAGATGCTAAGCATTTCATCCAGGCTGAAGAGCTTGTTACAAGCCGAGCGTGATCACCAGGTGTCGAAACGGATATTGCTAATTTGACCCGAATTGTTCCCAATCTGTAAACCACTGTTGACACCTGAAAACACCACGCTTTTCGAGTAGGTGGTGGCTGGTTTCATGGCTTTCGCAGCTGTGTCGCTTAGCAGCTTATCCTGAACAGCAGCGATGTCTTTTATCAACGAAAGCCTGACCCCTTTATTGCGCATCTCCGATACTTCTTCCTCACAAAGCTTGCGCTGATCTTCTCGAATTCCAGGAAAGAGCTCGATCAAATTGTCCAGCAGCTCGCCAATATCTTCAATTAGTCGGGCGAAATTCTTCTCTTCGTATAGAGTCCATTCATCTGACTCCAATTCGAACTGTCCTTGGCGCTTCTTAACTATATCCTGTATCTTCTCGTGAAGCAGCGCTGAGACGCCGTCTAGCTCTTCAATTGGATCCAGAGCTGACAGAGCGACATCCTCATTTCGTTTCTCAAATCTTTTGGAAGCCGCTTTTGCGTCTGCAAATAGTTCAAGGATCTGGTTCAGAAGATTTTGGACTTGTTCCCTGTTTTCTGGAGCTAATTTTGTAGTCTTCAGAGATTTTGCCCTGTCAAAGTTTGCTATTCCAACTGATTGACCCCAGCGTGCCAGTCGGAGACACACCACGTCCAGTTTCAGCAAGTTAACCTTAAAACTCCCATGAAAATTAGCTCCCATTTGGATTTGCCCAAAACTTTGCACTGTGTTGCTGAATACTCGAGACTGCTCTTTCAATATTGACAGCACATCTTGTTGTGTCTCTATCATGGCATCTTGTTTTAGTTGCAGCGCTACGTTTTGTTCGATAACAGCTTCTGTGTCTGTCTTGATGGCATCCATCCGGTTGTCAATATTCTCATTCATCTGGTGGACAACTTCGCCCAAGATCTTCGCAGCCTGGAATGTTGTCAGACCAACTGTCTGATTTAGTTCGTTGACAGCATCTTCCATGTCTTTAACCGCTGCTGAGAGAGTTCTGTCAGATCCATCGACCAAATTGTTAAACCACTTTTCTAGATGAAGTAATCAGTCATCAAACCCGCTATTCAATACTTGACACAACATGGCTGGGGAGTATGTTTACTAAGCCTTTTCTTTTCCGCATATTCCTGGGCAATGGAACAAATAGTCAACATGCCTGAGAAGACACGAGCAACACAAAGTTGCAGCGGTTTTTGCTGTGGGATCGAATCATCAATCATTGAGAGTCTGCTGAGGAACCGTTGAGTGAATTCAAAGAATCCGATGATCTTATCGTAGTCGGCCGACATTGAAGAAAATGACTAGGGGGGTTAACAAAGTCATCATAAGGGTGTTTTGTTTTAGGATATTGTACCTGCATCACTTGCCCGAAAGCTGTGGAAACCATACCAGCTGGTATTGCTGAGGAGAATGTCTGCGGATCATCAGTTCCAACCGGATCAAATAGCATAGGAATATCTAAGCCAAGTCGTACTGATGTGGCACCTCCAGCTATTTGGACGGCGTTGGCCATTTTCTGAATTAAACTCAGGTTGTTTCTGAATGCATTTCGCACTTTATCTGGTTTTGACTTATCGTGCCGAAATTCTTTGAATCGATTTTCCATCTTGTCCATAAGCAGTTCTATATTGTCGGATTGTCCTCCATGAAGACTCTTCTTGGTTCTTTTCTCGTAGTCTTCAACTGCATTTTGCCATAGTTGAGCGATATCAGAAGCTTGCTCTGTTCCATTTTGTGTGATAGTAGCCATGTCAATTGATCGCGGCAGCTAGAGGCGAACGTGTGTTGAGAACCAAGTCCTGAGCAGATGAGCGAGTTTCAGGGATATGTGTTCATAATGGAAGTTCAGCACCGCTACAGATGTCCGTATCTGTTGTCACCTTATAGCTACCCAAACAGTATGGAGAGTGGACCGACCTAACATGAGCTCTGATTTTTGAGTCAGATTGTTACAATCCAACTCCTCTTGATCGATAAAATAGAGCTGGTGATTCGGTAATACCTTAGATGAAACTCATCTGGATATATTGTCAAACTTAATCCGGCTAGGTATTCTACTGTTATGACGTGCTACGGTTAGATAATTCATATTAGTTAAGGTGACGGTGTCACACTGTGTGGGTATGAGAAACAAAACGCGCGATTATCTAAGGTCGCTGTATAAGTATAAGAAGCGGGAAAACAGGATCTGTCGATGGTAGATATAGCCAATTGCTACTCCCTATAAGTCGCGACCCTTCAGGAATAGCGCGTCACAGGTCGACATATAAGCTTGGCCAATCCAATAGCTCGACCGAAGCGCTGCAGCTTCTCCCCCCAAGAATATATACTAAGATCCACTAGTGAAAATGCTAACCGGTACTGTATCAGCTCAAAATCGCTCGATTCATAGCAGCTCGGGTTGAAAAACTTGATGCTCTTTATTTAGAAAACCGTCTTTACTGTTCTCATTACTTTTAACGAAGTGGCAATTGGCAATATCATGCTTAAGGCACTAGCGGCCTGCTTCCGGACCTCAGTTTATTTTCTTGTCTTCGCGATTGCTACCTAACCACATAAAAAAATAGTTCACGCCTGCAGGATCTATAGTTTCCAGCTGCTTCTCTAACCGGGAAAAGTTCACCCTGTTCAAGGAGACGCAAAGGCTTATGAAAGATCGAGAATCGGCGCCAGGTTGAAAAGATTTGTCGGAGGCAAGTAGTGCTGAGTAACGATAATAGCCTTAGAGGTACTATGCTGGTTAGTTTGGCAACCCACGGTGTATCAGATGTAGCGTTCAGAATCAAGGCTCATGTGTGTCATCAAGGTCATTATTTATTTCTAATTCTCATAAGCCTCCAAAGTTCAAACATGGCGACAAGGTACTATATGGGAAGGTGGAATACACTGTAACCTCTTATGATCCGGCCACAGAAACGTACATGATAAATTCACTCGGAAAAGTTGGGAAAGAACTGCTAGAAGCTTTGCTACAAACTGTGGCTGAAAGTGCAAAGACCTTACCCCCGAAGTCCTATTATGGTAAACAGGTACGCTATAAGGATGCAGTATATACTGTGGTCTCTTTTGATGAGGACACAAAAGCATACACAATAAGTTCAGTTGTAAAAGTTGGGAAATATGTGTTAGAAGTTAAGAAAGACAGAAGGACGTAGAAGGACAAGGGGGCAAGGCAGCCGTTCTAGGTCTATGAGTTTAAGAAAGCAACATGAGTAGAATGCTATTGCGGGGCAATCTATCAAATAACTTAGAAGCGCATGAGGGCTTGAGTTGGCGAGTTGGCTGTGAATATGCTCTCTAATAATATCAAGAATATTTTAGATCCATATCAATATACTGCTACCTATGATCAATTTATATCTGTATGCTCATATACACTAAGACACGACAAGTGACGGTATGCAGCATTCTGAATTCTGGATTAACGCCCAGCTTTACAACATAGCAGATCTAAATTGGGCGCATTCATTTCTCTATCTCTCTTGCGTTTCGAAGGAAACTTAATGTCCAGTACCTACATTAGATTAGGACATGCAGCCATACCACACCAAGATATCGTCAGTCGAACTCGCCCTATTGCTATAGTATATGTAAAACATTAGACACGTCGTCGCCTTCAAACATACATGCATTTGATGCGTGCAAGAAGGCGGACTCTTAGTGGACACGTGTTCGACTTTGGAGGCCACTGACAACAGAGATGGAGGTACTACATTTACGAAGAGATAGATGCAACCACCCGATACACTCTCGAGGCAGCGTAACGCGGGGCCAAGGGTAGACCGAGAGCATCTACGTATAAAGCGCGCGCAGGATTGTCTCGATGTTACCACCCGATACCCTCGCCCAACAGACTGTCGGCGATGCAAGTTGGAGCCAACAGGGAGGTAGGAGTCTGCGCGAATGTTGGTGCGACAATACAAGCAGCGTTGGTTTGGGTAAAGGCGCCCGCAATAGTGCTCCTTGTATGACTATTCATACCGTTTTGAGAGATACATGCATGCTCGTGAAACTCCGTACCGAGTGTCTAGCGTAACCTCGGCCATTCACCGATCTTCGGGCAGCATACCAGTATGCATTTTCTTAGGTTACGGCAACTTATCCACCACTATACGGATTAGAGATATAGGTCTGAGGCTGAATTGCCCTGAGTAAGGCAGAGACTACAAAGCCCATGTACCTGACTAGATTAGATGACCTGGATCTTACCAAATGACATTCATTAGTTAAACATATGTAGCCAAGGTTAAACTAGATATGGACTATATGTGATCAGATGGGGCCCAGTCATTTATATCAATGTTGTCTTTTTAAACTATAATCACCGGATTTGGCTATAATTAGCTATTTTGACCAAGAAAATGAGTGTTGAAGGTCATCTCAATAGACTGCGCTCATATCACGATCGAGTACTAACTTGCTATAATCAAATCACAAACAGTTCAATGTCTGTACAGGCCAACACCGTCTGTATTGCATTTGCAACATGCGTTTCTGTGTCGTCGCGGGAAAATTGCAAAAGTATTTAGCTAATTATTACTCCGTATCAGCCGCGACTTAATGGGGGTCGAAATACAGCGCCTAACCAATTTACCAGTCTGACCCAAGTGTTGCAAGTTTCATATTTGGGGTGTCACTACGTGTAAAATCTACTATTACAGATGCTAACTCATACTGTATCGGCTTCAACCTCACACCTAATAACGGGAGAAATTCCCGCCGGATAGCGTGGGTAATTGGACTTGTTCGAATAGTGTGAGAGTCGACTTGTACCTGCTGTTTTGCATCACTTTTATATGCTCGTAAAACATTTTTATCAGTACATAGACCTTAATTACTACTTGTGTTAGACCAATAATAGAAGCGCTTTAACTTAGGATGATAAAGGTGGTTAAAGCAATTGTTATAAGAGATGGGATGCGTAACGCGCCAGCTGGGTTCATTTTTGTCCAAGAATACGACTTGGACGCTATCACATCATGATGATATCTCCAGTGTAATAATTTACCTAATGGAATAAAGTAGTCTTTCATGTAATGAGGCTATCATATATCAGGTGAGGCGTCCATATGAGCGCCTCGCATGACGTGACAGTCAATCTGATGGCCGGCGGGGAAACAAATGTGCCATGTTTCCCGAGCTTTTTGATGATATGTGCCATTTGCCACTCTCCCGGATAGCCCGCACAAGGTGAACCCGGCAAACCTACATCATGGTAGTGACGAGATTGGCAAGTATGTCAAAAGCAATTCTTTTCAGGCTTCAGACATCATTGATGAAAGAACATGAAGAGTGTTTCGTCCACTGATCACACTGGTTTTTTTTCTTTTCCTTTGAAGCTCTGCCCGTTACATGTAGAAAAGAAAAGGAACTTGGTGATGTCACCTCTATCCTCGCTATCCCGGCGACGAATTGCAACATGAAGAAGGTTGTCAAAATTGCAAAGTTTCACTAACAAAGCATAAGATATTGTGGCAGTTTGTACATAACTTTGATTAGTTCACAAGCAATTGCGGGATTCCACTTTTGCCCGAGATGGCGGTGACATTAGAGAACAAAGGCTTCATTGTCTATGAAGAACGCTTTGTTATAGCATGGCTGTCAGTTTATTTTTGGGTTACGCTAATCTACTAGAGCAGTTCGCTAGGCAGATGGCAGGTCCGGTTATCCGCTATCCGTGGATAGCGTAGCGCTCCACCTCATTGTCACTCCACGATCTTTACTTCGATACTTTCGATACTCGGTCTGGACATTTTACTCACCTTAACTCTTGCATTCCACTTGCACTATTCAGATGTAAGCAGCGCCTAACAAAGTGACGTAGGTGAGCTGAGGAGAAAAGTATCTTGAACAAAGCCACAGCTAGCTTGAGGCTAAGGCTGCTGGAAGGGAAAAAGTCAGCTTATACTCTTCATAAGCGGATCGACTACTCTCCGGTGTCAAGCGAAGTCTATTGCTAGTTGACAATTTGAAGCTGTAAAGAAGTGCAAAGTCAATTCAGATTTAGGAAGTATGATACTTGATATTCAAAAAGTGTATATTGACTGTTTTCTATATAAACGGCTCTTCATCTCACTGTTGCACTGAGCATATCACTCAAAGCACTCAAAGCCAACAATACCCGAACAAGAGTTAACTATTCTTTAATCACAATTATCAATTCAAACTCATAACTCTACCAAAATGCGTTCTGCCATCGCCTTCTCTCTCTCCCTACTTGCTCTTGCTTCGGCAGCTCCCTCTTCCCCAGGCAAGGTTACCGTGCAACTTTCAAACGACGTCTCTGGAGCAAATGGCGACGCCTCCATTCCTCTCGATGGAAGACCTGTGGACATTGGCCAGGCTTTCGGACACTCCAATCTGTTCAAAAACGGCAAACTACTTGTTACCAGCATTTTCTTCGTTGCCAATTTCCAAAATGTCGACTGCGTCGTTGTGAGAAATAGAGTCCAGCAGGTCGCCAACATCTTCAACCCATCAAAGGACTTTGAGAGATTCGCTCAGCAGCCTGTGGACTGGGAGCACGGTTTCACAATTGCCTGCACTAAGCATTAATCTTTCCAAAGCTGAGGGCTTGGGAGGGATCTAAGACGGAGGGTCGGGTTTTTTGACCATCTAATTTGGTACGATTCAACTACAGAAAGATACGTGCCCACACAAAAATAATTTGTGCTTACGGAACAATACTGGGTTATTGGAGCCACAAGTGGAAGCATTTACATCGGTTTTTAAATTAGTCCCTCCTTATATTAAATATATATAGGCCTATATCATTATTTTTCACTCATTGATTTAGAACATATAGCTACTATCAAACGTTATGCCTCTAGTCGCTTATCCGCGTGTGATTCTCTGCTTCAACGAGAAATATGCACACTTGCTATAGCATGGCTGCCACAGGAAGGCAGCAGGACCACAAAACCCGGTGGTTTACCTACTTAGACCCGTGCTAGTCCTCTGTGCCGGCATATGCGGCCCTGTAGAGCATGAAAACGCCTCTAATGATGGGATGCTTCGCAAACGTTACGTACAATAACAGGCCATACTTCTTTCTTCGTAGTATAGGTGATATTGAATAGCTGTTTTCCCCTCTTAGATAATCGTAACACTTGAAATACCGATTTATCGGACGGTGACTTTAATTACTGATACACTTTCTATTCACTCCACCTACCTTTGCGAATGACCTTGTGTCTAATTTATCCCTAGATTTGCTACCTGAATTCCACTTGTCCAACGTTTCTAAGCCAAGTTGCAAACGCCAAGTCTCAAGCTCCCACAAGAGTATCCAGGTATTATGTGAACTGTTGCCTATAGATGATAGATATTTGCAGATATTGAACAGGCAGAGATGAGCATAATAGGCAAATGAACTTGGCGTAGATTTACGAGCTAATGTATGAGAATATTCCAGTCTCATGATAAATCTATTCGTTTGTCAAGATTTTCACATGAATATACTATCCCTATTTAAGTAAATAGTATTACAGAATCGAGCAAACATATGTCATGTACATTGCGTGCTTAACATCGCGATTTAGAAGAGTCTTTGAGTGTATTATAACAATTAGGCATGCAAGGCACGCAGCCATATCCTGTACTCAATGTAATACAATACTTAATCTACTTTAACAAACTGCCAAACAGTCGATATATGCTGTCGCAATATCACATTATCCGAACCTTCGGAGACACCCACTTTCTTCAGTGTATGCCACCAATGTGGCATTAGCAACTCGTAGCCTCCTTCTGGATGCTTCCTCACTGTCATAAGCTCCCAAGCTTCATGTTGAGACGCCGCGGAGTGCAGTTTATCATCATCCTTGTGGCCGATGAATTTGCCTGTGTGAAGATTGACAAAGCCAAAATATCCATTCTTCTCGACGCATAGCCATGTGTGTTGCTGAAAATGGTCCTTGTTGAAGTCGTACACGTAAAGACCGCCCTCGTTATTCGCGCAAATTGCCCGGTTCGTACCGTTTATGAAAATGTTGTATTTATTATCCGGCCAAGGTACCGCATAGCGCTGACCATCCCAATCCTCGCCGAAAACAGTCTCAGTTGGTGTAAATTGGGGAGATGCGGTAGACGAGCCATCGGTATAGTTGTCCATGACTGTCTTATTAGCATAAATGAACACAGCTTTCTATGCAATGTCAGTTGTTTACCTTGAGTGAATGCTAGCCAGGCGTCAAACCAGAGTCTATAAGCCCACATTGCGGTTTCAGCAGGGCGCTTACCAAGAGGTGGCGTTGGGATAGGGAAAAACTAATACTTCGGTTGGTACCTAAGATGCAAAGTGAGGGGATTGAGATCGGGAGTTGACCGCAGACGGAAGAATACGCGTGCATATTGAGGCGGTTGTTTATGCGACTTCCGAGCGAATCAAAAAGCGTGTCAGTCTCCATGTAACATACATGTACCTGTATGTCATTATTCTATTCAGTATTAGTGTTTGAACTGCATTTAATTCGATTGTCAAAGCCTTGTGAATTACTTTCAGTCATATTAGTCACCGCCTTAGTGATAGAGCTTCTATTTACATGCAGCCTGCTAACCTACATGTACTTTCTTCAGCAGATTCAGAGTCACATACCACTACATGTACTTTTGTCGTTTTCTCGCCGATGATCCATCCCTTTGGTGTCGGCATGTATGAGATGCTACAAGCTCTCCAAGTACCTTACCATTATAAGATATACCGGATTCTCGTCATTGACATCTCAGTCATATAGATATAGGACGCTGGAAGAGCTTGAGTATTGGCTTGTAAGAGCAAGAAGTGTTCTGTGCCCGGCTTCTTTCTAGAACCCTGGCGCTCTTTACCTATCACTAGCGCTGATGGAAGTCCAACAGCGGATTCAGACCGCCAAGCCATTCAGTAGCCATGCTCAGCCACAGGTGCTGGCTTCAATCAGATCAAGGAAACATGAACCCCTTTACGGCTGCACTGAATCAACGTAGCAGCTCATAACAGCTTTTAAACAGTCACCATGGTCAACACTGGGAGATCCAAGGGCTGCAACACCTGCAAGAGGCGAAAGGTCAAATGCGACGAGGGCAAGCCAGGATGCCAGCGCTGCATACGCTTTGGCCGCGAATGTGAAGGCTACGGCCAAAGACCGCCGCGGGTGAGATTCGTCACCGACGTGAGAAGGACCAACGAGAAAGACTCGCAGATTCAGCGACGCGTAGATGCGTTGGCCTCGCGCACTTCTACTTCTACTTCAGCGCAGCCGACCATCATCCCACCGCCAACGCCAAACAAAAAGGATGCTGCGCTGTCCTTCTTCCTCACCCAATTCGCTACCCTGGGCCGCAGCGCCGCATCGTCGACGGGCTTCTTCGAGATGCTGCCTCTCGTGCTCTCTGGCGAGCGCCACGACTCGGCCGCGTCTCTTGCGCTGTCGGCAGTCTCCATCGCCATGTTTGAGCGGTGGCTGGGATTCGGAAACAAGCCTGGAGCGTCACGCAAGTCGTTTGCTGAAGCCATCGCGCGCCTCCAAACAGCCATTGCCGACCCGTCGGAGAGTCTCAGCAGAGCTACTGTCGTGGCCGCTCTGACTCTCCAATTTCACGACAACGTCTGCGCATTGTTGGAATCAAACGGCATCAATCGAACTCACCACGACGGCTCTGTAGCGTTACTCCGGCATCAAGAGCAGGAGAGTAAACGTCCGCGAACTCGCACTTCCTTGGCTCATCACCTTCTGCATGCCGAAGTTTCATTTGCAATTCGCGAAAAGAAGAGCCTGCCGGTTACTGGAATCTCCTGGCTTCAATATCATAACGATTCACTGAATCCAAGTTCGCTACTCGATATTATTGGCATCGATGTCGCGAATATCCAACACGAGTTCTTCAACGCGCGTTTGTCTAGTTCATCCACAGAAGATATGCTGTCGGACTTGTTTGCCAAAGCCGCAGTCGTCGACACGAGACTCAAAACATGGGTCGGTGGAGTCCCAGTTCACTGGCAGCCAGAGCCATTCGATCATATGCCGCAGTGCAACCCTCCTGTGATAACATACTCGCAAGCCTTTGACGTCTATCGGTCCGTGCAGATCGCCTCAATCTGGAACATCTGGCGAATCTATCGTATAATAACGCTCAAAGTATTGCTCGAGTGTCTCGAGCTGAGCGCCGACAATTTAGACTTTTCAGATAATACTCATTCGTTCATCCGAGAAAGTATCCAGAAGATGGTCGACTCTATCTGCAGAAGCGTCCCTTTCTTCCTTGGAAACCGCAGCCATATGGCAACACTCCACGACTTCACCGACTCCAACATTTTCCTCCCAAGCCATCATCGCCTTAGAGCCAGCAACGAGCTTGTTGATCACCGAAACGACAGCGATTACTGGAGCCGGGATGACCATTTTAAACACGTCATTTCCCAAGGGCCTTGGCATATTTTGATTCCACTTAGCCAGCTCATTGGTATTTTCTCACAGAGCCACGGTTCATCATTTGCTCAGCTACTGGACGTAGAAAGACACAAATGGATTCGAGAACAAATTGTGCGAGCCCGTACTATCATGGGCTCACAAATTGGTAACTACACTGCTGGGAGTATATATGCTGACAATTATTATGGGCTAATGCGTTTCTTAAGATTAGTTACTTCTCCCAACTTGGCTGTCAGCCCAAAAACCCCATTAACAAAACTATATTGAAATCTATTCTGACATGTATTGACGTGCGTAAATGCCAATGTCAATAAGTTTATGGACATAACTAGGAAGATGATTTCAGAAACAATACAAAGCAAGCAAAAAGACATACATCTACATGTAACAATACCTCGTTCGCTCACATAACCATCTAAACTTGAACTACATTTCTAACATTTTGAGCGCTCTCCACAAACTGCGAGAAACACTTGACAACCAGAGTTTCTGATGTTGCAATAAATAAACATAAGACACTGGAGATAGGCTCCTTGGTCAGTGGAAAATGGTATCGTGAGGCCAACGGTCGAACTAAAGCTCAAGCGTCTCACTTGAGAGCCATGCCAAGCTTGGTATTGTCGTTACCGTTGACTATGCTCACCATGCTGGTTGCAGCGTATTTTCGCTCTGGTACCGTCTGGCTGAACATCAGCCCTGGGTGGCCGAAGCAAAGTGCCACAACAGCTAGTGCAATGAGTACGCCTTCAAGCACGATAAATGGCACTTGGTCATGGAATAGCGCACTGTCGTAGCCTTCTTGGAGCTCTGCCACGCGATACGCACACCGAGCCAGTATCAACACTATCGCGGCCGTCAAGCCGCCAAAAAATGCACCGAAGCGCCAATTGGAAACCGCTTGTCCTTGAAACTGCCGCCTTCCAGAGCGAATATACCGGATCATGTAGTCGGCAAACGCAACACTGAAGATGACCAACACAATGACCTGTAGCACGAGGCCGGCCATTGAAACGTTAACGCCAATGTTGCCCTTCAATATGGTTGACAGGGCGCCTCCTGCGGCTTGCAACGCAAGACAGATGATATCAAGAGGAATGAAGATGTAAAAAAAGAGCTTTGGGTTGACTCGCGATAGTTCCGGCCCGAAGAAGTTGATTGTCTTGGATAGTGTAACGTATATAGAGCCCGTGAAGAAGACTGGGGCGGTGGTTAGGCAGACTGCAGCAAACAATTGGACTAATTAGCCTATACAACCATTAAAGACTTCATTGTTGTTTCTCTTAGCTTACCAATGTTTATCATGAATCCTGGAAAAGAGAAGGGGTTATTCCATAACAAAACGCGACCAATATAGCCGATAATCTCACTTGCACAGCCCAGCAGCATGCCAACCATGAAGCCCCAGCTCTTCCACCGCCAGCCAAGATAAATATGCACCAGAGCTATAGTTCCGAAGTAGGCAGCAAAGAAGATGTTGGCGGTGAGCCATGGCCTGTAGGCAAGTATGCTCTCCTCGACGGGGCAAACACTCAAGGTGCAGTTTGCATTAGCACCAATGGCAATATAGTTTGGTTGAACTCCCGGATTAGCCATTGGGCCAGTATTAGATGCGAGTGAAACGCCTCTGGAATTTTTTAAGCAGCTGGGACAAGGAGGCCACAGATCTAATAGACTGTAGGCAGTGTGCGCGTGGTGGAGACGAGAAGATGAAGGAGCCTGGTATAGCCAAGGGACAAAGAATGCGGCAGAGCAATGAATCGTACTTTCGTAACAACAGAAAGACTTTGAAGAAATGTTTTTGTCTCTTAAAAATTGATCACAGAGACCATCATGGACTATATGTACATGTATGCAGTCATCAAAGCGCTGCTCATGCTTGCGCCAATTCATTATAGATGGAACGCCTAGCACAAGTAGCGTTATCATCGTTTCAACAGCTTGCGTATTTTTTTGCGAAGCCACCCTCCTCTTACTCGATAAAACGCCCATTCTTTCAGCTGCAAAGACATGAATTCGCTGCCAAGCTCATATAAAAGCCGAATTGAGTCCCACTAACATTGTAGTGGATGTCAAGTTGCGACTTGCACTAAGACAAATCGAGCAATCGAGTTGCGAGCCGAAGACTCCGCTCGCAATTCAGCATTAAGCTTACTGCATACAATGCAGATACTACGCAAGCCTCATTTTGACAGACATAGTTATGGGGCTATAATTAGTCAAACCCTCCCTCGCAACTCTCGCGGCGATCCTGCCAAGCCTTCGCAAACGCCATACAATTGCCCATTTTTAGGAGTTGAATCCTTTCTCGCAAAAAGTGTGGCTGTATATTCGAACGTCAGCATGCGTTGCACTTACACGTATGAATGCTGGAGAAAAGGAGAGAAAAGGAGAGTGCCGATAACTCTACTCAAGGGCAGTGCTGGAGAATTGCGAGTACGAGTTGTATATAAACGTAGGTGAAAGAGCCGAGTTGGAATCAATCCGGACATCATACTTCATCAGCTCTATTTGAGAAAGCACCAAGTCTACCTACACTTGAACTATACGCATAGATTTAATGGCGCCCTTTCATCCAACTACCAATCTTCTTTCTCTTGCATTCGCCAGCAGTTATCTCGTTCAAGCTTCGGGCGATCTAGCAGCAAGTTTTGGACCTCCTCCCGACTCAAATCCTCTTACTTGGGGCTTCTATGCCACTCATGAGGTCCAAACACCAACGCACTTGGAGATCACTGGTTCCATCCCGAGCTGGTTGACCGGATCTCTCTACCGCGGAGCTGCAGGAACTTGGGATGTCGGAAACTACACTGCAGAGCATTGGTTTGACGGCTTTAGTCGCAACCATCTCTTTCAGATCGCTGATGGCTCTGTTACATACCGTAGCCGCAACGCAAGTGATGAGCTGATGCACTTCATCGAAGAAACCGGGCTCTTTCCCGGCAATACCTTTGGAAGCGATCCATGCAAGATCATCTTTGGCGCATTTGAAACCACTTACAGAGACGGGACAAACGCACGCGGTAATAAAACCACTGCAAACGCCCCTGTAGCCTACATTCCCAACTTTCCTGGTCTCGATCGCAACTCTAGCAACGTGGGCAGCCCTCTTAACACGCTGGTATCTACTACAGATACCAACAGACTCCAGCAAATTGACCCAGTCACTTTGGAGGCTATTGAGCTGTTCACTTACCAGGCTTCCCACCCGCTGCTGAGCGACTCAGGCCGTTCATGCGCGCATCCAGCAATGACAGAGGAAGCCATCTACAACTATGTGCTCGATACGTCTGCCAAACCTCCCGTCTACCGTGTCTTCGGCATTACAGCACCTGGGGGAGAGACGAAGATAATTGCCAACATCACCGACGCACCACCTGCTTACATCCACTCCTTGTTTCACACTGAGAAGCATGTGATTCTAATCGTCTGGCAAGCCGACTTCACGAAAGCTGGAGAATCTGTCTTGAGTAGTATTGGACCCTGGAATCCTGAGAGGAAGACTTTATTCTACGTGATTGATCCTGTCAATGGAGGCGTCATCTCCAAATACGAATCTGAAGATGCCTTCTTCGCTTTTCACGAGATTAATTCTTTCGAGGATGCCTCTGGAGATATTTACATTGATTTGCCAACTATGCCGGACTATAGCTTTCTTGACGCTGCGATGGTGGAAAACTTGCGAGCTAATCTTGGCAGCAAAACTAATGCCTCGTCCAAGAATGATTTGGCTGGCTCGTTTACTCGCTACAAGCTCCCATTCTACGAGTATAACAAAGCTTCCAACGGATCGCTCATCACGCATACCGCAACGATTGATATACAATTGCCTTACAAAAAAGCGAATATCGAGCTCCCTCGCATTGCTGAAAGTCTAAAGGGCAAGCCTTACCGTTATGCTTATGGCATCCACGTTGAGAAGATGGGCTACTTTGCCGATTCAATCATCAAGATTGATACAAAGAAGAAGTCGTGGAAAATTTGGTCACCCAAAACGAAGCAATTGCCATCGGAGCCCATCTTCATAGCACGACCAGGAGCCAAGACGGAAGACGATGGCGTCTTGTTAACTGTGGCGATGGATTCGGCGGAGAAAAAGAGCTCTTTGGTAGTTATTGATGCCATCACCATGAAAGAGATTGGTCGAGCTCATATGCCCATTGTCATGGGCTACGGGTTTCATGGAGCTTATCATGCAGAGTTGTGAGGCAACTGCTCCATGCGATGGCGAATTGAGGCAAGGGAAAAAAGTGAGGGAAATGATGATTTTAGTCGTACTGTCTATGTCATTCAGATTGCCACCACCTATTACTAGGTATCACATTTTACTTTCTCACTTACTGTTATTTTAGTAGAATACTATCTTATAATCTCAGCCGTAACCTCAAAAAATAATGCTCTTTTGTGCTCCTGATCTACAAAATGGATTATACTACTCAGACATTTGTCTACCAGAATGCAGCACGAGCAACAGTGACGTAATATTCACGAGCAAAGATATCTGTACCCTGAGTACGTCACAATAATTATGAGTGCATCTTATATAATCACGAAGCTATGTCTGGCTTCTTTAAATTCAGTAATTTGCGTGCTTTAATCGAATAAGCCCTTACGGCTGAAATAGCGCACAATTACTCAACTTCAGCGACTGGGAAATACATCTGCGGGAATATTTGCCCTTATGACTGGTCCGAGATACGACTCATAGTCATCAGGGTTAGTCTCATTGCCATTCCACTTCAACGCGCGAGCAAGAGGTCGGTAATCTCCAGAGGTGATGTTGTAAGTTACGCCATTGTGCGATAGCGTCGGCGTATCAAAGAAATAAAAGAAGCTAGTCGCAGGAGACCCTCTAACGTTAGTCAGATTGTATTCCTGTATTGTGCCATAAGTCGATACTCCAAGGAAACCAGGCAAGATGGGCTGAGGCGTGTCTTGGTAGTCTATCTTGACGGAAGGATCGAAACCATAGATGGTCGGGATAAAAGTGGTGTTAGCGGGGACGAGTTCGTAGAGGATGTGCGCCGACGGCAAGCCGATATCGATCCTCAAGAACGGGACAATAGACTCGGAAGCATTTGCTTTCCAATAATATGTGTCGATGTTCGGCGTAGATGCCTGAGCTGAGAAGACGCTTTGCTGATCGCCTGGAATAGACAAGACCTGCGGGCTAGCGTAAGGTATTGTCGTCGTGGCATTCTGTGTTATCGGGCCAACAGCGTCCCGGCTGTAGGGCAAGCCCATGTAGGGAATGGAGTACACATTGTTATCGCTGGAAATCTTAATGAATCCGCTGTAGACGGGCGTCGAGTACGGATATTTGTCCGGTTGAGGCGTAATATGCACTGTAATAGTGGTTGACTCGCCGGGCTGGAGAGTCAGCTTGGTCGTTGAGAACTGAGCAGACGCAGGGACAGAATGCGGAGTATAGGCGCTATTGGTGTCAAAGTTTGGTTCGCCGGCCAGGTAGTTTTCATGGGCTCGAAGAAATGCAGCTGGATCGTGGCTAAACGTGTAATGATTTGGCTGTTTTGAATCGTTTGTTATGGTTATATTCTGGGGTGGTGGATTTGCAGAGTCCCTCAAGCTGAATTCCGAAGGACTTATCGTTGAATCAGCTTTGACAGCAGCATAAACGTCCAGCAGTCCAGCACCTTGGCGAAGTGTGGAAGTGAATGGTATTGTGGAGTTGTATTCTGGGAGCGGAGAAGCAGCAGTCTTGAGACGATCAAAGAGTTGTGCAACAGTTAGATGAGGGAATTGGCTCTTGAGAAGCGCATAACTCGCAGCTGCGAGCGGCGTTGCCATGGACGTTCCAGATACAATGGCGTAACCACCCGCGTCAAGCGGCCATGTTGATAGAATTGTGCCTCCGGGCGAAGCGACCTTAGGATGCATTGTCATCTCGATGGTAGGACCAAGGCTCGAGAATGAATCCACAAACTTTCCTAGGGGGTCAGCAATGAGCTGCTGAGATTGTGAACCTGTTGAAATGAATTGCAGGCTATACGTCTCGTTGGGTGATAGGCCTTTAATGTTTTCCACAATTGCTTTTGAGCTATTGTAGGTCAACCACAAGGTTTCGGGGCTGCCGTCGTTTTCAGGCTCATCTGGCTCGATGAGCTGATCTTCGCTTGTGAGGTAAGCCATGATGGTTGTGACGCCCAAATCCTGAGCTTGATACCAGCCAGTACCGCAATCATCCGCCCAAGATACCAACAATATGGTCGTGTTCCAATCAACAGTTGCATTAGCCGCTGCATCCCAGGCTGGTTGGTAGCAGCCACTGGCGACAGTATCATTGATCGGTATTCCAAGCCCAGTTCCAAGCACGAAGATGTCCTGCTTGCTCTTTCCTGGAAAAGGGAGTACCGATATATAATCTACCAATCGGTCTTTCTCATCATGGGCTTGGAAATGAGTCGGATATACCGCATTCTCCACGGACCCTACACTGAGCGCGTCTTGGCAAATACCAGGAATCGATGCACTATAGATCGCAGGGCCAAAGTTGCCAGCGGCTGCCACAACCGCCACTCCCTTCTGTGCGAGCTGAGTGACCACTGGGTCGAAAGGGTTAAGAGCTTCCCATAGGTCGCCGATGATTCCAATGGACATGGATATCACATCCGCGCCGTCATCAGCGGCTCGAAGCATTGCACTAATGATAATGTCGTTGGGTGTGCCAGAGCCTAGACAGCTCAAGATTCTGTAAGCTCCTATTGTCGCATCAGGAGCCCCTCCAACAAGGCCAAAGCCTACATCATCGGGATCTTCCATGGCCAGAATTCCTGCCACGGTATTAGTTCTAATGTTCGATACAGTTCTGAAATGCATTACTTGTCGCCAGTACTTACCAAGGGTGTGAGTTCCATGTCCACCGCTGGGACATGTTGCCAGCGGATCAGGGCTCGGCATGGGAGTATTGGTGCCGGTGTAATTATCGCCCACGAAATCATAACCGAAAGCAATCTTGTGGCCAGGTCCAAAGCCTCCGCCAAGTGCGGGGTGACGATAATCGACACCGGAGTCAATGATGCCGATCTGGACTCCTTTGCCTCGAATGCCTTCGTCATGAAGTTTCTGGATGTTGGTAGAAAGAAGGGGCTGGTTCACGCCGCTAACACCTCGTAGATTGGGCAAAGTTGTATTGCTATTGCCAGTGGTCGATTGGCTACTGCCGCTGGTCGACTTGGCTTTTGGGCTACCGTTTCTAAAATACGGCTCAGGCGGAGGGACAATCATCACATGCCAGGCATTCTTTACTCCATTGGCCTTCCTGACAGACTCAAGGTCGACGTCTGTGTGAAAAGAGACCGAAATTCCTGAGAAGATATCCAAGGAGTTGAATTCATGGCGAAGTTGGTAGCCCGCTTTGACGCCTACAGGAGTCTGGGCAAAGCGTTGCTGAGGTTGCAAAGAGGGATGGAAGTCTGGCTGAAACTCAATAATGTATGCATTGGGAACAATCGTGATGTTGGGCTTCTGTGCCGGTTGCACAGTCGTGAGCGATGCCGCGCTGCCAGTTACGGCCAGCAGGCTAAAGGCGGCCTTGACCTTCATTGTTCTAGGCCAATAGCAGGCTCAGGGGCATCCAATCAAGTGAATTTGAGTTGCAAGCAAGACAACTGAATGTCTTGTGGCTTGATCAATGAGCGCCCGAATGTGATCAACCCTCGTTCGCTCTCACTTATATATCATATAGTACAGTTGAGAAGCTGGACGCGACGGTCTGGTGATACAAGCAGCGTAGTTTCTGGCAGAATTTTGTGACACGACGCCGATCGAAATACGAGGTAGCATCACGTTTACGAGGCTCTCCTTTTTTTGGGATGAACATCCATCTCAGCGTGTGAAAATCCACTTTTGATTGCGATGGGCGAGGGAAGGGAGGAAAATTGCCGGAAAAGTGGGCGTAATTCATGCCGGATTGATCTTCACGTTTGCAGCAACTAGCAACTTCCACATGAGATCACGCGAAGAAAACGATAAGGAATCACGAGAAGCTTGGCAGAATCGGGGATTTTGCGTATTCGAAGACAACGGCAGCGTATCAATGTTGCAAATAGAGCAAGACATTGCGCGCTTTAGCCTGGGGAGTTGCGGAATCACAGGCGGTTTACCCCAATATCGCCTCGTATCGGGCGCTAGTCTCATGCCGCTAGCTGACCGGCTGTTACGGTAAATGGTGTCAGTCGAGTTCTGTGACTAGGATTGTGCGTGATACGAAGCTTTGCACAGCTGGGATCGGAGGTATTGTCTTTTGTTTCTGCTTTAGAATTCATGTAGTCATAACATTCGAGGCTTGGATGTTTCCTTCGGATTGGATCTAACTTCACGGCCATTTATGAGCCTGCTATTTGGCTACCTGGTCATTAACTACTAAGAGCATTGCTCAAGTATCATGAAGAACGTATGCTTTCTTGTTTAGCAGAGGCTGCTTCTAACTCCTGTTAACTTGAACTGCCGTCTAGTAGTGTAACAATGAGGTTAATTCTTAGTAACAGGAAGTAATCATATGTATAACGCATATAGTAGTAGTAGTTGTTTCTTGGTAAAACATAGATACACGATCAACTTGGAAACGATACATTTTCAAGACTATCCGAGTCTCCGTAGTCCCATATACATACATGACATGAGGGGTCATGAGCAAGGGACTCGATTAGCAATGTTTTAGTAAAGAATAATACCTAATTACATGCTTACCGATTAGAGCACCACAAATTATTCTGGAGCTCAAAACACAGTAATTAGGCATATAAATCGCGTCATTTGCATCTCTGTCGTTATTCTATCCTGTTTTCTATATTGCGGATTGTTTCTTCATCTAGTACGATTAGCTGTCTCTACTCTACTCCACGCATCATTCCTAGACTGGGAATATCCCCCTCTTCGAGTTTGTGTAACCTATTATTAATCTTACCAAGATTAGTTATTAGAAGGTGGCCAAGTCCAACGGAGTAAGACATCTTCAGTTGTCTGGACTATTCTGGCTTTCGCTGCTGGAACTTCTACCGTCGGCTTTGTGCCGTTCGCCGTCGGTAAAACTACGTCCACCAATACAGCGGCTTCTACCTTTTATTATCCATCAATGAACTATTCGTCGCCAACCTCCCCCGGCGTCTGTATGTTGTTCTAACACGAAATCACTTACGACGCGGTCCTATAATAAGCTCGAAGGCAACGGTTTCTGTCCTTCTACCTCACCTAGTAGAAGACCAATAACGCGGAGTAAGGCTCCACTGACAAGCCTAAGATCGATGCTATGTAGCAAGCGATCTTAGCGCTCCGATCCTGGGCATCTTCTAGGATACTCCCGGGGGTTTAGCTGAAGACGTAGCATGAACAAAAGAATGTGTCAGGAAGGTCGAACTGCGGAATATGTTATGAAGGGATCAGAGAGTAGCCCTTTCTTTTGGCATCATGTTTTGCCATGGTATGCTGTATAACTAGCCGCCGAGAGCTTTGTTCAGTGATTTGTAGCCGGAGCGCTGATTACTCTGTCGTAAGATGCAGGTCATTTTGCGAGGTTTAGAATCTCTGCTAGAGTGTCGCAGATACTCGGATGGGTTTTATACCAGTTTTTGCACATGATACTAGAGGATTGCCGGATCGGTCCATTTCTATTGCTCACCCTCAGGAAATGAATGAGAAGCTACTATATAACATGACCCCGCATCAATTAACAAGGCTTTCATAGAGTTCCCATCAATTGATTCGTGGCTATTGTAATGCAGTCAGCATGAAGGTAACATAGGTCGTGTGAGAAAACGCAAACTTTGATCTAGGGTCGCAATGCTAGTAAGTCATCGTCAAAGTTGATAGACAAAACTTGTTACACATCTTCAAAAATATGTCGTTTGAAGGGAGCAGTGGACAAGAAGGCTATAAGGATTATGGGACCTATCTATTATAACTGAACAGCCTACCTCTTCACCCGCTAGATATAGTCAAAATAATTATACGAGCTTTTTCTACACGACGAGACCTAGATTATTCAGCGGCGTTACATACAAGCTTGGTTCAAGAAATTTGCTTCTATGAAGCTGCAATCGTAATGAGCAACTCTTATATGCTCATAACATAATTGAACTTGGTTAAGAGAATCAATTTGCCTAAAGGCGGACCGTGCCTAGTGCAAACTTAACAAGCGACGACGTACTATGCACATAGACTGATGCATGTATACATGTATCATCCTCTCGTCTGTCAAGCGGCTCACATCTTCGCACGAATGCCATGCTGCATCGAACACCCCAAATAACAAAGCCTGCTTTCAAAGCTATCTACGGTCTCCATCGTCTATTCCTGCCGAGTCTCGTCTCGTTACTTAAATGAGCTATTCTAGCTGCATGCAAACATACGGTATTATGTAAGGGGGTTCGGTATGTGTACCATGGAGAGGAAAGGCGTTTCCTTCTAGTGTAGAACATCTCGTAAAAATGTATACCTTAGTCAAATGATAATAAAGTGTTTCTGGGGCTATGTTGTTTTTCGAGTCAGTACAGCCATGCTGAGATGGAAATAGAAAATGGCAATAGACGATGGGTTTCAACCCTGCAGTAAGTTTTACAACTTGTCACAAGTCAGGGCAAGGCTCACTTAATCTTGCCCTACCACAGAATACCATCTTTGCCTGTCGGACACATATTCAAGGCAGCGCCTCTCACTAATTTAGGCATCATTAGCACTGCCAGAAGTCTGATACCGCCAGACACCGATCATACGTGGTGGGTGGAGCGGATTTTCTTTTACATAGCCAATAATTGGCCATATGGAAAGCCATATGCAGGCTTTGCCAGCGCACGCATCTGCATCAGAGTGGGTGGCACATGCGTTGAGCGAGGCAGTTAGGCATTTCGACTTCTGAGTTCTGCCTAATTTTAGCCTCAGATGCTGAACAGCAAAAGCTTTAGCACATTAGCTATTCTCAATCATCTATAGTACGCTGGTGTTTGTTTTTTTAGTTTAGCTTCAGTGCTTCAGTGCATGTTTGACTCGTTAAATATTTTGTCGTTGTTTCGCAAGTATTTGGTACTTTCATTGTTCAATTCTTGAAGATGGACGCGAGTACTAACGCACTCGCCATCTTCCACTTCATTCTCGATAGCTTCAGTCTTATACAGCTGGCTCGAGAGTTCGAAGATGAGTTTGAGAGATATCAAATAAAGCTCGACATTATTCAATTGCGTATCTCGCGCTGGGGTCAGGTCTCAGGCTTTCTTAACGACTATGATAATAACTCAACTGTTCCTGGATCTGTGGACAGTGGTGCTAACAAGCCATCACCTGCATACGATACCGGTTCTATGGAGGACCCCACTCAATATTTGGCGAAAGAGACGCTTATTGCCATCCGAGACACGGTCGTCAAAGCTAAACGGGATGCCACAAGAATGAGAACTGAGCTGACTCCAAACATCAGCCAGCCGCTTGAAACGGAAACTCTTATGCCGCCTGACCTGAAGGGAATGCGCAACCGAATGATGAGGATTCTTCATGAAAGAAGGGTTCAGAAGAACAAAGTAGTTGTTGGCATCAAATGGGCTTTCTATAAGAGAGAGCATTTCAACACGTTTATTGCAGATGTCTCATCGCTGACTGATGAACTTGAGAAATATGCACCAGCTGACAGCACTGAACGACTTCAAAACATCAGTAGTGAGGAATGCAAGGGTTTAAACAAACCAAATCTAGAGGAGTTAAGAGATACCGCCGAAGGATGTGACCCATGGCTGGAGAACGCTGTGGAGAAAGCGCTCACGTTGAGACGGAGTGCTGCCACTTATACAATTATGCAATCATACAATACGGGTATGGTAACGGGCGTTCATCATGGACGTAGCGATGTAAAAGGCATTAGCAATGGGAATAATAACACGGTGAACAATCATTGGGCTAGGGCTTAGAGAATAGCATCGGAATGAATGAGCAGAAAGCAAACTATTCAATCGTATCTGGTGGTGGGACCTTGAATTTAATATGGTATATCTGAAACTGCTCTGCACGCGTGCTGTGTGATTATGTTCTGCTTGTGATATGTTCATTGTACACTGATCTGATATACTAATACACACGGTCGAGTGAGACATTGCCCTTCGGACACAATTAACTGAATCTGTCCGGCTGAAAATTCAACCCATGTCTGCTTCTAGCTGCATTTTTCGACTACTTAGCCATACCCTTGTTGATCTGCCATCTCGCAGTCTGGCTCGCGCACGTCTCACGAAATTTGCTCACTTTGGGTAGTATGGAAATCAAAGAGTCAATAGTAAATCATCTCATGAGACTACAGATCTTGCACTCAAAGCTGTGTTTAGAGCGGGAGTCACACTGCAGCATCAAAAACAGCCCGCAGTGAGAGTTGTAGTTGGTTTTAGCCACGCTCCTATATTTAGAGCATGATACTGCTGTTTCTTGTCTTTATTGATATAACATAGTTATATTCTTACCTTTAGAAGGCGGGGTACCTCTCAGAGAGTGAGTGACCTCAGTTATATTTACTTCCATCATTCGTTCAATCTAGAACCCTAAACCCTGAATCTCCAAATTCTATCAGCTTGGATTAGTAAGATCTTACGGTGCTAGTGAAACTATATTTATTTATTTATTTATTTTATTATTAACATCCACTAAGTAAGCTAGTTATATAAATCCCTTCTAGGCAATAGGATAGTAAGAGCCGCAGTTTTAGAGTCTGCGTTTACTATATATTATATAAAATAAAGGAAAGTGTTATATTAATTTATATTTATTATATTAGTCTAAGTCTTAGGGGGCAGGGCTATAAAGGCTTATGTCCTTTACTAGTATTTAAAAGTGCTTATATTTATTAAGGCCTAGTAGGTAAGTAAGGGGAGTAATGCTTATATAAAGGTCTTTTTTAGGGACCTCTGGCAGCTAGGGTTAAACTATTTTATATTTTATAAAATAGCCTTAAGTCCTTAGTTTACCGCACTTATAAGTAGGCCTAGTATTATAGCTAAATTTTTCATAGTATTTAATAAAGTCCCTATATCCTATCCTTTTTACATAAAGCCTATAAAGTATAGCTCTTAGGAGTTAAAGTTCCAGGGGTTTAAGGAGAGCGTTTAGTTACTAGCATTTATAGTAAGGCAGTTAATTTTAATCCCAGTCTAGCTCCTAAAGCTATTTCCTTTTACTTTTAGCTTACCTTTTAATATAAATTATTATTATAGACTTAGATAATAATATAAGAAGCTTTAACCCTTCTTTTATAAGCTTATTTACTATTTTATTTCTATATATATCTTTATACCTAGGCACCTAGGCCACTTTAGTGTAAATTCTTAGTTTTAAATTTTTTATAACTTTTCTAAGGCCTATATAAGTATTTTATAAAAAGTAAAGTATTTAACTAAGAATCCTATTTACTACTACTAAGTTATTTAAGAAAAAGATAATTTTATTAATACTTAAGTCTAGCTAAGCCCTTTCCTTAGTAAGTTTAATTACCTTATAGGCTTTAATTACTTCTATGTTATATACTTTAATATTAAAAAGGTATTTATTAAACTTAATGGCTTAGGCCTTATAAAAGATAACCGCTCCCTATCTTATATTACTAAACTTATTCTATAAGCTATTTAAGTAAGTAATTAAAGTAAATTTTAAAAGGCTGTCTAATAGTTTAAGGTAACTCTTAGCTGCCTTTTCCTTTTTAATTCCTTTAAACTTAAGACTAAGAAAGACTGCTTTATTATTATAAGTAAAGAGGGAGGGTTTAACTATATAGCCTACTAAGGCAGCCGTGCGCTAAAGTCTAGTTAAGGGGGTCCCCGCTAGTCTTTTATTTACTCTTTTACTAATAGGGTAGTTTTTATTTAAGCAGGTAAACCTAGCTTTAATTTAGACCCTCGCTTAGGCTAAAGCTAGCGAGGCCTTTAGAATGCCTAACTCCCTATATATAACCTCTAGGTTAATTATTTTCTATACTAGGACTATAGCTTTTACCGCTGCCTTAATAGCCTTATTTATTTTCTTAACTAAATTATTTATACTAGTACTAGTGGTTCTAGAAGGGTTAAATTAGTATTATCTTATTAAGCCTAGCCACCAGGCATCCAGCCTATAAAGGAGCACTAGGAGGACATATGCCTTAGCTACTAAGGCCATAGTATTTAAGGGGGAGCCTTTTATTATTTTATTAAGGAATCTTAGGAAGTTAGCTATCTTAAGGGCTTTTCCTATTATAACCTTAATATATTTTTTAAAGGAGAGTCTTAGGTTTAGGTAAACGCTAAGCTATTTTATTAATTCTTAAGGGGGAATTGCCTTACCCTTAAAATTTATTTAATTTAGGCAGGTGTCCCTTTAAGTATAGTAAAAGTAAATTAGCTTAGCTTTATCTGGGTTAAAGGATATTATATTCTCTCTTCCTTAGCTTAAGGTATTTTTTAACTTTTATTATAGTATTTTAGTAATTTCTCTAGTGTCTTTTCCTATAGCTATAATATTAATATTATCTATATACCTAAACCTAAAACTAGGGTTATTTAGCTAGAGGATAAGGCAGAAGTATAGTATAGAGATAATTAAGGAGATAAGGGACCCTTACAGGGCCCTGCATTCCAGTCTAGTGCCGCTAAGCCTAGATCTATAGCTATATTATATAAAGGCCTCTCTATTGCTTATAAAAGAATTATAACAAACCGTACACTAGTTGGTTAGTAATATAAGGGATTCCTAAGGGATAAACCTAGAGTTTAGTTCTAGGTTTATGTTAGCGGAGCGATTAGGAGATCTTTATGTAATATAAATAGTAATAATAAATGTCACTAAATAGTAAGCAGTGTAAAGTGTGTTATAATTTTAATTCTGTGTTAATAATTAACTATTTAAGTTATTTAAATAAGTATAGAGAAGTAAACTTATATATTTAGTTAATTAAATAGGATTATTAGTAAAATCTAATAATCTATTATAAATTATTTTAAAATTTTAATAATTTATTCCCGGCTTATTAAATCATTAAGATAATTTAATAATCTATTTATAATTAATAAGTTAGTCCTATATTAATCCAGTTCTGCTTACCCAGTAGGCCTATTGGTGTAACTATAAGAGATAGGTTATAATATAATACTCCCCTCCTATTAGTCTTATCCTTAAGACTTAATTAATCTTAGTATAAATAATATATCCCTTATTTAATAAGTATAGTTAATTCTTAGTTTCTTTTACTAGTATTTCCTTAATTTCTTTATATTAACCTTTATTATATTAAATAAGATTTTTAAATTAATTTATTTAAAGATTATTAATTATAAGTTATTATTTTATTTTATTATTGCTAGTGCTAATAAAATAAATAAGTATTATTTATTCTATATTTTAAAGAACTATTTTAAGTATTTATTATTACTTAATAATTCTTTATATTATTTAAAGTATATTTACCTTAATTAATTATATTATAATATTTAGGGTTTATCTTTTAAATAATTAAAGTAAATTGCTATTTATTACTTTTATTTAAAGGATAAACTTAAAGAGGCTAAGGAAAAGTATTACTATACTAATACTAAGGTTAAGTGTCTTTATAAGTAAAAGAAAATATAGTATATAAAAATAAGGTAAGCAGTTGCGCGGGGTATAATAGATTTAAAGGAGTTAGATTAGGTTAAACGCAAGGAGGCGGAGGCTGCTTATTAGGCCGCTTTATTAGCGCTTAATTCTGCCGTCGGCCTGTCCCAGTCTATTAACGCTATTAATTAGTTAGCCTTTAAGTTAAACCTATTATTATTTCCACCCTTAGAGACTAATGAAATTCCCGCAGAGTTATCTAGGCGCTCCTCTTAAGTTCTTTTTCTAGGACCTAAGAGTCTTTGTTAAAGTTATATCCTTTTTATTTAATAAGGTATTCCTATTCTCCTATTTCTTTATTTATTTATATATAAAGTAATTTCTTAATTTTATATTTTTCTTTAATGTCTTAAATAATAATTTTATTTATAATTAGTTTACCTATTTCTTTATCCACTAATGCTTTCTTAAGTAATAATATATAAAAAATAGCTATTTTTAATTTTATATTCTTAAGTAAGTTTAATTTATAATTAACTTCACTAATTTTCTTTAAAATTTTAAATAGTTTAAGTTTTTTAAAATTTAGTTTATTACTTAGCCTATTTATTTTAATATTTAGTAATTTTTTATTATATAAATATTATAGTAAGTAAACTATATCTCCCTTTTAAAGGGTTAATCCCTTAATCCTTATTTAATTAGCGTATTCCTTTATACACTGCTTAAAGAATTTAAGTTAAACTTTAAGTTCTTCCTATAATTAAATTATATTTTTTATAAGTATATATATATTATTTGCATTTAGGCTATTATAAGGTAGTCTATAGGCTTCTAGTATAAACCTATAATTTATATAAAATAGTATAACTCCTATAGTTTCTATTATAAAGCTATTATATTATATTTAAGTAATTAATAATATCTTAACTTAGTTATTTTACTAAAGGTTAATATAATATTATAAATATGCTTTAATAACTTAATTTATTTATTTTATTTATTTATTTATTTATAAATAAAATATAGTGCTTAGCTTATAATAAGTTTTAAGTTTAGCTATTAATTTTTATTAAAATTTAAATATAAAGGTACTTTCTTTATTTAATATAATTTCTTTTAGCATTTTATATTTAATAAATATATATTTTATATAAAGATATACTAAGTTTTTTACTATATATAATTTTTTATATAATAAGAAATATACTTACTTTAAGAGTTTATCTATAACTATAAAAATATTATTAAATTATTTTCCAGTTAATGGATCTTTAAACTTAAGTAAGTTAATAATATAGTTAAATATAATAGTATATTAGTTTCTTTCCGGAACTAAAATTAATTATAATATTCTATATAG